CTTGTCTTCTCGTAGAACCCCAAAGACCTGCAACTAGTCCAGCCACTAACAGCCCTGGACCAGGCTTTTCCCAAGGAGCCCAGCACCGGCAAGGAGCCAATGTGTTGCCGTGAAAGACAAGATTCGCAAGGAAGAGGAGAGCAAAGAAATTGAACTGCTTTCCCAGAGAAATGATCAAGCCGCTTCCCCGCTCATACTTTCGTCTAGCGAGAGGGAAGGAGCGGTGCCCCTTGTTCCTTACGCATATCCATAACGGACGCCAATACCTCAACAAGTGCTCAGTACACTGACACCAGCACCATGAAAGATGGTGGATGGATGTCCATGCTCACGGAATCGCTGCCCAGAGAACCCGGTGCCGAATAAGCACAAGAAGTATTATTCTCCAAAGCATTGTTCAAATAATATCACGGTTCGCTGTTGTTGAGCCAATTCCCACCCTGGGTTGCCTCTGATTTGGGAGGCACGACGGCAAGCCGTCGGTCGGGCTCCGGATATCTTGTGGCGTTCGAGGCAGGCCAGTTTAGCAGGGTGGGCCTGGCCCTGCGCTTCAAAAGAACCTTGGAACCTGGTCTTCCACACCCCACGTCACGAAGAAACATGAAGCCAACAAACGCCACATGAGAAAAAAAAAAAAAGGGTGCACGCCTAAGATTGGCAGGAAGCCTTTTGAGGGTCTCACACGATTAAGATTAAGGTGCCGGTCTTGCTCAGGTCTGTGCTATTAGTGCAAAGGCTCGCTGTTAAGTTGTGGCGTTGGTGGGGACATGGATTGATGGCTTGAAACAGCCGGGGGCTTCTTGATGTTGTGTTGGTGGTACCTTTGAGGTACTTGACCACGACAGCGAGTCGGATATCTCGCACCCTGAGAGTCGTATAGGTCGTATCGAAACCGAACACCTCGTTTCCATGCCCCTTCAGGATTGCAACACCTCGAGAATTTTCTATTTTTCCTTTGCCTTCTTTTAAACTTTCAGGCCTCTGCCCTGGAACTCCGCACATCAATGCACGCTAAGACGTCCATAGACCGTCCCACCAATCCACCTCGGTATAGACCAGACCCATCAAACCAGTTCCGCTTTGTCATTGATAAGTGCTGCCTTGAACAAAGGAAATTTGTGGATCCCAACTTGAAGTGTCCGCTATGACGACTGACCCCTTGCAATCAGCTTCCTTTTCCCGCCCGCAAGTCTCCCAAGTCTCCTAAACCTGCCCTCCAACACCAATTTGAACCCACTCGTATTAATCGCACAAGAGGTTGAGGCCCTTCTGCTGATCAGCATGGGGGCAAAGGGGGCAATCTTTGGTGTGAGTGAGCCTTGACCAGGCGGGCGAGTTCAGGGTTAGCGCAAGCCAAAGCTTGTGCAGCCTCCCCCTCTTCCCCACCCGAGGCGTTCAGCAAGTCAACGAGCATTGGCTATAAGTCGTAGCTTGGGCGCTAGAACGAGCCAAGAAGGGAATGGGAAAACTTGAAGGACCTTTTGCATTCTGCCTACCAGGTTTCTTGGTCCCCCGTCTTGCTGCCTTGACAGAGCCTGGTAATCCCACCACCTGAACTTGCACGAAGATCGTATGCAAGCCTCAACTATCGAGCTGTGTGTGCGTGTGTGTGGCTCGTTGCGCTGTGTTGGCCGCTGGGGCTTGCCAATCTCCCCCTGTTACCTGTCCACTGTCAGGTCCCAGTGCACGCGCTGCGCTGGAGGGATCAGTTTCACAGAGCTACCCGTTTCCACCGACTCTCGCTGCGCTCCCTGTCCTCCATACTTCGTCCGGAAGGATGATCGGCTTGCAGCGTGTGCCAAGCCGTGGGAGGAGGGGTGTGCATTGGGGGCGAGAAGTACCCCAGTCGGTTCCGAAACTGTGAAAGATCAAGCCAGCTTTGGGTGGTGGAGTAAGAGACAGGGCCGTCCAGCAGTCGGAGCCGACCGACCACTCATGAAAAAGACAAATGGATGCTCTGCAGTCGGTCACTCCAAGTACTTCGTACTTCGGTATTCTGTTGCTGGTTTCGTTTTCGGAAAGAAGGTTTGCAGCGACAGCGCCTGCATGCATATGAGTTTTTCCACTTTCCATGGGCTGCTTCTTTCTTTCTTTATTTTTCCTTCTTGGTGTCTTCCCTTCCACGCCACTTCCCAAGGCTGAGCCATGGCTTTTTTCTTCTCAACTTTCAATCAATCGATTAACGACTCGAGAGATAAGGTCCCACCCGTATTTTCACAAGGCAGAACCGAAATACTTGGCCATCCGCTTAGACACTGAACCGTTGACGGGGCGCGTTTCTTGGCGAAATGCCTTCTCCGAGGACACCGTCAAGGTTTGAATGCCAAGTACCGATCTGATACTTTGAATTTGTAAAGAATCAAATGTTCAGTTCAACCGATGGAGCCTGGACGTGGAGTAGAAATTCCGTGCATTCATTGGATGAGTCCAGATCCATCCGTCTAACATGGACCTCAAGGTTTGTGTGTGAGCGAGCGTTAGTTTATATGGGCGATAATTACAATGGATGTAGAGAATAAGAAGGGCGAAATAATGACCAGTGCTCCTAAGCTGGCCCACCATCCCGAGGTACTCCTTTCGCCCTTTAGGGCTACTACTAAAGTTCAATGTTTCTAGGGTGCCGACACTAATCCGATAACGAGGCCGAGGAAGAAGGATGGATAGCGTTGCTTAAACTTGATATACTAGATTTATACCATGTTGCCTCCGCGACCTCCGAGGATTACATGGATGTATGAGGCCCGGCCCACGGGGGTGTTCAATACCGACTGACCGTCATAATTTGATCTATGAATGTTCAATTGATAATCATGATTTGCTGAGCTATTCCCACCACTCAATACCCTCCACTGACATGCAGTGATCGATCGCGACTTGGGACCATGGCGGACGGTCCCAGATCAAGCCACAGCCCTACCGCAGGGCTAGTGTCTGGAGAGCTCAAGCTGCGCTCGTGATCCAGGACGTTAATCGATTAATCACTCAGCCCCAGAAGGACGATGTCCCCAGGATCTGCCCCAAAAGTAGCCCAGTAAGACCAGCCTTCGATTGATCGCTGCAGCCCGGAGCCGCTGGAAGGGGGACCCCAGGCACACACATAGACCCATCCGGGGCTCTGTCGCAACATGAAGCTTGCAAGGTGGGACGACAGCGGTGATGGGGTCCCCACCATCCAAACATTCAGGCCTCCTTCTGTTGACTAAAGGCTTACACATGCGCCAAAGTTGCATCTTCACCAGCCAGAATGGCCCCCTCTCCGCCCTCGACCCGCCTTCAACCTCCAAAACAAGCGGGCACATTCCCGATTCCCAGCGCTCTGGATCGAAAATGTCATTCCGCGGCGGGACGGGAGCCTAAAGCAAGCCACTCCCGGGTTTCTTGGGTTCCCTTGATCTGAGCTGAGAAAGCGAACCCAGATTGCCACTCGCGACCGGGCGGGGAGCGAAAAAGAAAGAAAAATCATATATAGGGAAGGTGCGAGCTGAGGACCTGCTGAGTGATGACCAGACCAGCTCCTCACCCAACTTGTATACATCCATCCACCATCCATCAATGCATCACACAAGTATTAGGTGGTGCCCAAAGACGCTTGACCAGCTATTGGGTTGTCCCCATCCATCATTCATCCAACATCCAGAATTGTGCATTATCTGATCGAGCGAACATAATTAATCGGATCCACAAATTATCCCTTCCCACCCACTTCATACTCAGGCCAGCTGTGAATTCGTCACGACCTCCGGCATTGAAGCTACACCCTAGAGGGACCTCTAAGCGGCACCTCCTCTGGCCATGCCGGCCTGTTGGCCCATGGCTATATTTGTCGGCCTTGCCAACTGAGGCGAGCGGCACTCGCGTCGAGTAATTTTGGAATTGTATCACAATTTCCCGCAGTCCGAGTGGCGAGGGGTTCATGCTCCGCGTCTCCCTTCTTGCCTTCGCCTCGTCGCTCATTATCGGGGAGGAGACGGTATCCAAAAGACGGCCTCATTTCCCTCAGACATCGTCAAGGTGTCATCACGCCGTCACTTCCGCCGCTTTATGCACTCGAAAATCTCTTTTAATAGCCCAACCCTACCGTCGGAGGTCCAAGGGAGTCTACCCGGCCGTCCGTGGCATTGCCAGCACGTCGTTGGGTTTTCGTGCGGCGTAAGCATCACTGAACTTTCCTCCGAGCCGCTTTACCTCGACGCAAGCTTCCCTGAGGGAGATGCCGAAAAGCAGAACCCAAGGGCGGCCATCACCCATCACCTCACCTATTGAGGAAATTGAAACAGTCCTCGACACCTTTTGCTCACTTGGATATCGCCCCCCCTTCCTTTGGCTCCGCCATCGCATTCCATGCCATTTTAGTTGTTTTTAGGTCATGGTGTGCAATGATGGACCTGCAGCCCTACAGACGTTTTCATTGACCTTCTGTTGTCCGATGTGCGATGTGGGCCCGTCAATATTATTTTTGGCTCAACACCAACCCAACACTAACGTCTTTTATTACAAGCACCCGTCCTCTTGAGGATGGAAGACTCAGGCAATAAGACTCCAAATCCCGGAATATCCTCACCGGCTGGAGTTGCATCAGGTTTTGAGATATCTGACACTAAGAGAGTATCAGGAGGATGCTGACCATATGTTGAGCTGGCCTCCCCGATATCAACCTGCTCGCTACATTTTCAATGAGAGGATGGGCTCGCCTGTGCAGCATGATCAGCCCCTTGTATACCCCCTTGTGCGCACATCGACTGTGGCGAAACTTGGCGCAGTCCCTCCATGTTCAAGATTAGAAGAATTCTAGGCATCAACGACGGGCGACGCATGAGAGCTACTATTCGCGCGATGGACGTTTCAGCTGCAGCTTATGATCTTGAACTAATATTCATAGTAGTTTTACACGGGGCCTGAGACCCGATCTCACCGTAGGGGGCCAAGAGCTAATGTACAGAGAGCTTGAGATCGAGGCCTCCCGCGGCTCGTCTATAGACATCGTACACATAATTTCCACCTCAGTGGCCTTGTTCCTCACGAGCCGCCTTGCGCTCGGCCACCCGCCTCTTGAAACGAACCTCTGCCTTTCTTCTCTCTCCGCCGTCCACCTTCTGGCCCTGTCGGAACTCCCACATGCCCTCAGTTACTGTCACTTGCGACTTGCCATTGCCGATAGGTGTGGCATAGGGGCCAGATATCTTATTCGCGCCCCTGACCCTGTAGCCTTGAACACTGGAGCCCTGCTCTGCTGAGACGGGGCATCGCCGCCTGCTGGAACGTTGACGACCTTTTTCTTGTCCGTCTTCAAGTCGTGGAGAACACTGAGAATTGCCTTGCCGTCCTGAACATGCTGGAAATCGCCGCCGGGGCCAAATTTGCCCTCGCGGTATCTCCTGAGCCATTGAAGGAGATATCTGCGGCTCCGGGCAGGTTCGACTCCGATTTCTTTAAGCTCAGGTGATGTGAGGGTGAAGAGCGCTTCCCAGGTGGGGAATTTGTCCGAGTATTGGCTCAAATTACGACCGATGATGCGGAGGAACGACTCGGGATCGGGAACGATGGGAATCGGAGGCGGTACAGGTCGGGGCACGGTCAATTTGGAGCTGTGAAGGCATCGTGTTTGTTTCCCCGGCCCACCAGCTGGGCTGCTGGCCGAAAAACGCCCAGAGTCGAGAATATCTGCCTTGGCCGCATGGTTATGACGGGCTATACCGGCTGCGGTGTGAGCTTTCGCGTTCCCGCGTAGAGAGTGGGAAAAAGGGTTGAAATGGAAAGTTGCGAGTCTTACACCATGAACCTAGACTTGGGTTGTGAAGGGCTTCAAAGCCAAGATGAGAAATCTCGTATATATATATCGTGACTCGTGGGGCGATTGTTCGTCGTGTTGTGATGATGGGCGTAGAAGAAAAAGGTGATTTCCACGGTCGCCTCTGCTGGATCTGAAGATCAAAAATTCTCTTCTTTGCGCGACCAGGAATCTCGAAGCTCAAGATCGTTGGCTCACAATTTTCCCCAATTCAGCCAGCTCACTTTTGCCCAAGCCTCGCCCCATTTCTCGTTGGCTCCACCAGCCACAACTCCCACGTGACTTCGCATTTTCGGTGCTGGATGGCCGACTGCCCGACAGCGGGGCAGCCACGCCGGGACCGCGTGCGTTCATCTGTGGCAGGATCCGTTCAAGAGATGGACCTCAGCGAACCTTGCCTTATTCAACCTTGCAAGATGGATATGCATTGTTGAAGCGCGGCTGCTGCCTACCCCTTGAAAATTTCCCCGCGCACGCTTGATCTGCTCTTGCCTTTTCGTAAGAAGAAAAAGAAAGAAAGAAAAAAACCGCCACTCAGTGACCTTTACATCGCTAATTTCGCCGTCCGACTTATACACCTCGTCTCTTCCCCCATGTGCTGATTGGCAACATTGGAGCGTCGTCACAATGCCGCACCCGAGGAAACGTGGAGGCAGGTTTGGAGGCACTACAAGTAGCGCAGATGCCTCTCATCTTGATATTGGTATCGAAGGTAGGTACTACAGCCGTTTGCTTATTAGTTTGCCGTCACTAAGACTAAACCTGGGGGCAGAGCCATTTCCTTTGGAGCTCGCCACTTTTCTGGAAGATTTGCCCCGCGGGGATCTCGATTCGAGCCAGCGCTTAAGAGGCTCCGCATCGATAGTCCCAGAGCAGAAACATTCGTGATCGGCCGTGGAGACCTTACCCTATCACGGCGCCAACCTGCATTTGGCCAGACTGACATGATTCCTTTGACACGATACCATATTGGTCAATACGTCGCCATATCTCTAGGGTCAGACCATCGTCGCCCGGACGAAAGAGATTTATGGCTAAAGCCTCTTGCTGGATCCTCAACCGGCCCAACACGAATCAGCATCGCTTTCCCTCAGAGCGCGCTGGCATCCGAGGTCTCGGCAATTATCGACGCTGCGGGAAATGGAGAATCGAAGCATTGCGTAGGGGCAGGGTTTTCTTCGATAGTTACCGCAAGTCTATCAAATGAAGATGACTGCGTTCACATCCGCCTCTCTTTCGAGCTGCACTGGCAAGCCAGGACACTTTATCATCCGCAGTTGACTCGTCAATCCTACGACAGCATTCGGTTGGTCCTTCGTACTTTTTCCCCCAGAATGGAAGGACTGGTACTGGAGGTGATGAATGGTCGCCTCTAGACTTCTACGAGGCCGCTTACGTTCCCGCCACGGATGATAGCGTATCAAGCACCATCAGCGTGCCCGGAATGACGTCGGCGCTCTATCCTTTCCAGAAGAGGACCGTGCAGTGGCTCTTGCGACGTGAAGGCGTCGAGTGGGTTAAAGAAGACGGCAACGAAGGCGGCGTACAAGACATTAACACCCCGTCTACCGATGGCCTTCCACTCTCATTCCGGCGAGTACGGGATCTGAATGGAAAAGAAGGCTATCTTAGCGATATATTCCATTTGATCACTACCGATCTGTCGAATTTCCGCGCTTCCGAACAGGTGCTAAAGGGAGGGATTCTGGCCGAGGAGATGGGTCTTGGAAAAACTTTAGAGATGATTGGGCTCATACTCCTTCATCCTCGGCCCGGTCGCAGCTTGGCCGTCAACTTTGACGACCCAAATCTTCTCAACCCAACGGGCGCTACCTTGATAGTGACACCTACCCCTCTACGCCAGCAGTGGATGGATGAGCTCTTACGACATGCTCCTCATCTAAAAATAATGAACTACGGAGGCTGCAAAGTTCAGGGCCGAGAGGAAGAGCTCAGCCTCGTGTATGAGCTAGCCGAGCAGGATATCGTCATCACGACGTACCAGGTCCTTTCGGCAGAACTTAGCTATGTCCTAGAGCCACCGGCAAGATCTCGGCGCCACGAAAGGAAGTACTATCGCACAAAGTCGCCCTTGATGCAGCTCCAGTGGTGGAGGGTGTGCTTGGACGAAGCGCAAATGATAGAAAGTGGAGTTAGTCGCGCAGCAGAGGTCGCTAAGCTTGTACCGCGGGTGAATGCTTGGGGAATTACGGGAACGCCCGTGAAGAATGTGGTACAGGATCTCCGTGGCTTGTTAATATTTCTCCAGTACGAACCATTCAACTTCCTTACCGAGTCATGGAGGGACCTCACCACGCTAGATAAGCCGGCCTTTCGGCAGCTCTTCCGTAGGCTTGCTCTCCGGCACACCAAAGCCTTGGTCAGGGACGAGATCAAACTGCCACGTCAGAACCGCTACGTCATCACTGTTCCTTTTGCTGCGGTGGAGGAACAGCACTACCAGTCAATGTTCAAGCAGATGACTGAGGATTGCGATGTCGATGCCCAAGGGAATCCCGTGGTAGAGAAGTGGAATGCGGAAGCATACCACGAGAAAATGGGGGATGGCTTAATCGTCTGAGGCAGGCCGCGCTCCACCCCGAAGTTTTGATCCGGCGCCTCTATGGGGGTGCTAAAAACAGGCCAATGCGAACGGTGGACGAAGTCTTGGACGCCATGATAGAGCAGAATGAAAAGCTCATTCTAACCGAGCAGAGAAGCTATCTCATGTCAATGCTTACACGCGGGCAGCTCCTTGAAAATGGGCCCCGTGTCCGGGAAGCTCTGTCTATCTGGGAAAAGGTCAGGGATACCACATCTCCTCTTGTTGATAAGATGCAAAAGAAACTGGACAATGCCATACACGAAGCCTCGGGCGGGCGCATCTCCGTTGAGGGCGCTGATGGCTACGAGCTGGAGAATGAGACGTACAGGTATGACGCTTGCTCCCACTGACTACGATCACGTCTCACATCATCATAGCCAAGAACACCAAGCGAAGATAACCGAGCTACGCCGGAGATTGCGGTTAATGCTCGAGGTCTATCACCGGGCCATCTTCTTTTGCGCCAGTGCGTACTTTCAGATCAAGGAAAACAAAGATTTGACGGAACCGGATTCGGAGGGATTCAACCAGCTTCAGGGCCTCGAGGACGAGAGCTATGAAAAGGCCAAGGCCGTTCGTCGCAAGATACTAGCCGAGGTTTGTTTGTGGCTCTCTCATAGGGATATATGTGTGCGTTACTTTCAATTGGACTAACCAGGAGATTGAAATTAGACCTTTCGCAAAATCGAAGCTCTTAGGAATCGCCTAACGAGTCGCGCTTCCGAGCAGGCCTTCGCTGTGGTCCCCGAGCTCATTACGAGAAAGGAGCGCGGACTAGAATCGCGCACCTTGATTGAGCAGCTCGAGGAATTGTATGAGATGCTCAACGACCAAGCTAATCAGCTAGACGAGTGGAGGGAACAAGTGGTACAAATTCTGCTCGAACCTCTAGTCGACCAGGATGAGGAGGGGGTTGAGCGTACGGGAGAAGAATTTTCTGATTCTACCAAGTTACAAGACAAACTCTTAGCTTATGTTTCCGTTTTGAGGGCGGCGGTTTCGGATCGCCAGGATGCTATCACGGGGCAGATCAACGAGCGCGTGCGCCACGAGATGCACATGGAAACAGCCAATGCGTTGGACGGCACGACCTCTTATGGACCGCTTTTCCTCGAACTCAAGGAGGTCCGCGACAAGCTCAAGCCAGATCCTAGCCAGACATCGCTGCGTGGGATCATCAGTGGACTACGGCAAATCAAGAACAAGTATGCTAGGGAAGACAGCAACTCTGGTGAGCGGCAGGCACTGGAGACGCGGGTGGTCAACGCACACATGATGGCGATCCAGAAAGACACCATCGCGCAGACCAAGGCGGCCACGGCGATGGAATCGGAGCTGGAGCTCTTCACTACAATTATGAACGCACGCGTTGACTATTATCGTCAGTTACAGATGGTATCCGACAGCGTGCTACCGTACAAAGGCGACAAAGATGACGACGCAATGCAGAGGCTGCGGGCCACGGAAGACAAACTACAGCAGAAGTTGGCTGCGGCCGAGTCCAAGCACAGATACCGTATGTTCCATCTCTCTTTTACTGCGAATGAACCTCTTAGTTCCCTCTTCTTCTCTTCTTCTCTCAACGCAATCCTCGTGCGCTAACGTGATTTCCTATCCTTAGTGGTGAATCTGCAGGAGGCGGGGTCAAAATCAAGCGAGCCGAGAATCTGCGTTATCTGCCAGACGGCGTTTGTAACCGGAGTCTTGACGATTTGCGGACACCAGTTCTGCAAGGAATGCATGATGCTCTGGTTCCGGGCGCATAGGAACTGCCCCGTATGCAAACAGCATCTCAAGCCCTCGAACCTACATGATATCGTGCTCAAGCCGCAGCAGCTGAGGATACATGCCGAGGCCATCGGGGAGGACAACGGAGAAGGGGAGGCAGTCGGTCGACAGTTAGTGACGCCAAGCGTACGTCGAGCTCGCGATCCGTGATTTACACGGAATTTAGTCCGGACAAGTTGGAGGCGATAAGAGATGTTGATCTGGATGGTCCCTCCTTCACCACAAAGGTGGATAATCTTGTTCGGCATCTGCTATGGCTGCGGGAATCTGATCCGGGTTCCAAGTCCATCATCTACTCATCGTAAGGACACTCTCGTTCGGTCTTAACCCTCGCCATGCTGGCACATGGTAAACCTAGTACAAGCTACTGACTCGAAGCCTCACGCTAGGTTCTCGTACTTTCTCCTCATCTTAGAAAATGCCTTCAGGCGCTATCGAATAGGATACACGTCGATCACGAGATCAGATGGCATTAAAACTTTCAAGGAAGATCCCGGAATAGAGGTATTCATTCTTCATGCGCGATCGCATTCGAGCGGGCTCAACCTCGTGAATGCGAACCACGTCTTCCTATGCGAGCCTCTCCTCAACACAGCCCTCGAGCTGCAAGCGATTGCCCGCATCGACAGGATCGGGCAGCAGCACGAAACCACGGTGTGGCTCTACATCATCGATGGGACGGTGGAGGAGTCCATCTACAACCTCTCGGTCAAGCGCCGTATCGAACACATTGGCCGGATGTCAAAGGCAAGGCCCGCGGCACTACGGCGGCGGAGTTTGACATGGCGAATGCGATCGAGATGGAGCAGGCCCCGGAGCTGTCCCGCCTTATTCGGAAGGACGGCATTGGCGGCGAGGTTGTCGACAAGCGCGACGTATGGCAGTGCCTTTTCGGACCTATCCCGGAGCCTCTGCAAGCTAGTTCATCGAAGCCTGATGCGCGCGGACATACGCGCGTGACTATCAATCTTTGACGAGGTTACGCGTAGTCATCATGTTGAATGTTGTTGGCATGGCAGTGGAACTAGCGCCGAGTTGAACAAGGTGACTGGCGTTTATTGACGGAACAAATGGCGGCACTTCTCTCTAGGATATATCAAATTGATCAGTTTAACTAGATATTGTGCATGGAGCCCTCAGGCTATGTTTAATATTCACAGGGCAGTGGTGAAATTGCCAACCTCGTACTTTCAGACCTCAAGAGAGAATGATTTTTGAATGATGGAGGGGTAAATATTAAACACTCTAAACTAGAATCCTGTTGATCTATACACCAGCACTGGGAGACTATGAGATTCCCTCCAATATTATGTTGTCAATTGCTTACTTCCCCTAGTGTAAAGCAACGGACCAGAGGCACAAATCAATGGGAAGAAATTGGACTTTAAATCTTGATCTATTACTCTGTTACTCGAATTTGGTTGTCGTCCACAATGGCTGACAGGAGGGGATCTTCCCCATTATCTTCTTCCTTTTTATAGTAAATTGGACTGGCTAACAATGAATTCATCTACCATGGATGGGGGTCCAAGACACGATGTAAACAATAGCTGGAGGTCTTCAGATATTGTGTGGTTGGTTGATGTGGCTCAATGGCTCAATGGTTCAATGGCTCAATGGGACTGGGGCTGTTTTTGGCGGGGACAAACGAAATCAATAAAATTGAGCCTGGCCACTTGAGAGCTGCTGATGACGGTAGCAACCGATCAATAAGTTTCCGTGGTCTGGAACCTAGACCCATTCCATCAAGCTTCCCCAAACCCTGATCAACCATTGCACGCTCCTTGGCGGCTCGCAAAGAGTAATATTCTCAAAACCCATTCCGTATTTTTCTCATCCTATTTTGCATGGTCAGCGACAACCGAATTCCCATTGCAGTGCCTAGAAGCAGCAGCCTTGAGCCGCTTGTTGACGGAATCCCCCAGACCGAGCCTTGGGAGCTCAGCCTTGCCTTATCCCACCCTCGCCATTATTGCGCGCCTCTCTCCCGCCGCCGTCGCAGAGCAAATTGTTCCCCTCCCTCGAACTATGTTCTAGCCAAATAGCTGTAGCCATACCCTCCAGACCCCACCGATCGAAACCGCCGCACCCATGGCTTCCACCACCGAGGTCATGGCCAACCGCGACCTCTTCCTCCGTGTCCAGGTCGCGTCGATGGGGGCTTGGGACGACTTCCTCGACAAGTGCCTCTTTAAACGTCTGAGCGTCTCCAAGTTCCAGTCCTTTGTGCCTCATCTGCGCTCCAAGCATCCGATCCCCCGATGCCCTCGCCGACCTCCTCCTCCGACCCCGCGCCGGCAACAGCGACTGCCTCGATCCGCGGATTCCCCTCTACCTCCAGACCGTCCTCGAGCTCGAATATATTGACCCTCCCGCCATCCTCAAGGCTCTATACCGCTATTCCACATCCCACACCCAGTCGCAAAGCGGCGTCGAGAAGCTACCTCCCATCAGGTGGCGGAGCTCCTACTCGGCCGAGGAGGTCATGTTCTACCGCCTTACCAAGGTTGTTGTGCATGGCGGCGCCATCCGGGCCCCGAGCGATGCCCTTCGCATGATGGACATCGTAGCGCGGTGGATGGCGCTGTTTACCGCGGCGTTTAGGACTTTGCTGCCGACGTCATGGGTCAGCTGGATAATACTGGTCCGAGGGAGGAAATGGAGTCTGCGCGTGCGGCTTTTGTTGCGCTGCTCTTGAGTGTTTGCGATAACCCCGTCCTACTCGGAACCGTGGGGAGGCCAATGGCAAAGAGTAAGTGTCCATATATATATATATATATATATATGCCTCGGGACGAGACGGGTTGAAAGGCCTTGTTGCTAACGGTGGTCCAAACAGAGGCGCGGAAATTGATGCTAGAAAGTCTGGTCCATTTTGTACCAACATTGCAGAATGCATCCATTGCTGAGCGATTGGAGCTCTTCCGCTCGACGCTGTCAAGTTTCGAACCGGTTGAGAAGGTAAAGGATGGCGAGGAGGCCAAAGGCCTAGATGAAATGCTCGACTCGAGCGTAGGGTTGGACACCGTGATCCTACCGGAGCTTCACATCACCAACTCCCGCGCAGGCCTATACATTTATCTCAATGCATGCGTAAGTCAAATGCCCCCGCATCAAGCTCTGACGACACTAGACAAGGTCTAGCAGCTAATCCTTGCGTGTGTAATGTATTATAGTTTGTCGGAAGGCCGCTGCTGGACGACCACGCTTTCTTCGCATACCTTCACAACCGCTATCAAGGAGATATCCAAACTACGGCCATAGACCTCATCCTAGCCTCCTTTGATATCCTAGCCAATGCGGTATTCAGGACGGAGGGCCCCCAAACGGCGCATCTCCTGCGCTCTTACCTCATCAACAAGCTTCCTCTTATCCTCGTCACCCTAGGCCACTCCATGTTCCCCCACCACTCCGGAATTCTGCATCACCGAAGCCCTCAACCAGGTCGACACCAGCACCTTCCCGACGCTCTCTTCCATGTTTGACGACAGCCCAAACACCAACCCGCTCACCGACAACGTGCGCGAAGAGTTTTGCTTCGCGTGCTGTCTACACAACCTCATGCCCCAGTCGCACATTGAGACGCTCCTCGGCGAGAATACGTACCAGACGCTGCCCTCGGGCGGGCGCTACGTGAAGGAGGACTTGGTGCGGGACTGCGCCGCCGACCCGGAAAAGTTTCAGAGCTTGATAGGCGAGCTCGACAACATGGATGGGAATGTGGGCGCCGTCTGCCAGGCGCTGACAGAGGTACAACCCTCGTCCCCCAACATATGACCGAAATGTTACGCAATATGCAGGTGCTAACCCGGGAACTCGTTCTTCATAGGTACTTGGACGGCTCTGCGCAAACAAGGAGACCATGTCGCTGAAAACGCTGTGCAGCCAATTGGCTAGGAAGCCTCTGAGCTTGGACGTCATGCTTCTCTTTGTTAAGCCTGCTAGTATCCTCCAGCCCATCTGCGACCTGCTAGACAACTGGCAGTACGAGGAAGACCAAGGAGAGTACCAACCAGTCTATGAAGAGTTTGGCTCGATTTTGTTGCTGCTGCTCGCGTTCGCGTACAGGTATAACCTGACGCCCGCGGACATTGGCATCAGGTCTCGCGACTCGTTCGTCTCGAAGCTGCTCAGCCAGGGCCACCTTGGCCGACCTCTCGATAGCCTTACCGAGCAGGAACAGGAGCACTTGGATGGCTGGATCCGCGGGCTCTTTGACACAGACACGGGGGTCTGGGAGACGAACTGATGTCGTCTTGCCCTCCGCAAGATTTCTACCTCCTTATCCCAACACTGTTTCAGAATATTGCCCTTGCGTTTGGATCGGGTTGCTTGGCAGAGGAGACCCTCAAGGGCGGTCTCGAGTGTAAGTTCCAAGCCTTTTCCTATATACACATTACCACCGACGGTGTGGTGGCGATGGGACAGCAGCTAACTTGAGTAGACCTCGTTGATACGTTTCTGCTTCCTCTCTGATTCCGGCTATCCGGTTCCTCTGCGATTACCTTTCCAACGATCAAAAGGACGAGCAAAAGGCAATCCTCAAAATTTTCCAATTACTCTTAACTCCCAGCGCCATCTCTACCGAAGCTTCGACAATGCTAACATCTGTTTTGAATCTGGTGGCAAAGCCGCTCGAACACGCTCTGCGATCGTACCAGCGCCGTGACCCCAAGAACGTCCAGATTGAGCCGCTCTTGCGCACTCTCAAGGATAATCTGGCACTCTCTAGAAGAACCGGAGGGGCGGAGCAGAACGAAGTGGAGACTTGGAGCGGACCGGCGACTGGCGGGCTTGCAGTCACGGTCAAGCACACAGTAGCTAGTTTCATACCGTGGGCCCTGCACCCGAGGCTCAACGCCATGCCGACACCTTACACACACCGACAGCTACTCTACGGCATCAAAGTGCTCGGCGCACCTCGCATTCTTCGCATCATTCTCGAAGAGCTTCAGCAGCAGACAGAGGCGGGCAACGCCAGCATCGCCTTTGACATTGCCAGCGCGCTCATCTGCGCCCCGGACGTGACCAGTGACGTTTTGCCGGCCGCCTTGCAGACGCTGGACGAGTCGGGCAACGTACCCCCAACCTCAGCGACCGCTCAGCATCCGCGAGGCTCTCAAGGCGGAGGCTGAGGGCTTCCGGAGACTACACAAAAGGACCCCGCGCTCGCGGAGGCGGTGGTGCGCTTGTACCGCAAGGTCGAGGCCCAGATGACGCCGTCGCAAGCGCAAATACTGCAGGCGGACTTGGAGGCGTCGCTCGACACCTCGGACGCTGTTCAGGCGGCAGCGAACGCGGCGGCTGCCGCTGCGGCAGTGGCTGGCGCAGGGCCCGGGGACCCGATGCAGATGGACTCGGTGGGATTAGATATGATGGCCGGGGTGACGGGCAGCGATTTTGGCATGGGAGGATCCGCCAATGGGGGCTCGTTGGACTTGAACGATGATATTTTTGGATTGGAATCCGGAATGGATTCGTTTGATGTGGGGAGACATTATGGAGATTTGATAGCGGTCCTTTTTTGCTTCTTCCTTTTTCTTAGATCTCCTCTGCGTTCCCCTCGATTCTCTTGTTTCGCTTGCGCATCTCTATGGAGCTTGGATCGAAATGAGCTTACTTGGATTACGTTTTACAGCCTTGGGCTCCCTTATTCTTATTGCAGAAAGGAGACGCTTCCGGTCGTTGGGCCCTAGCTCTCAAGGAGGAAGAAGACTAGCCACTAGGCACTACGAGCGAATATTGTATCACTTGGTGATTAGAAGGAGAGGCGCATGAGAAGCGCTATCTGAGCCAGTGCAGAGGTTCATGCTTGGAAACACATCATTCACGAGCGCCAGCCGGGATTGTTTATCAATTGACTTTTTAAAAGATGAGTAGAAGCAGATGGATCTCATAGCTCAATTGGAAAACACAATGCCAATACCCGTCAGCGAAGAGCAGAGATCTCGAGAGAAAGATCGCGGCGATTGAGCGCGGCAGTTTTATGTACACTATCGAGCCTGTCAAGCCCGTGTTGCTGTTCCTGGCATGTGGTCCGTGCATCATGGCGCCTTCCCAAACGCAGGAGCCGGCCCACTTGCTCCTGCTCTGTCGGTCCCTGCTCACCTAAGGCCAGATTGCATCCAAGGGCCGTCCATCGAAGCCCCCGTGCGGCGTACTATTGTCAATTCGCACTGCAAATTAGCCACAGCTGCAGCCGAACGCTTTATTCTTCCCGTGCCACGCGAGAAACCTCGTCTCCCTTCCCTTCCCCCGCCCCATCCTCCAGGACGACAATTCCATTTCTATTTTATGTTCAATCCATCTCTCTGAGAGCTGTTCCACCCCCTTCTCCTCTTGTTTTCTTCTTCTTTGCCCGGTCCTGCCTCCTCGTCCCCCGCAATTCACCATGCATTTCAAGGTGACCTCGCTTCTTGCTCTCTTCGCCATGCCCATTTTGGGCGCATTGGCTGAGGATGATGCTTCGGTACGACTTCTCCCCCTTGCCCCATCCAATTCAAGCATATAGGTGGTGATGGCATCATCCAATGGCTCGCCGAAAGCTTCCTTTCCTTTGCTTTTCTGTTGTGTACCATGCTTGAGCCGTGGTGCCCACGCGCTGCGTTGGGAGGACAAAGCTGACCGATCAACCAACCCTTAGGTCCCTCCTGTCGATGCCGAGAACCTCGACTTCGAGCTCCCCCACGAACCTCAACGCCGATTTCCAAGTCTCCTTCCCCGATGCCGACATCTTTGGTGTTAAAATCGTCAACGGAAAGCCCACCAAGGCCGTGATCGACGTCACCAACAACGAGGAGGACTACATCTCGGTCGAGTTCATCACCGGCGTCCTTGCCACCCTCAAGCAGCTTCCCCCGATGCGCCCCCATGGCTGGCATCGTCAAGAACCTCACCACCATGTCGTATGGCGCCAAGCTTGCGCCCGGCGAAAAGGTTTCTCTCCCTTACTCCTTCGCCGTGGACATGTTCCCTCAGGACGTCGAGGTGAGGCTCCTCGCCGTCGCATCCAACTCGGCGGGTGGTGTCTACCAGCTCCAGATTGGCACCAATGCGGCGAGCGTCGTTGACCCTCCCGTCAGCATCTTTGATCCTCAGATGTAAGTTTTATCCCTCCGTAGCCGGGCCTCCCACTATCTTCTCTTCTGTCACTCAGGTGGCTAATTTTTCCGCGCTAGCATCTTCCTCTACCTCTTCCTCACTGGTGCTTTCGCCGGCACCGTCTACTTCGTCTACAAGACCTGGATCGAGGCCCTCTTCCCCCAGGCTCGCCGCACCCCGCCCGCAAGCCCAAGGCTGTCGAGCCCGTCGTTGATGCCAACCTCTCCGGATCCGAGTCCACCGGCTTCGCGACTGGCAAGAGCTATGATGAGAGCTGGATCCCCGAGAGCCACATCCGTCCTGCCGCCAAGCGTGTCAAGACTAGTGGCAGCGCCAAGAAGCAGTAAATTCTGCAAGAAATGCGTTGCGTCGCGGGGCTCCTTGGCAATCAGGCGAATCTCGAGAGGCAGCCACTTCTTCTTTCTACCAGACGTCGGAAGAAATAAGATTGTCACCCTTTTTAAGTTTTTTTTTTTTTTTATCGGGATACTTATTCTCTAGGAGAAAGGCAGTGAGAAGACTTATGAGGAAACTCTAGCATGGTAGCGAGGGCTTATCTAGGGTTTCGGTCAGGATGTCTCGACTTTTGGCTTCCACAGTAGCCATCGGTGTATCAGTAATACCTTGCAAAATAGGCGAGTGTTGGCGGTTCCGTTTCCTCTTGTCGAGTTTGACGAGACGGTTTTCTGTCCTATATATGAAAATAGACATGTAATATATGAATGAACGCCGGTCCCAGTAACATTTGTGTGCTTGAACCTCTGCCGTGAATTTCATGAAGACATTGGAGGGTAAGGAAGATTGGCAGCATATGCGATGTGCTTTGCCATGTAGTCTTCAAGGCAGTTTGGCCATCACCTTGGCGATTTCGCTTGTTTCCCCTCTTGATCTTCGTTGGCTTACGAAGGAAGTGAACCAGTATTGTATAACCAAAGGAGTTTGTGAAAGTTTTTCTTTTTTTTTTTGTTTTCATCTTCAATGATGTCAAAAATTCCCGTCCCAAGTACCTAGACTCCTTGTCATGCATTCAAAATCCCTCCCGATCCCGTGGCGGGACAAGGTCTCACCAAACGTGCCTCTCCCACGCCATGTCTTGGCTAACCGAGGAACCCGCTTTCGACAGCGCACTCGCCCGTGCGATATGTAAAACCACTAGTCTAGACCTCCATCGGTCAACTCTTTCCAGATCCTTTCGCCCATGTAGTTTATTTAGCCTTTTCCGAGCCATTTTCCTTTTCTGTTCCTTTCCTTCCCCGCCCCGCCGGTTTCCTTCTCTTCACCACCACCTAGCAAAAACCTTGCTTTATGGATCCGATAGCTTACGCAGTCAAGGTGCCCTTGGTGCTGGGGATCTCGCCTTCCCTGCCGGCGACCTTGGTGGTGGCGGCGCGAACGGCGATGGCGAGGGCCTTGAAAGCGCTCTCGGCCCTGTGGTGATCGTTCTCGCCCCTGATGCAGTCGACGTGGAGGGTGACGCGGGCGCCCTGGGCAAAGGACTGCATGCAGTGGGGGATCATTTCGCAGCTGAGGTCGCCGATGCGCTCGCGGCGGAGGCCGAGGTCGATGACGGAGTAGGGGCGGTTGGAGAGGTCGATGACGGCGCGGGAGAGGGCCTCGTCGAGGGGGCGTAGGCGTAGCCGAAGCGGGCGAGGCCGATGGGGGCGCCGAGGGCCTTGTGGAAGGCGTAGCCGAGGGCGATGCAGACGTCTTCGGCGGTGTGGTGGTCGTCGACTGGAAGGAATGAGGTTAAGATAAAGGGGACTAGGAAGAGGTGTCCGGGGTGGGGGAGAGCTGGGCTTACTGTGAAGATCACCTTTGCAGGCAATGGCGAGACTCCAGCCGGCGTGCTTGGCCAGGGCGTGGAGCATGTGGTCGAGGAAGCCGATGCCGGTGTTGACGTTGATGACTTGGCTCTTGCTGGCCTGCTTGGCGTGGTCGTCTCCGGCAGAGAGGAGGCGGGAGTCGGTATCCGGGGGAAGTCGCCGCCGTCGAGGTTGAGGGCGAGCTGGATCTTGGTCTCGTTGGTGTCGCGGGCGATGCAGGCCCAGCGGGGTTCTGAGGAGCCATTGCGGGAGGGTGGGACGAGGGGTGACTCTGGGTGACGAGGTGAGTTGAGGGAGTTGGGGACGTTGGTGGGGTTCCTGGCGCGGGGTGTGTGTGAATGCGTCGTTTGGCGGGGTAGGATTGTTGATTTGCCTTTTTTTCTTTCTTGTTCAATGCTTTGCGAAGGGCGAAAGAGGGGCGACGAGTCACGACAAGGGTATGTTGATGTCGAAGGAAGGGCGCGCGCGGCGTGTGGAAGGATGTACGGAATGGAGGAAGGATGCGAGAGGAGTCACTCAGGCTTTAAAGAGCAAAGAAAAAAAGAAAAAAGAAAGCCAAGCAAAAAATGTCGGGGTCAAGGAGGGAGTGTTGGGTTAGTACGGGATTAGCGCATAAGCAGATTTCTCAGTGGTGTGGATGGTGGATGCTGCCTGAGAGACCCGTCAATTGCTATCTATCATTGGATCTAACTGTCTTCGCATCGCTGCAGGCCAATGCCAATGCCCAATTCCCGAGAATAATTGATCAATGATCAATAAACCGAGTCGAATTGTTTCTTGGTGGGGGTTCCGATTCTGGTGTGGAGGGTCAATCAGCTCAATTCATTGTGGCCTTTCTTTCCCTTGTTTCTTTCTTTTCTTTTTCCCCACAGTTTTTTTCGCTGCTCTTATCTTATCAGTTGCGGTCTCGGCCTTAAGCCTCCAGGGGTGCTTTGCTCTTTCCTCCCCCAAAAGGTGGTCTGTGACTCAGGTATCTTGTAGCTTTGCAACGTCGGATTTTGAGAGAGCCTCTTAACCTTGGCCCTTCCGATATCGAATAAGAAGAAGGACGGGAAACCCCAACTCTCTCACTTCTTCTCCGTTCAGCTTTCTCCTCCCTTCGAACCTCACCCCCATCCCTCACCTTCTTTCCCCCTCTCTCTCCTCCCTCTCCTTCTCTCTCCTCCCTCCCCGACGGCTTCAAAGTAAAACCCCCCTTCGAAGCCATGGCCTCCCAGGTTCTCCTCCAAGCCAGGCTCTTTCGGGCCAGCCCGGGCCAATTGACTCGCTTCGCCCGTCACTACTCGGCGCCCGCCAACAACTCCATCCCCGCGGCCAAGAAGAAGTATGTGCCTACCTCGGGCACGTATCCCCAGGGCTTCGACGCCTCCGGCACCATTGTCGGCGTGAAGCCCGGCAACACCACCAAGCCCGACCTCGCCCTCATCTCGTCCCACCTGCCCTGCTCCGCCGCGGCCGTGTTTACCAAGAACAAGTTCCAGGCCGCGCCCGTGACCTTTAGCAGGGACCTCTTGAAGAAGAAGTCCAACCACGGCATTCGTAGCGTCCTCATCAACTCGGGCTGCGCCAACGCCGTTACCGGCAAGGGTGGGCTCGAGGATGCGAAGCTCATGGCCGGCGAGGCGGACAAGTCGCTGGGCAGCCACGAGGCTACTGTAGTCATGAGCACCGGTGTTATCGGCCAGAGGTACGTTGACGACAGCCCCTTCTCCACATTCATGAAGCTTGTTTCTCTCTGCGCAAAAAATAAAATAAGGCTTACCATTCTTGTATAATATAGGCTCCCTATCCAGAAGATTGTGGATAATGTCCCCGCCGCCTTTGAGCGCCTGGGTTCTTCCCACGACCACTGGCTCGCCTGCGCCAAGGCCATCTGCACCACCGACACCTTCCCCAAGCTCCGGTCCAGGACCTTCACCCTCCCCTCTAGCGGATCCACCGAGTATCGCATCGCCGGCATGACCAAGGGCGCCGGCATGATCCACCCCAACATGGCCACCCTCCTCGGCGTCATCGCCACCGATGCCCCCATCGCCCCGGAGCTCATGACCCGCTTCTCAAGCACGCCGTCAACCGCTCCTTTAACAGCATCACCATTGACGGCGACACCTCCACCAACGACACTGTCGCCTTCTTCGCCAACGGCGCCGCCGGCGGCTCCGACATCGTCTCGGCCAACTCCCCGATTATCTTGCCCTCCGCGACGTGCTCACCGACTTCGCCACCGACCTCGCCAAGCTCATCGTCCGCGACGGCGAGGGCGCCACCAAGTTCGTCACCATCCGCGTCGCCGAGGCCGCTTCCGAGGACGCCGCGCGCCGCGTCGCCAGCACGATTGCCCGCTCCCCGCTTGTCAAGACGGCCCTCTACGGCAAGGACGCCAACTGGGGTCGCATCCTCTGCGCCACCGGGTACTCTCTCATCTCGGAGCCCGGCCACGACGTCACCGCCGTCGACGAAATCGTCCCCGAGACCACCAACGTGTCTTTTATCCCCACCGACGGCTCGGCTGAGCTGAAGCTGCTCGTCGACGGCGAGCCGAGGACGTGGATGAGGCTAGGGCGGCGGAGATTTTGGAGCTCGAGGACCTCGAGATCCTCGTTAGGCTCGGCACCGGCAAGGAGCAGGCGACGTACTGGACCTGCGATTACAGCCACGAGTACATTACCATCAACGGAGACTACCGAACCTAATGAACCGAGCAAGCCGAGGAAGTTTGCGCACGCGTGTAGTTTGTGCAATGAATGTATTTGATATTGAAATCTTTTTTAGGTTATCTAAGAGTGACGAAGAGCTAGAAGCAAGGGAGAGAGAGAAAAGACAAAAATAGGTCGCCTTGGGATGGTTTGGAGTTACTAGGATAAGGGGGTGTTCTTTTTTTTCCAATTCTTCAACTTTACAATAGACTACATGCCGGATTCTAGACTACCATGCATGCCCTGATCTTCATATTTCTCTGAGACCTATGCGGCATGTGACTGAAACTAGCGGCAGGAAATTTTGGTTTATACCTTGGTTCGTGTTTGCGAAATCACGAGAGGAGAGGAGAAACACGTAAGATTTGACAGCACTTCGGGATGAAGAGTACAGACCAGGCGGGGGCTCGAGGAAAGGGAATCCACGGCCCCTCCAGCCTAGTCAAGGAGTAAGATTGAAAAGCGGGTGCTACGAGAGAACTTACTCCGGGGTGAAATCATAAGCCCAGTGTTCTGATCACAGAGGAAAAGGTGTGAAGGCGAAGAGTTGGAAACAAGAAGATGGCGGCGGTGCCAGTTGTGATGCACGTCAAGGCACAGGCGGGAGACGAGGCAGGAAGTAAAAAAAATGATAGTAAAGAGTTTCAATTTAGCTCCGTTGCTTCGTCAAAAGTGATACCCCGGTGCGGGACCGATGAGAAAGGAGGAAGAGGGGAAAAGGGCAAAGATACATGTAGAAAAGAGAGGCTAGAATCAAAGGAGGACGTACCGGGAGAAGTCGCCTGGGAAGAACAGAGAACAAGAAAGACGAAAAGAAGTAAGAGACATTTAGCAAGGCATCTTTCCTTCCCTCTTGCAATTCTAAGCCGTCCGCCCTCTCCAAAACGCTCTCAGAACCCATCCAACCTAAAGAGAAAAAAAACAGCAGCCAAACCTAGACAACACCCCGCAGCCGCCATTCTCACCTCGGGGGACTGAGAGGCCGGTTGAAGCCTTTGGTACGGTTCATGTACTGCCTATACTGCGTCGTCTTCTCTTTACGCACGGCGCCCGCGTTATTTCCCGCCACTTTCTTATCCTTGGTCGTGCCGAAGCCGCCAAAGCCCATCATGGCCTGCATGTCGGCGAAACCGTCGTCCTCCACCACCACGTCCGGGTCCTCGTCGTCGTCCTCATCGACCTCATCGGCATTCCTAGCACGGTCCTCTTCCTCGTCGTCGTATCGGCCCCGCCGACCGCGCGAGCGGTCCTCCTCGTCGCCCTCGAGGTCCATCGCGTCGCCGTCCCCGTCCGCGCCGCGCTCGCGGGAGGCGCGGCGACGACGACCCTGACCACGCGACGACGAATCGGCCGCATCGCTCTCCGGGGGCGCGGGGAGGCGGTGTCGTCGCGGCCGCCGACGCGGAAAGACATGGCGTTCTTGGAACGCTCGTGCTTGCTCCGCGTGGGGAGGGTGTCCAGGTGGCCGTCCTGGCGGAGTTCTGCGTGGGGATCGTCGCGGGTCACGGGGCTTCGATGGCGCCGGGGAGGGCTTGCCGACCGGCGGGGAGGCGGAACGACGACGGGCTTTATCCTGCTTCTCTGCGCGGGCGGGAGGAGGGGGCTTGACGCCGGGCGTGCCTCTGTCGTTGTCCCCATCCCGACGCCTCAGCTGGAGGCCGGAATCATCATCATCGCCGCCGCCACCGGCGTCGTTGTCGTCGTCTCCTCCGTCGTCGCGGCGAGCGTTGCCACGCGGGTGGTCTTCTTTTCGGTGCCTGTCGCGTTCTCTGTCGCGGCCCTTGGCGGGCCCTCGGCCACCGAGCCTATCGTCCCTCGGCCGATCCCGGTTCCTGTCCTCGTCCCTGTCTCTCGATCGGGGCCGTTCGCCTCCTTGACGTCTGCTCCTGTCGTGGCGGTCCCTGGAGCGGGATCGGTACCTCTTGGCGTCGCGGTCGCGGTCGTCCCGAGAGTCGTGGTTGCGTGCGCGGTACTCTCTCGGCTGGTCTCGGTCTCGGCCGCCCCGGTTGCTGTCCCTCTCCCGATCCCTGTCGCGGTTTCGGTCGCGGCCCTGGCCCTGGCCGCGGTTGTCTGGTCGCGTCTGCCTCTCTGATTCTTCCCACATTTGATGACTATCGGGCCGCCGGGACCGCCTTGCGTACGGCTCGGACATGGTACGCGTTGATGTGGTGGTCGTCGCGGGACGGCTCTCACAAGTCCTTGTTTGCTGGTTTGAATTTTTGATTTTTTTCCCTGGGGCGCTTCCAGGTGGGGTTTCGAAAATCGAGAGAATGGTCGGGAGGTGGCTAGTGTGCGTTGGTGCGTAATATTCTTTTGTCGTATTTCTATTAATCTTTGGATTTTGCGATGCGTCTGGTGGTGGATGAAAAATCGCCTTGGGTTCCCTATGTGATAGGGAGAGAAGCCTGGGTTGATTGATTACCTGGGTGATGAATTGATCTGGGGGCTTGCGGTAGGACGAAGTATTATCAGTGCGCCACTTATGGTGGGGGACAGCACTTGAGGACTGTGGCGGGAGCTATCCGAGTCAGGCAGGCTCAGTGGCCACACCCACTGATAATCATTTCGGTTCGGAACAAACGTGAGAACAACGTTGGCAGTGGTATCGGCCAAAATCATGGCTTTTACAAAGAGACCCTCACGATATAGTCTTCATTTTCTGTAAGCGACGTTTGTGGCCACAATTTTCAATAGAATGTGGAAAGAATTTACCATGTATTTAGCACATTTTTATATCTCGTCTTCTTCGTCATCGAAATCGTCCTCTCTCCCCATCTCGTACAGAATCCTCCCACCCTCTCCCCCACCAATATCCGTCTGGGCATCGAAATACGGCAGCACGATTCCCTCCCTGTCGCTGCGCTGCTTATCCGTGAGCCCCAGGTTGAACGTACTTTGGGGCTGTTCCTCTCCCTCGTTGGCCTGGGAAGCCGCGGCGCCTTCGTCCTCTGGGGGCTTGAACCCGGGGTAGTTTTCCTGCAGAGAGAAGCTCGAAAGCGCGCCCATTTTCCTCTCGGCGCCGGTGGGGTGGCGACGACAAAGGTGCCCGTGACGGGCCGGCCGCTCCGCCTCCTAAGCTCCATCTGGACGACGAAGCCGTTGCCCTGGCCCCCGGGCTTCCTTTCTTGCAGGCCGATGAGGACCCCCTCGCGCCCTTCGCGGAGGCCGAACTCGGGCTCGGGGACGCTCCGGTTCCTGGCCTTTTGACGCTCGATCTCGTGAGCGAGGCTGGAGAGGCGCAGCACGGCGGTGGCGAGGTGGGTGAGGACCGCGAAGGGATGGGGGCGTACTCGTTGTAATTTCTGGGGAGGACGACGGGGACGTCGGAGTGGTAGATGGCGACGAGGGAGACGGCGGGGGTGATGGCGTTGGAGAGGAAAGCGATGAGGTTGTCCGGGTTGCTGGCGACGAGGGGGTTTAGAGAGTCAAGTATGACAAGGGCTCCTGCGAGTTTATTCCTGTTTAGCACCACTCTATTCCGCTGGAACTAAGAAGCCAGCCAGTCAGCCCGGCCAAACGAGCCAGGCGAAGGTAGGATCATTAAAACGTACTCTGGGCTTGCTTGGGGGTTTTGGGGTCGACGGCAGGGAAGTGCTTCATCAGTTCCGTCCTCACGGCTGCCAAGGACTTCCCCCTCCCGCTTAGATGTACATCTGCGTGCGCGGGTTTCTTCAGCGTGGAGAAGCTGAGATAGATGATTTTGGCCTTGGCCGCTTTCTGGGACAGAGAGCAACGACGGTAGGTTAGCGTCAGAAAACGAAGCTTTGATATATTGCCCTCGCAGAAAACAAAAGAAGAAAGAAGAAAAGCCCTTAGTGCGAGTGGGGAGAGAATCTGTAGATACCTTGGATCTCAGCGCAAACTCGGTGACTAGAGGACCGGCGGGCTGCTCGAGACTGTCCACGACGAGGGTGAGAGGGCTCGCGCTGTCGCGCTGGTTCAGCAACTTTTGGAAGAGGAGCATTTGGCGCTGGCGCTGGTGATCAGCTGCCGAGGGCGCCATGTTGGAGAGAGTCTGTAACCTCGGCGACCTTGGAGACTGATTTAGGTGACAAGGGAGGCGGGGAGGAAGACGCTGGAGGGCGTGAGAAGGAAAGGAAAGAGAGAGAAGAGAAGGGGGAAAAAAGGGTTGTGGAGTGTATCACTGTCGAGTGAGGCTTTGTGTGTGCAACGCGCCTATGGTCAACAGTTTCAACCTGGAATTTTTGGATCAGTCGCAGTTCAGCGAAATCTTTCTCATGGGGGTTGTCTTGTCGACTTGCGGGTGGTGCGAAGAGCGCTGCGCAAGTTCGTATGCTCTAGGTGCCTCGAGCTATGTGAAGGCGGGATGTGAAAAATATTCGATTGTGAGGTTGTGTAAGCGCAAAGTATCCCAAGGAGTCGCAAAGAGCATTCGCTGTTGAACTGACGTTGTCTGGAGTGGGAAGCGGGCGAGTCATCCCGTAGGTCAAATTTCGCTCCGTGCTCGCTTGGTTTGCTGGAGGGGTTAAGTTAGTGCTGGCAGCATTCTAGTTCTGGGTCCAAAGACCCCGTCGATCGTTGATGTAATCGCTCAACTCAAATTGATCCAGTACCACTCCCCCAAGTTTACCACATCCACTGACTAGGTTGAGATCTCGATTGCGTCCACTTAGTGGGTGGATAGATTGAATCGTTTAGTATTGGAACAGTGAATTCTTTCAGAGTCAACAGCATGTTAAAGTAGACAGTGATCGTACTCTCAGTCATCCATTAGTACAATGCCCCTTTCAAGCTCACAGAAGTATGGAAAGTCGAGACTTGACGTCTGCTAAGTTGTGTGGCTTTCAAGACACGCGCGCCCATCCCTCGATAAGGATCAATGGTTCAACCCATAACTCACCTCCAAGGCTGCCAGTCTCGTGCTGTTTGAACCCAAGCTTTATTTCAACCGCTCCGCCAACCCTTTCAACTTCGACGTCCATCTCTGTTGTTGTTTTTTCGGCCGCAAATGCCAACAGCACGCCCGTCCATTCCACACATATACACTTTCGCACTGGACTCTTCTTTTTATTCTACATCTTAGCAGGCGATCGCCGTACCCTCAGCGCTGGCCTCCTCTCCCCGCACCGCAAGCAAGATGAGGACCCGCGCCGCTGCACGTCAGGAAGCAAGTAATCACTCCGACCCAGCAGAAGCCGGTTCCCCGACTGGCGATCCGGCACCCGGCAGCCCCAGCGTCCCCGCCCATGCCCAACCCCCAACCCAAGCCAAGGCTCAGGCTGAGGCTGAGGCCCAAACGCCGACTCGGCCACGCTCCGTCAAGAAAGCGCCATCTCGGAATAGATGGGCGGCTCCAAGGGTTTACACGAACCCCAAAACCCCGCTAACGTGGAACAACGTTTTCGTAAGTACCAAACACTCCGACCCTGAATCTCCAGCAGCCCTCCGTTGCGCACATACAAGGGTCTGATCAACCCCACACTTCCCCCATCCCCATTTCTAAGAGAATGATAATACCCCTTCACCACCTAACATATCCTTTTTCCTGACTTTTTTTTCTCTCTTCTTCCCTTTTTCTCCCTTGGCTAGAGTACTTTATCAAATCCCATGGCCTGGGATGTCCTTTCCGACGAAGAAAAGAGGGAAATCCTTGCCCTCTTCCCCGATGGCCAGCACCTCTTGAATCCCGGCACCAAGGATGCCCGCCCGGATATGGACGCCCTTCGAAGCGACGATACCTGGCGCCACGACATTGCTCGCTACGTCGAGTACATCCAAGAAGGCAAGTGTGACCCCCAGTGGTTAGCCGAGGCGTTTGAAGCCCGCGAGCACAGGAAGCGCGGGGAGTACGACGATTATCTGGCTCACAAGCTAGAGGAGGACTGGGGCGAGGTTGAGAGAGTAAAGACGGAAGCGCGGATAGAGGAGGGTGGCGAGGAGATGGAGATGAAGAGGAATGAGGGTGACGATGAATTGTGCATCGTGGTGCGGGTTGAGCCAGTTGGCGGCGATATGGGCATGGCCGGTGTTTGAGGAGAGGAACTGGAGGGTCTGGGAGAGGGAAGAGCAAGAGCAAGTGAGCATCGCGGGCAAGGATATCTTTACAGCGGTTTGCGAGGATTCTGATCTATGAGGCGTATATCCATCCCTCTTCTCCTGGGCCATGGTATTGCATGGTTGATTAATGGCGGCGCTTCTTTTTCTTCCTGTTCTTTTTTTTTATTCCTCTTGAGCACGACTAGCCTTGTATACATCCATTGTAACGCTTAACGATATGAACGATTGATGTTTACTCTCGACATCTATTATCATTGATCATTTTTATACGTGTGCACTTACACACATTGTTGTGAAGTACGGGCTGTTTGCAATGAGTGCCATGTCATCTTGTCAATTGATCTTGGATGAGGTCAGCTTGGCCTCTGGATTGGCCTCTCTGACATTTCATGTGCTCTACACCTTAATAAATGTTGTCATCGCCGTTTGGCATGTGCTCGCCAAATGCATCATTGACGGGCCTTGCCTGCTGGGCGAATGAGCTTGAGAGCACAAGAGCGTAATAATACTCCATGTATCCATTGGAAGGTCAACGTGGTCGGTACGTACCTGTTCCCAGCTTCGGGGATACATGGGTACCTAGATCAAGATCCATTTCAAGGACACCTCACAAGAAAGCTCCCTTCAACAAACGAGCGCCAAACCACGACCCAATTCCACCACGCCCTCCTCCCTTCTCCCCTTTCCCGGCCAGGCTCCAGCTTCTACTCTACTAATAGGCACCGAACGCCCTCGATTACGATAAAGCGACCAAGACTGCGATTTCACCTCTCCATCCACCTCCCCGCAACGGCCTGGGCGCGCCCCCTTTCAGTCCTTCTGTCAAAACCGCCTTTGAAGGAACCCCGTCTTTCGACACAGAAACTGCGCAGGACATAATTTCCTACGCTATCCCACAGACCCTTTTTCGCCATGATTCGATCAACTCAAATAGCGCGCCTTGACGGTATGTGTGTTCCTGTCCCTTTCGCTCCCCATGGGAATTGGACGGGAGAAACACAGCAGGATGAAAGCGGAAAAGACGAAGAGGAAGAAGAGGATAAACGAATCACACCGGAAAAAAAGAAAAGAAAAGAAACTAGCCAGAAGTCAAGAAAGAACTGAAGAAGGACGGTATGGGCTGACTCGAATTCCAATCTCCAGGCCTCATGCTCTGCGCATCCGTCGACGATGAGCAGGTAAGATTCCATACACACATATTCCCGTCCCCCTCCTCCAGAGAAGCCCTCCAGGTGGCTAACAGATTCTTTCGGACACGATAGTCGGAAACCTCCGTCGGCGAAGTCAAGAGCCAGATCCGCCAGATCCTCCGCAAGCTAACGCGCAACTCGGAAGCGCAAGCAAGCATCGAATCCGGCTCCTACATCCTCCAGTGCGTTTTGTACCCTCCCTCCCTGCCTCCCTACCACCCTAGACGAGGCGAAACGAAACAGCCATTGCATAGAAAAATCCACCCTTTGGCTCTCTTTTGCTAACCACCGCGCGCCTCCCTCCCTCCCCGCCCCTCGCCAACAGCTACCTCATCGACAGCGACATCGTCTTCCTCTGCATCTGCGAACGCACCTACCCCCGCAAGCTAGCCTTCACCTACCTCTCCGACCTCGCCCGCGAGTTCACCACCACCCACCCCCGGCCCAGGTCCACGCCCCGGCCCTCCGCCCCTACGCCTTCATGGACTTCGACACCTTCATCTCCCGCACAAAGGCCACCTACTCCGACGCCCGCGCCACCCAGAACCTCGACCGCCTCAACGACGAGCTGCGCGACGTCACCAAGGTCATGACCAAGAACATCGAGGACCTCTTGTACCGCGGCGACTCCTCGAGCGCATGGGCGAACTCTCCTCCCGCCTGCGCGACGACAGCAAAAAGTACCGCAAGGCCGCCGTCCGCATCAACTGGGACCTGCTCGTTAAGCAGTACGGCCCCTTTGCCGCGCTCGGCTTCATCATCCTCGTCTTCTTTTGGTGGAGGTTCTTTTGAAATGCTTGACGAGGGGTGGGGGCCAAAGAATCAGCATTGGGGGCGGGGGAAAGGTTGGGGAGGGAAGGGGCGGGGAGCGAACTTTGACGCGTACGTTATGGTCTCGATAAGGGTTGGATGTTGCGGCCCCCTTGCAGAGACTTGACGCGACAACGTGTTTGGGGAGGGAGGGAGGGAGGGAGGGAGAAGGGCCTACTTCATAAGGTAGAAAAAAAGAAGAAGAAAAAAAGACCGAAGCACGCGGTATGCCGGCAGATGACGACTGAGCGCAACGTTGGTTTGGGGAAATGGCGAAGCCCCACTTGATACCCTCGAGGCTCGTCTTGTATGTGTGTGTATATATATATTATCAGGAGCACATGGAATTCTACATACGAATGTTCTTAGTTCTTTGCTTCTTTCTTGTCTCTCTATTTGTCTTGATGATGAAGTATCGCGTAAAGGCTTCAACGGTGAGTAGGGGAACAAGACTTGAAAGCGTAACCGCCCAAGTCAGGTTGCTTCAACGGTGAGTAGGGGAACAAGACTTGAAAGCGTAACCGACCAAGTCAACCTGACTTGGGCTGAGATATAGTGTAAATAAAACCAGCTACCCCAAAACCACCTTGGGTGATCCTTCATATGAACTCATCACCATAGGGAGAGAAGAAAAAAAGATTGGGGCAAACAGGCCACCCGAGCTTGTTTGGTTAGGATTATCTTGTGCTCGTTGAAAAGAGAAAAAGTATAGACTAGATGCCTATCCCATATAAACGCCGCAGCTACGAGGCTCTAACAAATGGCTCTTCTATATATCAAACTCGTCCCGTCATGATAAAAGACAATGTCCGGAGGGGGAGAAAAGAAAAGAAAGAGAAAGGGGTCGGTGAGAGGGGCTAGAGCAGAAAAACGAGCAAGGTAAGGGATCCGGTCGTAACTCCCTCATCAACAAGCTGCTTCCCCTCGGTTTGTTTGCCCCTCCTCATGGGCGCACCGCTCAAAATCTTGCAACGGGGCAGGGAAAAAGAACAAAAAAGAAAGGAAAAAAACTCCATATCCATCCATCCCAACCAAAACGCCTTGGCTTGTCCCATCCCAGATAAATGCTGATTCCGCGTAAAACGAGCCGCCTGCCTTCCCATCATCATGAGGCCACCTCCACACGCACACCTTCTCTCTTTGCATATAGACCTGAGGACCCAAAAGCACCGAAAGCGCCGAAAGTGAGAAAACCATTCTAGGCGAAAATACGAAGCAGCACACTTGCTCCGAAGAAAGAAAACAGATCAGATGGTGAAAGAGCACGAGGGCAGTCGCGGGATCGCGGATGTGGCAAAGCAAAATGGTGACTTCCCAGCTTGGCCCTGCTACATGATCCTACAGCTGTTCTTCGGCGTTGGTAGAGCTATCGTGGGTACAGCCATGGCCGTGTGCTGCCATTCCAGGTGCTCCTGAAAGGCCTGTAGGGAGGGATAGGCCCGCTCATCGTAACGGAGATGCTCCATCTCGTCATCACCTTGGGCGAGGACGTATTCACCATCGCAAAGGGACATATTATCCCGGACTCAAAGTGACCGTTGGCCGGGGGCATGTGGTTGCCAATGGCCAGTGGGGCAAAGACTATGCTCTTCTCTTCCCTGGTGGTGACGGAGAAGCCGGTGGCCTGCCAGTGTTCGATGCCAGCAGTTGGGGCGGGGGCGGTGTCGGGGACTCGGAGGCGGCGACAGACTCGTCGACTGCGCGAATGGAGGGCATGTTCTCGAGATCCTCCCACACGATATGGCCGTCGCAGAACTCGCAAATGAAGGTGACATCGACGTCGCCGAAGCGCTCAAACTTGCCGACGCTATTGCACGTCACCAACTCGTCGAGCTGGCGGCTCCTGTACTCGTCAATGCGGTTACACGGTTGGTTGGTCCAATCGCGCTGTTTGCGGTAGACGAGGAAGCCACCGAGGCACCTTGGTTCGGATTCCTGCTCGACGGCATATATCCTTCCCACGGCTCTGCACTGAGTGCGGTGTAGCTCGCGACGTAGAAGCTTCGTGTCGTTCACCCATATGGGATTTATAGGGCCACCGGTTTCGGCCCAATCTCGAATGTGTTGTATGTGCAGCTCGGTTTTTGAGCGCAGCGATTTGAGCTCATTGAGGGATTCACCTAGGAGGGCGGATGGATACGTAAGTAGGGGAAACACGCAAAAAAAGAAAGCGGATAGAGCATGCGTAGCTGCGCGCAAGCGAAAGAGACAACGGGGCGGGTAACGGGGAGGCGGGGAGGCGGGCCTTACGCTTGCGATCATTCTCGTAGTATATCTGACCCTTGACTAACGGGGAGAGTTCCTGGAAGTCGGTCTTGGCCTCATTGAGCGCGTCTTGGAAGGCGCGGACCTGTTCGTGCTCATCGAGCCCCCACTGGCTGCTATCTGTCTGCGTCAGGGTCCGCAGACCTTCGCTAAGTAGGTTTGCAATGTCGGCCAGTAAAGTCCCGACAGTGTCGAAGCTCATAATTGGTGGGAGTGAAGAAGTCGGCCTCGACGAAAGGATAAGAAAGCTTCGTCCGAGAATTTCGTGGCAGTTGGAGGGCCGAGTGAGAGATGCGGGATCGTGTGGCCGAGGCAGGCCGGGTCCTCTTGCTCTCTCCTACAATCAATCTTTCGGAGAGTTTGTGCGGGTGGGATAGGCAGACGCAGATGGGAGGAGGATCAAAAGAAGGATCCGAGCCTCAAGGTCATCAGTCGATAGGGCCGTTTTTTGGAGTTACCTGCCGTGGCTGGGCCCAGTCGTGAGGGAGGGATCGGTCGCTTATGGATCAATCCAATGACGACCTCCTGTACTGGGGTAGGCGGCGGCCCACAAGCAAGAAGAGCAAGCGTCGTTTGGGGAAACCCCGGGAGCGGCAAACCCGATACAGGGTTGCAGCGGACCTGAAGACGCAAAAACAAAACGAAAACGAAAAAGACAAAAGTAAAAAAGAAGAAGAAAAAAGAAACAAAGGCCCACGCTGGCACGAAAATCTGCGCTAAGGCAAGACAGGCCACATTGACATTCCCCCAGGGATTGGGAATGACAGCACACGAGTTGAGCTTGGTTTTGTATCGCTGTGAATGGGCAATAGAGGTAGGTTTGGGGGTGGGTCCTTCCTTTGGTGGTGAACTATGTAGTGGGGTTAATAGCGCTGATGATGACGAAGACAATTGAGGCGGAGCGGTAGCGACAGAAGTGCCAGCAATTCCCAGGGTAGCCAAGACTTGAGCGCGGCCAAGACGGGGACTGACTGCGCGGCTCTCGGGAAGGGGAGTTTTGTCGCAGGGAGGACGCAAGTGGAGTGTGTGGGGATTCGGAGAAGGACTCCGATAAAGAAAAATGCACACAAGTGAACGGCGCAACGGATGAGAAGAAAGGGAGGAAATGGGGTTTACGATGTACAAGTCGGTAAAAGGAAGATGAGCGGGCGAGAGTCGAGGGTCGAGGGATAAAAACAGGTTGGGACAGGACGGGTTGCAATTGACGGGATGAGGTCGGTTCAAGGCTGAAGTCAGGCCCGCGTTCAATGTTCTTTGTCCCCAAAAGATAACAATAAGAGCATTGAAATGACTGAAAGCTGAAGCTCTAGACTGAGCTAGCAGCGCTAGTGTGTAGTGTAGTGCAGCGAACGGCCAAGGGGGAAACCCGACGTTTGCCCTCCCTCTCTTCGCTTTTACAGTGGGGCTAGGGGTGTTGGTGGCTGAGGTTTAGGGGAGCACGTGTTGTGTGGCGTTGCACCCACGCACCCTCGCACCCTCGCACCCACGCAGCGGCGGCCGATGGTTTGGGGCAAGGCGCTGCTCGACGGGAAAGGATAGAAGAAGGAAAGGAAATTTTTAGAGAGAGAGAGAAAAAGAAAGAGCGTCACCGTGTGAGAAAGGGAGAAGGAGAGACGACGCGGGCAAGGCTGATGCTGGGTTCCTTGAGGCTTGAGGCTGTCCTGTTGCCTTTTTCTTCGACTTTATGGTCCTTCACTTATCCATCCCAAAACGTATCCTAAAATGCTGAAGGCGGGTCAGTCCCCTGGCAGGTCCGAGAACCAGCGATCCAAAGAGAGAAACCAAAAGTAAAACAAGGAAGAAGAGAAAGAAGAACAAAGAGGAAACGGATAAAGACCCACCCAAGACCCAAAGTCCCGTATCGAGCCAGCCAGGGTCCAGGAAAATCTTCATCAGGAGGAGGTCGCGAGCAAGTCGACTTGCATGCGGCATGCGCACGCGTCTTTTGTAGATTTCGGATTCAAGCCCCCATCCTCACTAGTTCTTGATCAAAAAGCTCGGGGGACTCGTCTATACCTTCCCTCTTTCTGGTGGGAGCGGAGAGGGCCAGGCCAAGCTGTCTGGGATGATGTGCTTGGCGGTCCACCTTGGCCGTTTCCCTGTAGGGCCCGACCTGTTTGAAGTGGGCAATTCAGTTGCCCGTGCTGCGCGTGCTTTTCTGGAATGAAACAATTTCAAACGGGCGACCCGTCCCCTTACGAAGCGCTCCCCGGTGCTCTTTTTGTTTTTGTGTCCTTCTCCTCTTCCTAGTTTTATTTCCATCTTGAGCTCGGCATGTATTTTCTCCCTTCGATCGAGAAGTGTACCCAGGTACGAAGAGCGTAATGTATGAGCACCAAACTTTGGCTCCCTTGGCTACCAGTGCGAGATTGAATCTCGTCATCTTCCCAGTCTTTAAATTGCCCCGCTGATCAAGGCTCATTGAAAAACCTGGGGGCTGAGGCTTATATTCGATAGTGGAAGGGGGTGACCTCGCAGGGCTGACAGGACAATTGGAGATTCGGGCACCTACTTCTTGCCACCAATTAATATCCCCAATCAGGTTCAATCCCAGATGAACCACCGCCGCCCTACCGGCAGTGCAGCCAGCTCCTCAAACTTTGCGTATTTCATCCTATCAGCAGAATCACCCAAATAGTTACCCAACCAATGTTAGTGCCTCCATATTAATTGATCGGGTTGCGTCCGGTCCCGAGGTTCTTTGTGGGCCAGCCGGCTCTCGCCAGGAGAGAGAGCTTCAGCGGTCTTTGCCCGCGTTGGACTGTGCGGTGACGGTGGGAAGAAGCACGCGAGGCTGAAGTAAAGATTGAGGGATTCGGGAAAGGTCTTGAACATACATGTAAACATGGACTCGTGTCGCGGCTAAACATAACCTTATCGGATACCTGATCGGCCGGCGTATCACTTTGACGCGATTGCTGGGCTAGCTCAAACGCGGAGAGTGGCACAAGGTTCGGCCCCATCTCCCTGGGGCACGCTGCTCGTTTCAAACATTCAGCAGTCGCAGCCTGTGCGTTTTTCAAGGTTGAGATTGGGCGTAGAATGGCAGCAGGGGAAGGGGGCAATGGGAGGAAGAATTAACAGCCCAACCCCTTGATAGATTAATGGACATTGACACTGACAGCGCTGCCAACATCCACTCGGCACGAGTGTCATACTCGAGAGGGTCGATGATCCATTGGCTGCGCACTGCTAGGTCTTAAACGGGCTGACCCACCGCCTGTCTGCATACGAATGTTCGTCCTGATTGATAACATGGCGCCGAGGGGCCTGTCCGCAAGTGAGAAGTACGCCTCCGAACAATAAAACCACCGAGCGGTTGGTGCAATGGACTGGATGCGGCACCGAACAGTTAGCTATTTTTAAGGCCTTCGCTAGTCAAAGTGGTCAATGTGCATTTGGACCAACAGGGATCGATGGTGATGGGGGCGGAATATCACAAAGTAGGAGCTCAAGGCGGGAGAGCCAGTTGGCGGGGTGCCTTCCCCAAGTTGTCCGAGACTCGACGCCGATTACAGAGCACCACATAGTATGCTAAGCGGCCAGTGCCAAGTGCCTAGTAGCAGTGTACTACCTCAAGACCCGAAAATCAAAGCTACCCCTCCAATACCCCTCCACTGCACCTTCCTCTCGCGCAGAAGGGCAAGGAAAGCGACATTGAAAATATCCAATTAATCAGTCGCCAATGGACCGATGCACCTCACCTATTGACGTAGAATCACAAGGCATCACCACATTGTCCTCCCGCTACCCATCACACCTTTGCTCCTCCAATAAAAAAATAAAAAAGAAGAGAAAAAAGGGGGAAGACATCGTCAACTCTCGCGGGGCTTCTCAGCCTCGCCAAGGGCCCTAAGCAACAGCTCAAGATGAGGTTCAACGCCCAGCTAAAGAATATCGGCACCTTTCAGAGTATATATCCCCCTTCTGCCCATCTCCTGCCTCCACTTCCTCTCCTCACCAAACCTGTATATACACGCGTCACAACCCCTCGCCGCCTTGCTAACCCTTGCCTAGAGCTCACCGCCGCCCTTTCCTCCCTCGAAAAGATTGCCTGGGTGCGCCTCGACAACAATGTCGCCCGCTTCACCGCCATCCCCGACGTCGGCTCCCACGTCTGGGCCAGCTTCAACATGGACGTCATCTTTGACGACTTCACCATCTCCTCCAAGGAGGTCGACAACATCATTGACCTCGAGGTGCCCCTAGCCCCCTCCAGCGCGCCCTCAAGTCCGCCCTCAACTCCGTGTCCGCCAGCATGAAGCTCGCCAAGCGCCGCACCGACGGCGTCCCCATCCTCGCCATGACCATCACCACCCAAACCAACTCCTCCACCTCCGCCGCCGCCGCCGCCGCCATGCCGCCCCCACCACCGCCCCCGCGCGGGGCCCCAGACAGCTCCTCTGTGCTCGACGACTCCTCGTCCGTGTTCCCCATCGAGAACCTCGAGACTTCCCTCCGCCGGGAGCGCGAAAAGATCATCACCCACGAGATCCCCGTCCGCGTCCTCTACCCCGAGTCTGTCGAGAGCATCATGCAACCCAAGACCCGCGACCCCGATGTCAACATCACCTTCCCCGCTCCTCCAGCTCAAGGCCATCGCCGACCGCTTTACCCGCCTCACGGCCGCTGCCTCTTCATCTTCCTCCTCCTCCCGCTCCGGTGCCAAGCTCGAGCTCAGCGCGAATATGTTTGGCGGCCTGCGCCTGCGCGTGCGCACCGACGGCGGGACCGTCTCCAGCGAATGGTCCGGCCTAGTAACCCCCGAGCTCAACCAGGACCAGATGAGCATCCCCATCGAAGAGCACCCTAGCACTCGCTTTCGGGAGGCCGGCCCTGATCGATGGGCCACCGTTCGTGTGGATGGCAAGGACTTGAGCCGCGTCCTCAGCGTCGGGAGGCTTGAGGGTAAAGTTATTGGAAGCTTCATTGACGACCATGCCCTCATCCTCTATTGCTACATCTCCCACTTTGACGAGCACACCATGGCTGAAGAGTCCGTCATGACAGTGAGTCCTACTCGCCTACTCCCATCCCTTATCCCATCTTTTGTTTCGATTTGCTAAAAGCCACCATAGTACTACGTCCAATCATATGCTCAGTGAAGTCGGGCAATGTTCCTTGGCTGGGCAAACCCGGTTACTCGCAAGGTATAGACAGAGGTTGAAGGCAGGGTTTGGTGGTGAATGGGCTGCTTAGAATCTGGCGTTTAGGGGATATTGATACCCGGGACTTTTTGATGAGTGACGTAGGCGGAGTGTTGTGGGCGTGCGCAAGATGAATGCCCAATTCATACATCACATTTTTAGAAACAAGGAAGAAAAAAGTCTCAATTATTATAATGAGTTTCAAGTAACATGTGTAAAAACGCACACGGGCTGTTTGGTTCGTGTTTGGATTCTTCTCAGCCCGTGTCCCCATCGTTCCAATTTGTGTATGGTGATGTGACGAGAAAGAGGAAAACTAGCAAGTAAAGCACAAGAAGCACAGTAAAGAGATATTTAAAAGAAGTAGAAAAGAAGCAACAGCAAAATTATACATGATACATGAACGTCTACAGTATTACATGGATACATCTTTCATGCGCCCATCCAGTCTTCCAGAGTCTAAGAGGTTCCCCAAGAGATGAACCGCTCTCCAACCAGCATGAGATGTGTGGGTCTAAGGCATAAGAAGAACAAAAAAATAAACACTCGAAGAGAAGAAGAGGACCGGGGGAGGACCGGAGGAAAAGAAGCGAAGAAAAAAAAAAAAACAAGAGAATACAAGGTCATCTTTCGTCGCTGACGTGTGCACAAAACACCAGCATCATCAACATGCTCCTTCAACGAACTCCATCTCTCCAACGTTTTATTGCGCCATCACGTCGACATAACGCCCGCTCTTCCGGGCCTTCTTCTGTCCATGTTTCCTAGGCGCAGCGGCGCCAATGAGGTCGTCGATGCTGCTTGCGTTGCTCATGCTCGTCGTCGGCCTGCTGGGCGGCCCACTGGGAGGGCCACCCGCGCTCTGGTTCGAAACAGACCTCGCCATTGGCGTGGGAATGCCTAGGCCTTCGTGGCTGGACAGGGTAGACTCGCCAACACCGGTCGCGGTGCCAGGTCGCGGAGGACCGCCGGGCGGCGCCGACGCTCGGCCCAGGCCACTAAGCGGGGGTGGTGTGCCGGCATCCGTGCGAGGGGTGGGGTGGAATTGGCGGAACGGGGGACCCTTGGGGGCGGCGGGGCCGCCTTCTTAGCCTCGGTGTTCTCCGCCCCGGCCTTCTTATTGATCCATCGTTTAAGTTCAGGATCGTAGACGAAACTACTCTGCTCTCCAAGATTAGCCTTGACGGGCTTATTAGGGTGCTCTGCCGGCGATGGCTCCTTCTTTGCTGCTCCGAACCAGCCGCCAAAGCCCCAGCCCTTCTTGGCTGCTGCCTTTTCCGCAGCGCGTTTTTCTATTGTGTTCCATGTTAGACTTCTGCCAAAGACGTAGGAATGGTTGTGGAAAATGTCAACTTACCCTCTTCTTCGGCTACCCTACGAACCATTTCTTCATTCTCCCTGTCTTTCTCCGCCTTGCTCTTCTCTTGAGGAGTAGGGCCGGAAATGCCATCATCGTCATCATCGTACATGGGGCCCTTCTTCTTAGGCATGGTTGGTTCGTCGTCGCCGGCTTCAGGCTCGGCGCCAAAAGACGGAGGCTCATATCCATGCGATTGATACGAGGGAGGCTCATATCCATGCGATTGGTACGAGGGAGGCTCGTACCCGCCGCTTGATGTGTTCGCATCACCAGTTTTCTCGGCTTCGGTGGCCCCATTTGTGACATCCGAGGCCATTGGCGTGAAGCTAGGGGTTCATAGCCGTAAGAAGGAGGCTGGTAGCCTTGTTGGGCCTGGTCCTCACTCGAAACCTTCTCCTCGGCGGTTTCCTGCGCGGGCGAGGGGTTATACGATGACTCTTGTAGACCGAGAGGGCTATAACCAGATGAGAGAGCCGGTGGGGCTTGGGCTGGGTATGCCGACGGCTCCGACTGGGCCGGCACGGGATAAGATGACTCCTGAGGTACCGCAGCAGAAGGTTGGTAGCCTTGCTGCGCGGCCGGGGCCGGATTATACTGCTGCTGGGGTTGCGGTTGGTAACCTGTTGAAGGACGGCTACGGCTCGGCTCATAGGGATTGACATGGCGCGTGCCCTCGCTTGACGAACGAGGAGTATAGGCGACCGCCGGCTCGTACGGGTTGGTAATGGCCGGAGGAGCACTGCCTTGCGGGGGAAAGGCGCATAGCGGGAAGCGCTCCTTGAGGCAGCCGGAGGCGCGGCAGTAAAGCCGGGGGCGGACATGGGCGGGGAACGTGGCTGACAGGATACCCGGCATTGTTCGTTCCGTAGGGCTCAAAGTTGGACGCAGACGGGGATCGGCTGATGGTGGGAGTGCCGCCTGCAATCTTGGCGAACGGCCCGGATTCCACACCCTCATCACCGTTGACGCCGTTTCGAGGGCTGTCGTTGTCCTCGCCCGAGACAAACTTGTTGAAGGTGCTCCACATGGTGTCCGAAACCTTGTTCATGCTCGGCTTAGGGATCCAAGAATTGGACTCCTCCCTCGGCGTTTGCTTCAGTCGCTTCACGAAATCCTCCATGGCCTGTTCGAGGGCAGAGTGGTGGTACGGGGATCTCTTCGTCTGAGAGCCAATGGTGTTCAAGGCACCCTCACAGTATTGGAGAGCTTTATCTCGCTGTCCGTATTCCGCGAGGGTCACGGCGAGTTGGAGCTTGTAACCAGTCAAGTGAGGGGCAAGCGGCGCGGCGCCGCCCGCAAGCGAAAGTCCGTATTCGTAGACCTCACTAAGCAAGATAGCCTCAATGTCCTTGGCGAAACGATCGGCCTGCCCGCGATGGTCGGAACCGACGAGAACGAAGTTTGAGCGCGGGTCGTCAGCACCGCCAAAGACGGACGCTTGCCTAGCAAAAATGAAGCAGATGTGAGCCGCTTCCGCCCGCCCGTAGTTGGAAAGGAGGCCGCCCAAGGCAATGAGTGCCTTGGAATCGTCGGTGCTCCGGTTGCTAAGGATTAGGCACAGCGATTCGCGCCACTTATCAAGGCCGCCTAGAGAACCCGTCATTGAGGTAGCGGCGGTGGTGGCGGCCATCAGCTGGAGCCCAGCCCGGGCGTGCACAGGCACCAGCTCATCTACACAATCATCGTGGTTGCCTGAGAGAACTTTGTACAACGCCGCGATTGACTCGTTGTTGTGGCCCGCGTAGTTGACTTCCTTGCGAACAAACTCCTGGGTCACCTGCTTATAGAGTTCGGGAGAGACGGTGTTGGCGATCAGCATCGCATGGCCCCATAGCCTCTTGTCCACGGCAGCCCAGGCAGCCTTTTCTCGGTCGCCAACTAAGAGGTGTCTTCGCAGAAGCTCTATACCTGCGGCATCCAAAGCGTCTGGCTGCACGGAGCCCATTCCGGGTTGATGCAAGGCGCCGAGGTCCGCAACTCCATCCAACGAAGTGCCAGCTGGCGATATTTCCTCATCCAAATTTGGCATCAGGATATCCCGGACGGCCTTTTGAACGGCAGGATTTCCTTCGAGGACGCCATCGTTCTCGACCAAGACACGTAGGGTCTTCCACAAAAGCAACCGTTCGACAGAGCGCTTCTCTTCGTGTGAAGGGGTTTGATTGAACGCCAAGTCGGGCGTCGTCGTCAAGAGAGAGTCGATGCCCGCGGAAAGCCAAGCGAGCGTCTCCTTCTTCTTAGACTTACCCTTGAGGGGTCCGGGGAATTTGGCAAGCCTCTCTTCCAGGGGAATGACGTCCTTCACATGTTGAATCTTGACCTCGCCAGGTGTGCGGTAAATCATGGGTGCTGTCTGACTGATACCGTAGCGTGGTACGCTCTTGGGGAACATGGATACGACGGTTCCGCCGACTCCCCACACGAATAGGGGAGCACCCTTCCAACGCTGTAAGGGGTCGTTCTCGCGGCCATCAGTGGGGGCACCATGTTCATCGCGAGAGAGGGAGCCCGTGCACGATGCGTTGGCACATATGCGGGAGCGACCGGCTGCGAAGACTTGGGGGACACGGGAGCCTGCGCGGATACGGATCGCTGAGGGGACTCGTATGGAGCAGGACCGTTCAAGCCAAGTTTCTGGGAATTTGGCGACTGAGAGAATGACCGGGGCGGAGGGATGACGTCGTGTTCCTTTGCCCGAGGAGATTGGGCCGTAAGAGGAGCGTACTGCGATCTTTTGGGTGGAGAAAGGGAAGTTTGCATAAGGTTGGGCTGCATGGGCGGGGAGTAGATCGGGGGCCTGGCACAGACACGGGGCTGTACCTAGATTCTGCAATGGAAGCGGCAGCGGCGCTCGCGGTCTGAGGGGGCTTGGGTGGGCTCTGCTCTTGCTCTTCTTCGACCTCGCGTGTGGGAGTAAGGGAAGCAAGCCTGTGAAGCCTCGCCTCATGTGGTAAACTAGTGCGGCGGTCTCCGTGGGTAGCCTCACCGTTCACGCTGGTACGGCTGGCGGTTTTCTCAAAGTGGGCTAGGGGACTCGAGGTGCGCGGCTGATGAGGCAGAATGGTCGCCGGGTGGACAGCGGGGGCGGGGCCGCATAATTAGCAGAAGGCTGCCGCGAGCCGGCGGGCGAAGAGTAACGGTTGGAAGGCGCGGGTGGAGGGGTGCGCCGTTAAGATGTGGGGTGGGTTGGTTCTGCACGGGAGAGTATCGGCTCGTGGCGGCGGGCGCAGACACGGGAGGAGCTGAATGTGACTGGCTTGGCACCGGTGCGTAAGGATTAACAGTCGCCGGCTTCACCAAGCTTGGTAGTCCGGTTGGATCCATGGGTCCCGGTTGAGGGATCGTCGTCGTTGGAGGCGGGGGTGCGTAAGGGCTCACGTGGGCAGCAGGAGCCAAGCCCGCGTCGGAGACTGCGTTCGGCATCTGTGGCTGTACCGGGGCGTACATCGAATGGGGCGGACCGAGCGGGGAGACGTTGGGAGCGAGGCAGATCGGCTGGCGGGAGGAAGGCCGGGATGGGGACCGGTCGGCGGGCCAGCTGAGAGGGAGGAAGCTCGATTGGAAACAGGGGGCCCAGGGTGAGGAGGGGGGCCGTGGGGTTGACCCATCGGGCCAGGGGACGATGTATGATTCTGTCGCGACGCAGGCCGAGGGCGAGAGGTGAGTGGGAGATCCTCAAAGAAGTTTTCCTTTGATTTGGGAGGGAGGGAGGGCGTCCTCTCAAGGGGTGATGGACCCGCAACACCCGCAGAAACAGGAGGTGATGTGTTAGAAGTGGGGGCCCGGTAGGGCTCTGTGCATACATGCTCGAGCTTCGCGGAGGACCAACAGGGGGATACTTGTGCTAGAGGGGAGTTGTTGCATGCTCGGCCGTTTCCTCGGCTTCACATCAACGACATTCATAGGAAGATCATATGGAGACGTGTACCCTCCTTTGGCCTTGTCGGCAAAGCTTTGGGCTTTGTTTAGACTTGGCGGCGCTGGGGGAGGAGCTACACCGTAAGGTGTCGTCTGGGGCGGGGCTGTGGCCGAGTACCCAGCCGGGGGCTGAACCAAGGGGGCGGCGGCGAGGTACGGGTTGGCGGGGACGGCGGGGACGGCTGGTGCGTAAGGGTTGGCAATCGCATTCTGGAGTGCGGTAGTAGCGGGTAGGGTTTGGGGGCATAACGGCTTTGCGCACTGGATTGCGTGGTCGGGGATGGTACAGCGGCGGGCTGCGCAACCGGTGCCGGAGCAGGTTGTTCACTTCCTCCACATCATCGAGGAAGCCCTCGTCGTCACTACCGAAAAATGCCGCAGGATCCATTTCTTTCGAGCCAGCGGCATCATCTCCAAGGAAGTCATCATCGAGGAGCTCATCGTCGCCGAAAGCCTCGCTCCACTTTGCTGCCAAGGCATCCTCCTCTGGGACCGGTGCAGCCTCGTTGCTCCAGCTGTTTTCCGTCGCATGCCCACTAGGACTACCCTCACCCGGAGTCTCGCCTGAATTTGCTTCATCGTGGTTGGCAGGGTGCTCAACCGGCTCTGGGGGATTGTGCGATCCGATGGCGTCTACTGACAAGGTCTCCGCAGAAACTGTGCTCCGGGGACCCATTGCCTGGAAGGTTGACTTCCTATCCAGAGGCCAAGGTTCCGAGGCAACTTTCAGGCCCTCGTCACCACCGCCCTGGACGACGTTGCTGAAGAAATCGTCATCTTCATCAGCAAAAGCATCATCAGCACCGGAAGCAGACGCTTCCCCATTAGACGGGCTCGCCTGGGTCGAAGCCTGGCTGATTAGCGGTATGCCTTCCTCGTACCTGGTGGTAGCCGCATCCTCATTTGTCGAACCAGCATTGGCGAAGAAGGCCTCGCCTTCAACATCTTCCTCCTGCAAAAGATTCTCCGCTTGAGTACGGGGCAAATATGACTTGGAAGGAGATGCCGGTGAGTCAAGAGGTGGCACGACAGGGAAGGAATTAGAGCGCTCAGCGGGTGGCAGGAATTTTGATGGGTCGTTAGAGTCTGAGCGATCAAGGAACCACTCCGCCCCTTCATCGGCGCCAGCATCACCATCCTCCCAGCTGAGTTGTTTCGAAGACTCGCGCTCTGGTTCGGCTTCGGGCACGGGTGTGTCAAAGTGTTCACCCCCAGCATCAGGCGCCACCTGTAGGGTCGATTCTTCAGAAACTGGCTGTTCGATAACAGGAGCGATAGATCGCTCAGGCTCCTCTGGGAGGACATCTTCGGCAGAGTTGTTGTTGGCGAGGTCTTGGCTTGCGGATCCCTGAGGCTCAGGTTCTTGCGAGATAGATGATTCAGATGCGGTTACTCCCGTGGTTATCTCGGCATTCACGCCCATGGGAGGGTCGTCTGAGATGGGCTCTTCAGTATGCAAGCCTTGAGACGGCAGCACAGGTATCTCATCTTGATGCGTGGCCTCGGTTACCGTCTCGACTCCCGCCGCTGAGCCATCAGAAGTGGCATCCAGGTTGAACTCTTCCGTCACAACCCCTTCAGGGGCTGGCTCTTGGGTATGAAACTCGGGTGCATCGGAATCTAGTTGGGGTTCGACTGGTTGGGGTTCCGAGGCCTCGAGGGCATCGGATTGGGCCACCTCCCAGGGCCGCGATTCGGGCGACTCTTCGACTGGGACCTCTTCTGAGCCGGCAAGCCAGTCTTCATTCTGAGTATCTACGTCGTCGGAGAACCACGCGTCGACGTGTTGCGACGTCACGTCTTCCTTGGTGAGGGCTTCAAAGGATGTTTCGGACGGGAGAGTATCGACCAGCGTATGATCCGATTCTATCGCGGAGGGTTCGCTTGTCGAGGGAACATCTGGAGGCAGGGTGTTTGGCCGGAAAGCCGGGTGCCACGACGCGAACGAGTCGGTCGAGGCCATATCGATATTATACAGGGGGCGATGCGCAGGAAACACGTGCAGAAACGGCCAAGGTTCGGAAAGGGTAGGTCGGGGATATAAGATAAACCGTTTCAAAGGCAAATGCTGAACTCCATAACAAGCACTTGCGACTTCCCCAATGAAGAAAAAAAAATGAAAATGATTACCGCACAGAAAAGACAAGATGGAGAATGGAAGAAAGCGCAAGGACTGCTTCTGGGGTTAAAGGGGAAATCAGTTGATGTGAGTGAGAAATTTCGGAAAGGAGTCCCCCTTGCTTGCTTGGTCCACGACAGAAGTGTCAAGGTGTTCGTTTGCCTAGGGACTGCACCCATGACCGTCCGGGGTATTGGCTTAGTCACGCTAGCTTTCTTGGGAGCCGGCCTTGATCCTGCGTGGTAATGTTGTAACAATGCAGCAAATTTGGGTCAAACAGAGAGCAGTGCATTAGCTGGCCTGTTGTCCAAGGTCCATCAATCAATTGATCAATCAATGTACCTCCCACCAGCCAGCGTTACATTTTAAGTGTACGAATTTGCACGGATGATTGTTGCGGGTACAAGCGCATGGCGCAGATTGAGGGGACAGGGACTTGAGGGACAGACAAGACAAGAGCTTGATCAATCTCCTTCGTGAAGATGAGGACCACTTTAGTGGGGTCCTCGCCTTTAATTACTGGACCCTAGGCCATCTGCCCCCAGTACTTGGCACAAAGCGAACACCAGCCAGACGGAAAAGGACCTCAAGGAATCCAATAATTGATACTAGGTTCTTATTGTACTGTTACTCGGGCCTAGGCGGCAAATTTGGCGGATTCGGCAAGGGGCAGGGAGTCGAGGATTAAGTTCTGCAAATCCGTGGTGTCGGCTGGGAGCAAGTGCGTGCTTGGAGCCCCAGGCGGTTCTTCTTTGAAGACACGTCGGTACGTGCAGAAAGGCCCTTGCCAAGCCTGGATTACATCAGATTGAAAGGCGTGCTATTGAAAGCTATTGCAATTCGTCATGCGGCATATTACTTTTCAATGCGATTGGGCTGAATACTTTTGAAGATCTCTTCGCACCTCATCGCGACAAGAGAGCTGGGCAGTGCTTTCTACCCCGACATCGCATATCCGTTCCTCCACCCTTCCTGTTGGACGGAGAACCACGTCTGGAAAGCGCGTACGAGCGTTCTAAACGAGTGTAGCAATTAAGGCGCAAAACGCAAACCTCGCGCCCGCCCACCTCGATCGCATCCCGAGGGGCAGCACGTTTTGCCAGACGGCTCGTCTCTCCGCACATCCCCGATTTTCGTTTCCCCTTTTGCTCCGGGAACTCCGCTCTCGCTATCACGATGCCCCAAGACGCGGTTGTCGCCCCCGCGGCGGCGATGGCAATGCCGCACGACCCCAACAATCATCGGTAAGCGATACACCCCTCCCTTTTGTTGGCTGCACTTTGGCGTACCCCAAATCTCAAAAACTAACCACTCGCTCTCGATTCCATCATGTAGGGCCCAAGCGCGATGACCCGCCTTCTTCTAGGTGGAGGTGTCTACCTGCTCATCAACATGGCCATCGGCTGGTACTTTGCAAAGGAGCAGAACGGGGTGCAGGTTACCGATCCCGCAGGCAACCTGATCACCGTCCCCGCCAACACCGAAGAGATTCCCCTTATCTCCTTCGGCCCAAAGCTCTCGACGAAGGCGCTGTCTACCGCAGCGTCCCCAAGAAGGTCGCCCCTATCTGGCCCATGGACAGCTATGTTGACATCGTCATCACACTCAGCCCGTCCTTCAACCCGGACCCCATCGCCGAAGTTCCCTCGGAAATGGTAATTCTCGACGAGAAGCGGTTTAAGCTTGGCAACTACAGCGAGAAAAGATCCTCTGACGGCACCTTTACCGTTCCCGTTCCTGTTCAACACAACCGCACCCTCTGGGGACACTTTTACGTTGGCCTCTCCGGAAGCCAGCTTGACCATCTCAAGCCCGGCTTCGATCCCGCAACTGCCTACCACATCGCATACCCCTTGACTCACTGGCTTCCGAAGAAGAAGATCGCCAAGACCAGAAACCTCCTTGACGATCTGCCCGTCCCTGTCCAAGAGCCGGATGAAGATGAGACCGATGGTCCCATCATTGCCAGCTACTACCACCCGAATATCACCCTGTCCTTGATCCCTAACACTGGCGTGATTCCTTACGCAACCGAGCATCCTGCTGTCAAGCACTTCCTGCGACTTGAGGTATGTCAAAGAATGCCTATGACCAAGCGTCACCCGAACCACCTCTCTCAGTTCTAACTTGTCCATTAGCCCACCGGAGCGCGAGATGGCACTGGCCAGTTCTCCTGGTACTGTAAGTCTAGGCCCTACCTTTCTGTGCTCCTCAATGTGCCCATGCACGTTGTTCAAAACCTTATCACCGGTATGAGCGACGACTAACCACAAGTACTAGACCCCATCCTTTTTGTCAATAACTTCTGGCAGCTCAAGACTCACATGACCCTTCTCAACGACACCGTCAAAACCCTCCCCATCCACATCGACCTCAACAACATCCGCAGCTGGCAGTTCAAGACCATGGCGTCCCTCGACCTTTCCGCCAAGGAGTCTGCTCGCCAAGCCGCGTTCGGTAACGCCGTCCCCGGAGGAGGTGACGGCTCTGAAATCGAGATGATCAAGGAGATCTTCATCGACAGCAACCCCATCCTCCTCGCCATCACCGGTATCGTCTCCATTGCTCACATCATCCTCGAGACCCTCGCTTTCGGCTCCGATATTGCCCACTACCGCAAGAAGAAGGACAACGTCGGCATCTCGGTTCGCTCTATCCTCGCCAATGTCTTCATGCAGACCGTTATCCTGCTCTACCTTGTCGACAACCAGCAGAACACGAGCTGGATCATCCTCGGCTCCCAGGGTGTTGGTATCCTCATCGAGTTTTGGAAGATCACCACCGTTGTCAACGTCAAGTTTGGGCCCTTGCCGCCCGGCTCGTGGCTACCCTACGGCGTCACCTTTGAGGACAAGCAAAAGCTCTCCGAGACTGAGGAGAAGACCAAGGAATACGATGAGATTGCGTTCAAGTACATGTACATGGCCGGTGTGCCCCTCCTCATCGCCTACGCCATCTACTCCCTCTTCTACGACTCCCACAAGTCTTGGTACTCGTACATCATCACCACCCTCGTCGGTTCCGTTTACGCCTACGGCTTCCTCCTCATGGTCCCCTCTCTCTACATCAACTACCGCCTCAAGAGCGTCGCCCACATGCCCGCCAAGGCCATGATGTACAAGTTCCTCAACACCTTCATTGATGACCTCTTCGCCTTCACCATCAAGATGCCCCTGCTCCATCGCCTCGCCACCTTCCGCGACGACATCATCTTCTTCGTCTATATTTACCAGCGCTGGGCTTACCGCGTCGACTACACTCGTGTCAACGAGTTCGGCCAGGATGGCGAGGACGTCGCCGAGGACGTGAAGCAGACCAAGACCAAGGTCGAGGCCGTCGCCGATGCCGCCGTCTCCCAACCCGCCGTGGCCGAGGAGATTTCTCAGGGCACCGCCACCACCACCGGTGCCGAGAAGAAGCAAGCAAAGAGGAGAAAGTAAACGAAACAACCCGAGCTCGCTCCTTGAAATTGCCGCGTCGTCTCTATGTATCGGCGTCCCTCATTCTTTTCTCTCATTTAATTTCGCCAGCATGTCGAGGAAATTGATGTAAAACGGGCAGTCATGCTAGCCTAGGAGATCGATAGGTTTTGTCAAAGACCGCAATAATCTAGATAGAGTGTACAAAAGTAATAATGGGAAAAAATACTTGATTTGACTTTCGTTAAGGAAAGCTTGTCGCTCGTCTCATTCCATCCGTCCATCCTATATTCATTTCCAATATCATATGCTATATGTGTACCTGAGTGTGAGTGTGAGAGTGAGTGCGTACGTGTGTACGTGTGTGTGTGTGTGTATGTGCGAGTCAATGTAAATGTGGGTGGGTGGGTAGATACGTCTGCTCCCTGCCTCGTTATGCAGCCCTCCTAGGTTCTTATTCCGTATGATTTTTTCCCGCTCACATCAGCGAGCACTCGAGGCCGTACATGGCTCTCTCCACACTCTTTCTAACCTGGTACCAGTCCGCCCGTCTCTGGGCGTATTCATAAACCTCCTCCGCCCTAAAAATGCCCTTGAACCTGTCACCATCGGCAATGACGATAGCCATCTCCTTGGCATGCCCGGCGTCGATGAGGTAGATTTGCGACAGCTCGCGCAGCGCCCCAAAGTAGGCTAGCAGGTCCTGATTCCGGAGCGTACGCACGTAGTCAAAGTACAAGTTCATGTCTGCGATGAGCTTAATGGCGCCGTCGGTGCTGACGCGCTGGCGCTTGAGGTGCTTACAGACGGCCGTGAAGAGACGGAGACCGACTTCACCGTTGAAGACGTCGAGCATCGACTTATCCGTCGTGCCGACGAGCATACGCGTGTGGCCGGAGACGAGCTCGACGATACGCGTGGCTGTGGCCGTAGGCCCGATGTCGAAATCTGATCCCGACATGCTATTTTCGGCCGGGGCAGGGTTGTAATCGGTGGGGAGTTGCGTCGTGCCATGAAGGTACTCGACTTCGTCCATGAGCACATCGATGCCCTTGTTCAACCCGGCAGCAACGCTCTCATCGAGCATTTGCTCAAACTTCTTCTTTGCCAAACCAGCAGGGTCCAAAAGTCGTTCTTATCAGCAATCTTTGGGCCCGCCAGCTGCTGCTCGTAGAAAACGTCAATCATCTGAGAGATGAGATCGCCGACGTTGACAAGCTCGATAAACATGACTAGAGGGGCTACGCCGGCTTGGTTGTGGTCGTTCACGGCACGAGGGTTGTACTGCGAAAGGTGGGCCACTGCCTTTTCGAAGCCGGATTTTACGTGGTTAACGCCCAGGATGCGAAGCAGCACCACAAATATCGTGGCACACTGCTCTCTCGCCTCCTCTCCTGACTGGCCGCCTAGCTTGATGAAGACGGCCGTCCTGCCTAGGCTGGTCTTGGCCTGGTGAACGAGGTCCAGCGCAACTTCAATGCTAAAGAGGCTTTTGATTCCCTCAAGCCGAGAAGTCATCAAGGCAGCCTTTGCTGCAAGCTCGTCAGTCGGTGCCTCGCTAGGCAGTGGACTAGCGCGCCCGTCAATAGCTGCCCCAGGAAAAGTGGGAGCCGCGGGTTTGAGCTGCGTTTGTTGGATGGCGCTTGGATCTGAGGTGGCGGCTGCCGCAGCGGGCTTGCTGGATGCAAAGGGAGATCCAATGGGGAAAGTCGGGAGGACCGTTACGGGCATCATGACGACCTTTTGAATGAACTTAAAAGTCCTTCTTGTCTGCTTGCCGGTTAAAGTTGCTCATATAGAAGGACTCGACCGAGGCATCCTGCGCCGAGAGCTTCTTCTCCCATTCCGCCACCTGGCTTTCCGCCTTTTTCGTAAAGTAGTCGAGCTCATCTTGGAAATACAGATCCAGATGCGGCTCAAAGGTGGTCAACGTTAGTTCTTTGGCCTTTGCATCGATATCCCCCTTCCAGGAAGCTGGAGGCGCCAGGGACTGGAAGAACCACATGCATTGCTCAGAGCCCCCGAGACAGCCATGAGGTAGCCGAGCAAGTTTCGTGCGTGGGCCTCGTCAAACAGTAGCGTAAAGTACTCCATGACGATATCTTCCCGTATCTTATCGACAAACGTCCAAAACACCGTATCTGGTTCCGGGAAAATTCTGTCAATGATGCCGGACTGCTCGTTGACTTTTGTGCCAGCGCCTCCAGAAACTTCCTCGAGGGTTCCAATGTCACCCCATCCACAGCGGCTTGGTCCAGGCAGTCAACGGGATTCATCGTCACCTGCATGTCAGCGAATACAGGGTGCTTGTCGATGAAGAGGTGGACGGCAGCAGTTCCACCGTTCAGGTGGTGCAAAACTGTCGCGTAGCGCTTCATCCTCCCGTCGATGTCCCAAAACTCATAACCTTGCTCAAACTCCCGCAACACGGCGCTCTCAAAAACGCTCGTCATAGTCATGAGCTTCTCCTCCCGCTGTGTCCAACCCTGTGCCCAGTCGCTCTTTGAGAACACGCGAAGGTTCGCCAGCATCCTCGCTTGCCTTTCAGGGTCTCGGAAGACCTTGAAGATGATGGGGTCGGCGTGGCTCGAGGCCTGAATCAGGTCGTAATAGAAAGGAGCCAGTGCGCTGTAGACTTTGCCGTACTCCTGCCTTGCAAAGCCTCTGATGCTTTTTACATTCTGCAGAACGTCCAAGATGGCACTCGAGTCTTGCTCCGCGGCTTTGGAAGACCCCAATGACATGGTCTCGAACCCGTCTGCGACAGCACCTACGGCCGAGGGTCCCTGGGGTCGGTCAGCTTCGGCGACGGCGTCAAAAATAGTCGTCGCAGCGGGGGCGGCGCCCGGGGCCCCGGGTGGACCGCTCGCGCGCTGTGCCGCCTCCCTCCGTTTTCTCCTCGCCTCTTCAAACCGTTGTTTCGCTTCGGCTTCATCCCAACACCCTAAACTCTTCAACCGGGAGACCCATCGCGTGTCATCATAGACCATCTCCCGGAGACGTCTTGAGGCTCGTGCCGCTCGCATGAGATCAGAGATGGGCAAATAATCGAGTATCGTAGCAAGGATTTCTGCAGGCAGAAGAGAAAGGCAGGTCAGTTATAGTCTATGTATCCGTGTGCCTGACTGAGAGGGAGAGAGATAGAACGGGTCTTGGCCCACCAGGAAGGGCAGAGCAGCAAACGGTCTCACGCAAGGAATACTTAAAAACATACCTGCCGGCAGAACCGGTCGCGAATCCAGCATCTCAGTCGCCTTCAAGGCGCTGAGGATGCTGGCATTGCGGTCGTTGGGCATCGGCGGCTTATACATTCTGGAATGACCGAGGGAGGGTGGGGAGTTAGCTGCCCCCGAAGCTAGAGATGCTTCACAGCTCTAGGTGGGTGAGGTTTGGCGGGGGCCGAGGAGCAAGAAACAAGCAATGCCGAGAATGCGGGACCATGCTAAGCAATGAGAGAAATCGGCGGTCTAGGAGTAAGCATGCCTAGGCCGAGTGGAGGAGGGCAAAAGAAGAGCAGAAGAAACGATGCCGAAGTCTGGCGCAGGGGAGCCTGCATCACCAGTCAGAGCAGAGGGGATTGGATCAATGGGCAACTCCTCCAATATGGTCAACTGAATGGAATTAAGGATCAAAGCAGGGGTCGCCCGGTTTAGTGGGGGCTGGTCGAGTCCAAAGCCACCTGGGGCCAGTTGGCCTCCAAACTATCACCAACAAATTAGGATCCAATGATACAGCATAGTTCACACTTTTAGAGGCTACTACTGATACTTCATAGATGCCATTGAGCGTCAAGTCCTAGGCTTGGATGATCAAATGCATTGTCGCCTATTTTCTACACTGCTCGGTGAACAATCGTACGTGTTCTTCCGCTATAATGTGTATAAAACTCCAATCTAGTAAACCCAGTGAACAAAGACGAGAAGAAATGAGGATGAAAACAGAGTAAGAATTCTTTCGCAAATGGCACGCCGCAAAAATTCCAAGTCCAAAACAGGGCGGGTCTATTCCAACAAGGTTTCCAAAGCATAGTAAGGCCGGTCGGGGGTTGTGAGATCCGATCCAAGGGACAGATGAGTTCCACTTCATCAGCTTTACTCAAGGAAGGTAAAAAGGTGAGTATGAAGGATGTTCATCGCCCGAGTAGCATCCTTTGCCTCGATGACGCATGAAATGTTGATCTCACTCGCACCTAGGGAGTAAAATTGGTCAGTAAAGGGGGGCTAGTCGTTGTCGGAGAGTAAGAGGCGCAATACTAAGGGTAGAAACAAGCGAAGCAAGAAAGAAGATGAGAGGCAAGGAGTGGCAAGGAGTGGTAGGAGAAGGAGCGGGGTACATAGTAGGAATGAGGAAAAGAATGAACATCAAAAAGAGGTGAGATGGAGTACTAGAGCCATGCATACCTTGGGAGATCATCTCAATGTTCACGTTGTGGTCACCAAGAGTGGAAAACATCTTGCCCGCGATGCCGACCATGTCCTTCATATCAGCGCCGACAAGGCTAAGGATGGTCATGTTGTGAAGAACGCTAACGTCACCGCACTCTCCTAGCTCCTCTGCCGCTTGCCTGAGAATCTTGCTCTCGCTGCTGGGAGAGTGGATGGCCATAGAAACGTGCACTTCACTCGTGGAGATGAGGTCGACGGAGACGCGGCGGGCGTGTAGTATGGAAAAGACCCGAGCGAAGAAGCCGTGAGAGAGGGACCTCTTGTTAGAGTGAACGTTGATGACGGAGATTTTGTCCTTGATGGTGACCGCAGTGGGTCGCTTGGGGGTATTGCCCTTGGAAGGTGGTGGAGGCTTGTAGCCGTTGACCTGCTGGATTGGCTGTCCTGCTGACTGAACTTTATCCGGCAGCACAATGGTTCCACTGCCCCTAGGGTTCTTTACATTCTTGATGCGGATGGGAATGGGGGTCAGCGTGCATGACTTGATCCATGGTAAGATGATGAATGACCTCGGAGCCATAAAAGGTGAGCTCAGCCGCTTCGGAGGGCGTGATGCTGTGGAGAAGCCGCGCGGTGGGGACCTTGGAAGGGTCGGCGGTGAAGATGCCGTCGACTTCTTTCCACACTTGGAGTTCATCAGCTTTGATGGCAACAGCGCACAGGGCGGAGCACAGATCCGTGTAGCCACGGCCAATGTCTCCATCGATGAGGCTTCCGGGAACATTTCCAAAGAAGCCCGTGACTACGGGGACCTTTTCTCCGCAATCGGCAAGGCGCACTCGCAGGGCGGTAGCGACTGCAGTGTAAAAGGCGCTGTCTATCCGGCTTGTCTGAGGAAACCGGAAGGCATCGCTGAGGTCTACGTACTCGGCATCTACCCCTACGGTTCAAATCGCGAACATAGACGCGCTTGTTAGAGAGTCTCAAGCAAAGGAGAGTAAAAAACGAGGACTAGGGAATCCGCATCAAGGAGGCGGTACTAATCAGGGAAATGCGGGTAGAGCGAGTTGGCCCTCGTTGATTCGAACTTACAGTATCCTTGAGCAAGTAAGCCATAAACTTGCAGCTAAGCTTCTCGCCAATGCTAATAATTCTATCCTTTGACCGGGAGTTGGCCTCCAGGTTGAAGCGTTTGGCCGCAATGATGTACTCCAAAAGCTCATGACACTCTGCCTCGATTTGACTGGACAGCTCTGCTCTTAACGCGTCATCCTTGACAAATGTTTGGGCAGCGGCGACATGATCGCTGCAGATGGCATGGATCAACTCCTTGGCCTCTTGCAAGAGCGCACTTTGCGCATCTACTTGGCAGGGCATGGCACTAATGGCATCTAGCTTTTCAAACACTACCAATAACCTGGAAAGAGGGCGTCAGCATGCTCCATGCTTGGCTAGGGGAAGCTCAGGAGGGATGGATAAGGCTAGTGCTTTAAATCGATTTTGAGCCGCCTTACCTGCTCGTTGTGCCCTCGGCCTTCTTGCCAGTACTTCTTGCAGAACATACTACTATCACCCTTTTTCGGGCAAGATAGTCGCTAGAAAGAGGTCAAGTACGTTAGAAAAAGCCAAAGAGACGGAGACCCATCTCTGTCCATCAGGATGCAGGCTTGGTTGGGAAAACAGCCTTCAAAAGCCAAAGACAGCCACAGAAGATGGGGCGGATGCCCAAAGCAAGAATGACACATACCGTACTATATCACGAGCAATCTAGTAAAAGAACCCATTAGCTACACATCCTCGAGACAACACAAGAGCTCCTACGTTCCTAGCACCCCCTCACTGGAATAAGGACGGCGAAGCATCCATGAAGGGAAGATCAACCTTGTATGAAGAAGGGGCCAGGGATGGAAACGAGTCGTACCTTGTCAGGAAACTTGCCAACACTGGTTCCGCCAAACTTCTGTACTACCCAAGGTAGCGCAGAAGCGCTGGAGTTGTTCAAAAGCTCCGGAGACATCATGTCTGAAACCTGGGGCGCGCGCACTCCGCTGGTGATATGGCAGGAGAAGATGCACGCCGGAAAAGAGGAAGAAAAAAGAAGAAAAAAGAAGGAAAAACAATAAAACACTTCTAACCGAAGACCCGTTCTCTTGAGGAATATGAAGAGCGGCGACTAGATAAAGGGTCCTACAAGGGCGCTTGCCGGCTGTTTCACTCGGCCTGTGTCTCACGTTCAGTAAAGATTCTCGGAGCCGCCGCTCACGGGTTCGGAGGACGAGGGGCAGGTGGTGGGTGATAGGCAGGGAGGAATTGCGGTATAAAGGAGAGAGAAGAAGAATACAAAGAAAACCCCGCAGGATCAAGGCCAAATGCGACTTTGAATGGATAGGAATGATGAGGGAAGGCTCACCAGGACGTAAAGAGGGTTCTAGATACTCGAAATGCTAGGTGCGATGCTGTGACCTGGCGATGCCCGGCGTCTAATGCAACCGAATGAGCTAAGAAGGGAAAAAGAAAAGAAAAGGAAAAAGAAAAGAGAGCGATAGGGCCAAGGTCGACGTTTAGGAAGGCGGTGACTTGGAATTCTAAGCCTCAAGTATGGGAGCAGGGCGAGGCGATCGAAAACGGGAAGGAGACCAAAAATAAATACGGGGAAAAAGAAAAAGAGAAAGAAAAAAAAGCCGGCTGGTAATGACTGGCCTAGGCCAATGGGTCAAATAGGCTCGTCGATGTTGGAAGACTAGCCGGCTTCCCGCTTCGGTGTGGGTAAAGCTAACCGTTCTTGATACTTTCGGTGGAGAACGGTGTAGAGTAAAGAGATGAGATAGTCTACGTGGTAGTAGTCAGGAGCTAGTGCGTGGTATCCGCGATTGTGATGGAGACTGGTTGCGTCAGGCAAGAAAGAATCCGAGAGGAATGATAGCGGAAACCCCGAGAGCGAGAACAAAAAGAAGGAAGAGGGAGAAGAAGGAGAAAAAAAAGCTGGGGTAAACCAAGTCGATTCGAGGGAATTCTCGAGAATCGGAAAGGGTTTAGTCGGCCGGCCGGAGAGTGGACACCGTCAGGTCAGAGCCAAGTCGTTCAATGTTGCCCTCCTGTCAAAAATAAAAGAGGAAGGGTTTGGATTTGAGAGGTGGAGAGTGCCGTCAAGAGAAGGAACTCTATGACTACAGCAATTGATGTATTTCGGGGCGCCGGTTGGACTCCGAAGAGACAGAGCAAGGAGCCTATCAGGTGGATAGACGGCCTGGGGCGGCTCGAGACCCCCAAAGCAGGACCAAGTCGATTGCTCAGAATCGGCGTCTTCCTCTGACAGGTGGTGGAAGTGCGTGAGGGCTGAATTGAGGGCCGAGATGACTGGGACGGGTTGTGGGTGCCCAATGGCGACTCGAACGGCGTGGTCGCGGAAAGGAAATCGCTGACCGACTTACACGACCGGGGAGGATGGAGGAGATGGATGTCCCGCCAGGTATAATGGGGGGCCAACCAAGGGCTGGATCAATGAGTGAGAAACGTGGGGTGCTGGTGCGTCTTGGTGAGTGTTGGCGGGGTCCAGCGAGGCCTGGATCGATCAATCTGATGGATTCGGGGCTTCGACAAAGAGAAGAAAAAGAGAGAAGAGACAAGGTGTGTGCAGCCAGCAACAGGGCGGTTCTCACCTATTCAATCGAGGTCTTGATGGAAGAGGAAAAAGACTACCAATTATTCCTTGCTCGGAGCCAGAGACGTAATGTCAATAGCTGCGGGACCCTAGTTGTATATAACAACAGTCGTCTCTCGTACGTTCCTCAAGAGCGCGCACGAAACAGTCATCCACTGGGTTTGGGCCCATTCAATAGTTCATGGTTCAAATCTCATTTCTTACAATTGCCCAGCAAGAATCCATCGTCCTCCGATCAGGTCAAATGCATGTACCAGACCCTGAGCGCGAGAGTGCTCGAATGCCCGATCGGCAAGCGCAAGGTACTCACCACCACCTCAACTGTACAACCTGCCAGATCCAGGAAGCAATGACACACACCCACCACGACAAAGAGGTAGAGTCATAGGTGGTCCCTTCTTCAATGTTCTTTTTCTGGGGCAGTCGGGAAAATTCTGCACCCCGTCGTCCCTGCCGGAAGGAACATTGAACATTGATGAAGCCTGGGCGAGGGGCCGAAACCCACCAGTGGCAATCTGTGCGATGGACGTCAATCAATTGGATCAATCGTTGATGGAGCCCTGCCTTTCCACTTTAATTTTTTTCTTTTTCCCTTTTCCCTCCGAGTGAGCATCTTTCAAATGTTCCTTGCACTTGCAATAAGCTGTCTACGTCAATTGACCCGTTCGCCGTACCATCGCACCGATTGAGGCATTAAACCCGCCCTCAGTGAAGTGTGTGTACTGCATAGCAACTCGACGTTTCGGAGTTCCCACGTACAAACAATACTCGGGGGACTCGTTTAATTCTGGGACTCATCATCATTTCGGACTCGAGTGATTTCGTCCGTCTATTCCCTTCGGCTCCCTTGTCCGAAATGGACCGGGTGCAGTAGGGCCTGCATCCCTTAGCCGTCCGGGCTTGTCCTCGGCATGGCCCTCGCCGCCCAGCTCAAAGCGCTGGGTTGTTTACATCCATGGATCCATGGATGTATGTATGTATTCAAGTCCATGCAGACTCGCACTTCCGTTGGCCACGTCCATGTATCCGTCCCCTCCCGGCTTTTCGTTCCTCGATGCTCCAAGGCCCTTTACATTGAGGTTCGGAGTAGGTTGCAGAAATTGCAAAGCTCTTCTCTTGCCTGAGCTTGCCAGCTGCAAGGAATTCGGGCCTTGTGTCGGCAGCCTCTCCCGCTCCGCCGTTTATTAACCGTAAACAAACAAAAGACCTGAAATTTGGGGAGAAAAGATGCCGAAAATACAATGCCTAACGCTCATAGACTGGGGACGAACACCGACTTCGGGAACCGCTTGACGGACCAATCGCTGGTTCCGTTAGATCATCAAATGCACTTGTTTAGACACTCTCAACCTTTTCCTCGCCATCCTTCCCATCTCCCAACCCCAAAGTCCCGGAAGTCGTGTTCATTGTGTTGATTGATCCGTCCCTATATTGACAAACCTTAGAAAGTGTGGGGACTATTGATGTTGCATTTCCCACCGGAACCAGTTCACTTGCCAGCAGATCCATGTTGGTGGCGGCAAAACCTCTGTCATTTGGATCTCGAAAGTAGAATGTCCTGTATCAAGGTCAGATAGCTAGCCTGTGGTCTCGCTGCTGCCCTGAGTGTCGGCTTGAGAGATATCGACACCACCACGATGGAGTTGTAGCTTCTGACGAGGCCTGTCAACGTCACAAGCCACAGACGAGGGCGGAATCGGAACGGTAACCTGGGGCAGAGCCGTGCCAGTCCGATTTCCTCCCTCTCGTCCCGGTTCTAAACGGTTAGAACGGAACAAAGTCACCCGCTCCCACTATCCCCACGGGGAGGGGAGACGATATCCCCGAGCATCGGGCTGACGGGTTCATAATAGATAGATCATGGTTGAGATCAGCGTAGCATTCATCTGACGCTCGCTACGGGTGAAGGCCTCGTCCTGAGTCCAACTACCCAAACATCCGGTGAATTTTCGAGGTGCAGATGCCTGGGCGGCCGTATACCTCGGAGAATTGTATCGCGGTAAAAAGAAGGAAATATGAGATTCGCACTACATCGCCAAAGTCCCGGTTGCAGGTATATGTAGGCACAATGATGTAGGCACAATGGAAAAATCAACCAAGAACAAAAGGTCTCATGCAAATCAAGATCAATTGCCATTCAACACCTTCCCATTGTATATATTACTCTTGCCGTACAAAAAAGAAGCGGTCAAAGAAGGAACATTGAAGACGGAGAAAATAAGAACTTGTTGAAAACAAAACTAAACAGGCAGACCCGGGACCCAAAGCTGTAAGTCGGCTCGCGTAGGTATCAAACAACCACTCTCAAGAAGAAAAATAACAAGGACCCCACGCGGCGCATGGGTATCCTCGTACAACTATACACAAGGGAGTAACCACCTTTTTCTGTTTTTACCCTTACCCTTCCAAAGACCACCCCGTATCGCCTTTGAAAGGTTGTAGCATCCATGAAGAGAAACACGGACCGAACCGGTCCCGTAACGCGCGTAGAGACGCTGTTTCCCCAAAAAGCCGAGGCTACGACGAGCAGGGCATGAATAGTATATACACGAGAAGGGTGGTGGGAAGGGAGATGAGCTAAGTCTTCCGTGACAAGCAACCGAAGTGGCTGGGAAAAGAAAAACAAGGCAACTGGAAGGAGGCAGAAAAAGGATTAAAAAAAAAAAAAGGCCCGCAAAGCCAACCCCGTCCAAATGAAAATGAAGAACGGGGAAGGGGAGAAAAACACGAAAAACCCCCAGTCGCCGACCCGACATCCACCGAAACCCCAATAAGCCGTCAAGAAATAGCCATCTAACCATGAAAGATGGCCTTCGAGGCGCCCGCGAAGCTCGCGGGTTGTCATTCATTCATTTCTTCGTCAAAGCTCGAGGCGTGTGTGTGTGGAAAACACGCCAACGAGGGGAAAGAGGATGTACCTTCCCCAACCCAAGGACCTCCGGGAGATGAAGGTGCTCCCGGTCATCCCCGGCTGATAAGCCATAGAGCGAGGAAGGCAAAAAGAGATTAATAAAGGGGGAGAGTTGAAAATATGAAGGTGAGGGGGAGGAGAAAAGCAAAAGGCGAAAAGATGAACTGCGCCGAACGATGACCCGAATGCTGATATCCGTAACAAACTTGCCGCCGTCGTCTATAATACCGCCGTTGTCTGTTGCAGTACTCCACTGTCGGTTGTGGCGAAGCTGTACTTTTCAAGGGGAACTCCTCCTCGGGCGTGCGAATGCCAATGCCGCTATCGTCATGTGGGTTTCCATCCATATCGACCATGTTGTCTTGCGTCCCGTTCCCCCTCTGCGGAAACTTGGCTTGGTCCGGTTGGGGCTGGGACATGTTTGTGAGGTTGTTGAAGTCATCGCTCCCGCTGCTGTACCGGGACCCCGCTCCCGACCCGGACTGAGCGGCCTCCTTGGTGGCGGCTTGAGGTCCCTGGGTCGCGACTGGGGTTTGCGCACTCTTCTGCCTCATGAACCCTCCGTGCTCGGCCATGAAGCTGACCATCTCGTCAATCCAGCACTTTGTGACCCACCAAGAACCAAAGCTCTTGCCTTGCGCAAGTGTGAGATCCCGCATCACGGCCGTTCCTACGCGTTGCACACACCAGACAACGTCTGTTGCTGAGGCGTAGGGAAACCTCCCGGGCAGCGACCGCAGGAAGGCAACCCATCTGTCGAGAACGTTGTGCGAGCCTGCCGTAGAAGTGCTCTCCTCCGGGGTCGTCTTTTGTCCGTTTCGCGCAGCCACATCGCCGTATATCGTCATGCATTCAAATTCCCATTGTACGTTGACAGGGTCAAGTAGATCGCGAATCTCCGAAAGGAGAAGCTTGACAAGGTCATCCATCCCCCGGGTAGGTACGCACTCTGCGACCTTTCTTACTCGCACCATGGAGATCCAGTCGTGATACATTTGGTCGCGGTTCGCTGGGTTAGAAAGCATATTGGCCGCGGCATGTGCAGTGAGGTTGACTCTAAGGGCGCGATCAATCAGGGCTGCGAATATGGTGGCCGGCGCCTCCTTCGCCCTGATGACATGAGCCGGTTGACCCTGGAAGGACTCCCGAATATGGGGTACAAGTCGCTCGGAGATGCTTCTGAGCGTGTCCAAGACAGGTTTCGGTACTACCTGAAGTGTGAGACTCGAGATGATCCGCATCATTCGCTGGTAGAGGATGAAGTCACACTCTTCAATCCATTGCGCTACACTCGGTGATCCAAGAAGTTTGTGGACGGGCATAGTGAGGGTTCCCTGGAAGGAGGTGTAAAGGTGGAAAAAGGTCTTTTCTTTGCAGTAGCGAATGCACTCGAGCAGCGATGTGCAGTGAGATCGGTAAAGGGCAGCCAGCGATTTGGCCGCGTCGCGGTCAGTGCCCGCTGGAAGAAAGGGTTCGATTCGGGGAGCACGATGGGTTCAGCTTGCTGTGCTACGTCGTCCGGCGTTGGCGAGAAGCTCAGGTCGAGGCTCGTCTTTGATGTTGTCGAGTGCAGTTGGTCGACGGTAGTGACTCCTGGGACATTGTAGAGGCTGTGCGATGACATATGCCTCGTCGATTTAGACAAGGTAGCACCTTGGTGCTCGCCTGGGGAGGGCAAATTTCCTTTGCTAGCATTGGTGGTATCCGCACCCGCTGGGAAAGAACTGGGAATAGGTGTTAGTCACACGTTGAAGTAGAGTATCCTCAACAGGGAGATGCAAGGGAAAGCATACTTGAAACTCTGGGCAAAGCTCGAGACCTCCGGCAGAGTGAGTGGTTGAGGGATCTCGGGCTCGGCAAGCTCGGCCTGGTCCTCAATCAATGTGAAGTTGACATAATGATATTTGGACTCGCCGCGAACGCCAAGGCGTCGCGTCTTCAGACCCGGGAACAGCACTCGCACGAGCTTTCCAAAGCTCGCTGGGTTGAGAACGGTTATTCTCTCTGTAGCGCATCGCGAGGCGTAATTGGCGTACACTCGGCCGCGCGGGACAGAGCCCTTGCCTCGGGCACAGACTTGATTGATCCTGCAAGACGATGACTGGGTAAGCAAAACCGGTCACTGGTGCTGGCGCGCGCGCGTTATCTTTAGGTGCAAAGGAGTTGAAACTCACCAGAGCATGGCAAACACCTGTCGCTGCCTCTCCGAGTTAGGCCCGCGTTCATTGCCATGGAGCTCACGGGCGATATCTTGGAGTGCTCGGTGCTTGTTGGCGACAAATAGTTGCTGCATTTCCCGTTCATTATTGGCACTGCTACGGCTCGACGTAGCCTTGGGAATAGCAGCTTGGGGAGCGGCGTCCAACATATCATCTTGCTTAGCATCGAGCATTTGGCTATCGTGATCCGTAAAGCCTCCGAGCTCTGTCATGGAGAGACTAGCCGACAAGTCGCGTCTGACAAAGCTGCCATCGTGTTGGAACGAGACCGAGTGAGCCATGGAGGCATCCATGGATGGATCCATCTGGTACTCCCTTCCTGTCGACTGGATGTGGGAGGCGGCTTGAAGGATGGCGTCTTCAGGAGACATTTGAGCTGAGCCCACGAGCGCCTTCGCGGCGTTATGCATATTTCCACCCCACTGGTTACCGTACACGTCGGAGGCTTCAGCGAAGCTCTGCTCGAGATTCTGCTGCGTGTTTATACTATGGATGGAAGCGGTTGACGCTCTGGATAGAGGTCTCCGTCTAGCCTTTGCTATAGCGGAAGGGTTCGCTGACGCGGGGAGATCGTGATTAGCGCGCTGGTAGGTCTGTATAGAAGATTTGTTTTCTCGATCGGAATGACGAGCGAGGTCGTGTATTGGGAACATGAGTTTCTCTCACCTTTATCCATGATAGAAATGTTGTCGATTCCTTGTTTTTATTCTTGCTGGTTGGGGTGCGACAACAAACACCAAGCAGCACTCGCGGCTCTGGGGATGGGTTGGTGAAGACGAGAGTCGGGGCCAGGCCGGGGGGATAGAAAAAAAGAATAGAAATAGGCAAGGCAGCGAAGGAAAGAAAGAAAATGCAAGGTCAGGAAAGGGTTACCGAGCCTTCTCCAGAGAATGCAAAGATCCAGGATTCTGCGAGGATGCGCACCTTGCCGACGATGTCTCCGAGGAGTATTTTTGAGAGACTGAATGTCTTTGCAGGATTTGGTGGGTTTATTTTGAAATCCAATGTTGTTGCGGTAACCACGACCTGTTTAACCAACCGGAAGCGAGCGGAGTTCACGCTCCACTCGTGTCGAGAATTTGTAAATATTACGGTTTTTGTTGCCTTATGTCAGCATTTAATGAGAATGCAATCTGGTACCCACCGCTGAGCTGAGACCCGACTCCGAGGACTCAAAGCCAACGGAACTTGGTCGGCTCCTGCTGGCTACAGGAGTACTGGAAAATAGCGAATCACGTGAGAAACAGATAGCACTGACGCCGGGTCCCAGGCCATGGAGTCGTAGTCCCAGGTCATTTCAAGTGATCTCAGCGCTCTGCTGCATGAGCACGCTTCGATATTAACCCGCTGCACTGCAAAGGAGGTGATCTTGGGCCTGACTGGCTCCAGCACATCGGCCAAACCCGCAGTTGGCACAAAAGCGGGCCCCCGCTCCTTTGACTGAAGGCACATCGGCGAACATGCCTTCCTGGAGATGGAGTTGGGCTCTCATAATCACACTCGAAGCCTGGCTGGCCAGGTCTAAATGCAGGGGCTCCTGTACCGAGTAGTTCAGACACGAAAAAGCGGTGCTGCAACAGTGGACACTTGGTCAAAATTTGCCGATGTTGTTCAAACAAGTACTAGCTCAGGCACCGGTACCTATTCTTTATTGTTGAAACAAAGCAACACACGTGTACCGATATGACGAGGTGACATGTCGTAATCCTAAGCTCTCCTGCCGTCACCTCAAAACGGACCTTGGTCCTCTGCAGCTGTCGCAGACTCCTTCGTCATTCCTGATTCTGCAGTGTCCGAGGCGTCCCCATTTCACACTTTTTCCTCGTCCACCCAGTTCGAGATCACCTGCTCTCATCATCACTAGACCACAGTCACTGTCCATTACTCTGAGACACCTCATCTCGCAACAAATAATCTCTTGCCTCCGTTTAGCTTCTTATAAAGCAAATCTACACGCGCTGCGCCTTAGCAACCGCATATTTTCTTTTCAAAACCAACAACTGTATCCTGTCAGTGCCTTTTCATCCTTATTACGCGAACCTGAAGCAGCCCCTGACCGATCCAAAGCACAGTTTCCCATTTGCGAGGTTATCTTTTTGCAACTATCATCATGTCTTCCCCTCAAGATCGTGTGCAGCAGTATGTTGGCGCTCTTGACCGAGAGGTTGGTACTCCACGGATATATTTTTGTTCTGGACCTCGTCCTGTGGTCCCTGCGAGGTCAGCCACTAATCGGGCTTGCTCCCTTACCCAATAGCTCCAAGTACCCGACCATCGCCAACCTCGAGAAGACCACCGGTCTCCCAAGGCTTACGCTGCCATCGGCCTGGGCGCCTTGTATCTCTTCCTGATCATCTTCAACTTGGGCGGTCAACTGTTGACCAACGTTGCCGGGTTCGTCATCCCTGGCTACTACTCCCTCAACGCTCTCTTCACCGCGAACACCGCCGATGACACTCAGTGGCTCACCGTAAGTTTCCGGGCTTGGCTCCCATCTATCTTGCTTAAATTCTTTCAAAAGCTGACACCTTCTCCACCTGTAGTACTGGGTTGTCTTCGCGTTCTTCTCGTAAGTAGCTGCCATACTGTCCTGGCGACACCCTTGTCCGCCCTGAATACCTACTAAACGTCTCGCACAGCGTTATCGAGAGCCTTGTTAGCGTTGTCTACTGGTTCCCCTTCTACTTCACTTTCAAGTTTATCTTCCTCCTCTGGCTCTCTCTCCCCGCCTTCCGGTAAGATCCCACCCCAGTTTCCTCGAATCACTCTTGCGCATAGGCCTGGCCCAGCATGCTAACCCTCCTTACTTATTAGTGGTGCCGAGTTCATCTTCCGTTCCTTCATGGCTCCCATGCTCTCCCGATACTTCACCGCTGGCTCGACCGCCTCTAACCTTCGCGCTCGCGCTGAAGGTGCTGCCAAGACCGACTAAATTCGCCATCTAAGATGCGAATCGGCCGGCTCGGGATCGACAGCTCGTCAAAGACGGCGGTAGCCTCTGGTTATGCCTAATTCGACCCCCATTCGCCCCATGCTCGGCCGCCACCGCTAGAGGATATCATGACCTAGACGCTCTGCCAAAGCTTACGAAGTGAACGAGTTATAGGACTGAATACGACGGAAGATCTCCAGGAGGTTTATACTTGTTAAAACAGGGAGGGTTGGTAGCAGTGTACGCTGGATCCTATCTCGGGGTTTCTTTTTTCTTTTCTCTTGGCTTATCGCACGAATGTCAATGCGCTCTCTGGTTTTCTGATCTTTCAATCCTGTTCTACAGCGAGGTCTTTGATTTGAGGCCCCTGTGCTTATCTTGGTTGCGTTCGATGAGAAGTTCGACGACTCGAACGAAACCTGCGCCAATCTAATACCTTGATTTTGATCGTCAAATCTACGCAGAATCGGCGTCTTTATTTCAGGATCTGAAGCTGTTTTGCGTGACAACTTGTCCCGGTTGGGACTACCTCTACTATGTGTAAAGCCACAAGTTACGATCTTATTTGATGCTATATACGCATGATTGCCTTCTTCCCTTCTGATAAGGGGTGGAGGGAATGGTGGCAGCGTGGGCATGCAACACTGTCATTCACATGGCATGGAGGAGGCCTCGTGATAGATACGTCCTCAGTAATACCTCCCCTGTATTCCTCAAGTGTTCTTTCCAAAGCTTACGTATGACGCAAAGGACGATGGAAACTCTGGAGAAACAATTCATTACTTCAATCAAACGCGTACTTGGGACCTGACCGAAGTCGAGATTCTTTCGGTACTTGATGTACTATGTACTGATGGCTGAAAACGCTGCCCTACGATAAAATTACTAACACTGTATTTCACCACTAGACTAGCTTACACATGCCCATGTCACTCGACTATCAGGAGCTCATCGAGAGGGACAGGCACCCATGTATACAGTGTTATCAACTGGGTTTAATACTATGAGCTGCGTGTCGACCATGCTGATGTTGCTTTATCGACTTCTAATAATAAACACCCACCAGACACGGGGTTATTAGCACGAGGTGACAGCAGACTAACGATTGAACGCCGTCCAGAGCTGCTACAGCCCGACGATTCAGGGGCCCAGGCAATCGGAGCCAGCAGTGCCCGGAGGATGAGGAGATGTACCAGTTGTGAAACTCACTAGACCAAGATATCTATCCCTTGAACCCAATCCTCGATTCGGAAGAATACTACCAACCTCGTAATCTTGATCGAGGGGTCAAAATAATTCTTTCTCATAACCTAAATATCAAGTGATGATTTCGAGGGTGAACAAGGCGTAAAACGGAAACCGACTCGACATGGAATCGTTGTCAGACTAACATACCCTCTTTTCCGCTGTTGCTCGCGATCGTCTCAGCCCTCGACTCGAGTCCGACTCAGCCTCCAAATCTGCCGCGACTAACGATTTCAATCAACCCCTTTTACAATCTCGACGACACTTTTTGCGACGACACGGGTTCTGCTGGATCATAACCCTCTATCTCTCCCGCCCTCTTTCCTCGTTTCTCCCTACGCGACTAGCAAATATTCGAGCCCGTCCTCTCTTGGGAATCCCAGCTTCGCCGTTTTCTTTGTGCTGCGATAGTGAATGCCCCTGGCGGGCACGCGTTTGCGATGCTGCAAAGCCCATTGCAAACGCGGCGAGGCCCCTCGACAGAGGGTTCAATCACTTTATCTCTTCTCTGCCTGTCCCTCCTATTCCCCTCTCTGGCGCTCTCTCTCGACATCCCTACAGACCCCAGCATACACGATGGAATAATATTAAAGAACAGCGTCGGCGATGGGCGGAGCGTGGACGTGTTGTACGAACCGCAGTTCGCATCAACCGAGAGCGTGGTCGTCGCAAGACAGACGGAAAATATCAATGTGTTAGGGAATAGCGAGGCTGAGCGATTTTCTATGGACCCAGGCACAATCGCCTTCTTCGCCTTCACTGTCGACGGGCTGACAACGAGGACGGAATCCCGCGAGCCGGACCTAAAGCGATCTCTCAGCGCGCAGCAACAGAGTCCGAATCCTGCCCTCGAAAATGTTTTCAAGCGGCAAATTACACGTACCGCCTTCATCTCTGCCAACATTTGCCGGCACCCCGAGGTCAGCGCAGGCAAGGAGCCAGAAGCCCTTCGTCTAATCGTCTCCTACGACCCAGATGACCAATTCCCGGATAGTACCAAGGCGACAACGCAAACCGTCATCTTCTTCGAGGGCTCCGCAATGCAAAGCATTAGCCTGTCGAATGGCCCCGTACATTTTAGCATCGAAGCACCGCCGATGGCAGAGGGGATTTTTCGGGCCAGTGGAATCTGGAAGTGGCAGTGTCCGACGCCGGTTGGTACCATAGCTACGCGGAGGACTCGACGAATAAAGACGACCGCAGTACCAACAGCGGCATGCTCTGGGCCGTGGACGTCGACGGTGGATCCGCCCTTCTCATGACGAAAAATCTAACCGAAAGCAGTACGGAAGCAGGCGCATTCATGACTTCGGGTCCGCCTTTACGCTCTTTGTCGACGCATCCGACTCGAACCGTCTCGACGGTGTACGGCGCTCCTTTTGTGGACTTCAAAACTATGCGACAATTGCTTCGGTGAAAGACGACAGGCCTACGGAGCAGATGCTCATGAGCATGACGACGCGAGGCCTCGGCAACCTACCTAAGCAGCAGTTTTGGTTCGGTGGGCTCAACTCCAGCACGTCGTACACTGGAATCCTCGTCCGCTCCAAGCAGACAACCGTAGAGAAACGGCAGGCCAGCGGGTCTAGTACGAGCGCCGTCCAAGTCTTCCCAGAGTTCCAGTTCCAAACTACCGAAGGTACTTATCCACACCCCAGCGAGGCGTTGCTTTCCCCGTTGCAGACTAAACTAACATTCGTTTTTTTTCTTCCTTCGCAGGTGACAACTGCCGAGTCATAACCGACCTTGAGTTCTGCAACGAAGTAGAGTACGCGGTGCCGGTAAATAACAACAAGTTCAGCAACACCACTGCGCTCGCGAAAGCCTACGATGACTTTGCGCGGTCCATGTACTCCAACTTTGAAAAGGTGATGATGCAGATTCCCTGCGAGGCGCCCATCACATCTCGATACTCCCTGGCGCGAACCTGCGACGACTGCAAAGCAGCGTACAAGAGGTGGCTCTGCACCGTGGCTATCCCGCGCTGCGAAGATGTATCCTCTACAAACCCGAATGCCCTGCTGAGGAATGCGCGACAGGAGTTCCCGAACGGAACGAAACTCGACGAAGCATTTGTTAATACCCTCAGGCCAGCACTTCTGACGTCTAGAAATGAGTGGATCGATGAGACGATTGCTCCCGGGCCATACAAGGAAATCCTGCCCTGCGATGATTTGTGTTATACCTTGGTCCAGAGCTGCCCCGCTTCCATCGGATTCGGCTGCCCCCTCCCGGACGACCCAAGATTCCAAAACAGCTACGGGCGACGCAGCAACGGCCAAGGTGCTTGCAACTTTCCCATCTCTGCGACCTTTGTCAGCGGATCTAGGGCCTTGGCCGCTCGCTGGCTGACGCTGGCAGCTACACTAATAGTGTCCCTCTTCTCCGTTGTTTAGCGACTCCGGGGGAGGGACTTGTTCGATTTCCTGCGCCTAGCGACTAAGCGTTCTTGTTCTCGTTCTCGTTATCACTTCTGCTTTTGAATCTTTTCTCAAGCCGTTGTTTTTTTTCCTCCTCTTTTTTATTATTACTCTTTGTTCGATATCACATTCTACAGCCACTGGACGCCTTCTTCTATCATGCTTGATCGAGTATAGACAATCAGTTTCGACTTGTTGCATTCAACGGCGTTTACTTTTTTCTCTCCTGCGCCCCATTTCTATCCTTTACTTCAGCTTCATGTTCCTATTTTAGGTTTGTTGGATACCGAAGGGACGGATCCGAGATCAACCAAGACAAGAAGAAGAAGAAGAAGAAGAAGAAGAAGAAAAGTGGAGAATGCGGGCTCGGGGGAAGGACTACTGTTGAAAGGGGGTGTTTTTTCTTTCCTTTCTTTTTCTTTTTGTACTAAACCGCTCAAGGAATTGAGCGTTCGATGGGGCCCGGACGGCGTTAAAATGGTTTGTTCGTTACACCCTATGCCCATGGGGGACGACGGGGCATCTTGTTGATAATGTGGACCGCCGTATCTGAATAGACTATAGGGAGGGACCAGAGGGGCGGAAGGGGATGACTTGACGTTGATGGATAGACAAATGAACTTGAATCTACCTCCAACCCACCAAACGTACTTTGAACATTGACGCTGATGACGTGCAGAGAGGCAGAGGTAGTAAAGAGGCTTTTTTCAATTTAACGAGAGCGGCCAAGACAAATGCAGTTTTGAAGCAGTAAAAACGAGATGTCCAGCTTTGACGCCATGATGCTGTCCGAGTAAATTCATAAATATTTGTTTTTCTGTTCCATGCGCCCTTCCTTTTTTTGCTTTCCTCCCAAAATCATATCTTACATCCTAGGCGACGGTGAACTGCTGCCCGGACCCGCCCATTAACTAGAGCCTCGCTGCATCTACCCGTCCGTCGTTCATCATCTCTTCACATCTGAGAAAAATCCAATTTTCGTGCCACCCTCTTACCGCGGTCCTCCTCCACGAGGCCCGGTCTCCTCTTCAAGTCGGCGCCCATCTTTTCCTCGCCGCCGTCCTTGCGAGGCAGGTCCTCCTTGCGGGTAGGCTTGGGAGCGGCGCCCCACCACTCGTGCCTGAGCATCTCGGCGGCGGTGATGCGCTTCTTGGGGTCGAGGACAAGAGTCCGCATGAGGAGGTCCACGCCATCGGCTCCGACGGGGAACAGGCCGCGGAGCACCTCCTTGGAAGGGACGGGGTACATTTCGGCGGGGATGGCGCCGTACTCGCGCAACTTGGAAACGCCGGGCCAGTTGTCTTCGGTGGGGGTTCCAAGGTTGCGACAGACGAGCTCGATCTGATTGATATCGGTCTCGCCGGGGAGGTAGGGGTTCCGGAGGACGAGCTCGGCAAAGACGCATCCGACGGACCACACGTCGACGGCGCCGCTGTAGTGCTTTGCGCCAAAGAGGAGCTCGGGGGCCGGTACCAGCGGGTGATGACGTTGGAGGTCATGATTTGGTGGGGGTCGGCGAAGCTCCGGGCGAGACCGAAATCGGCGAGCTTGATCTCGCCGTCGGCGGCGATGAGCAAGTTGTTGGGCTTGATATCACGGTGGAGGACGTAGTTTTCGTGGCAGAACCATACGGCGCGGGTCAGCATGCCCATCCAAGCCTTGATGTCAGCCGTGCCGTAGTGTATGGAGTTGGAGTCCCTGATGAGCATCTCCAAGTCGCCGAGAGGGAGGTACTCGAGGACAAGATTCAGATTTTGATCCTTGGACGAGAAGACGGAGAAGAGGCTGATGATGTTGGGGTGCTGCAATTCCTGCAGGTGCTTGATTTCGCGAACAGCGTCGGGCGGTAAACCATCCGTGTACTCCTTTTGGACCTTGATCTTTTTGATGGCGACGCGCACAGAAGGGTTGTTCCGCAGCGACCCTAGGTACACGATGGCGTACGTACCCTCACCGAGCTTCTTCCCCTCACGTATTTGCGCTTCTCCTCCTCATTCATCTGCTCGGAAAGGTCGAGTGCCGGGGCACGGCGGCGGCGGGCAAGGCTGTCACATGGTGGGGACGGGGGTGCTCGTCGAGGATCCATGGCCCGAGTTCGTTTTCAGTGGCGAGGCGGAGATGAAGCGGCCGCCGGAAGGGATATCGGATGGTCGTGCTACTAGAGGGGAGCCCGACATTGTGACTTTTCAAAGTTGTGTGCTTGCTCTCGGTGGCGAGAGAGCGTGGGCTTGTCGGGCGTGTCGGCGGTCTGGGTGCGCGACCGATTTCGAATCGTGGGTTGGCGTTGATGGAGAGGGGAGGATTGGAATGGAGGGGAGGCCGGTGGTTTCGCGGAAGGAACAATTCGCTTCAGCACGCACCTGGCACCGTTGGCAGGGTTCAAAGCTTATCGATAGCCAGCTACAGTGTGTGTGTGGGGGTGGGGTTTCTCGCCCAAAGAATGCTGCTCTATTCATGCTCTTCCCAGGGTTCAGGAGCCAGATTCATTGGGATTGGAGGGTCCAACGAGGCCGATTGAATTAATTCAAGATAAATATGGAACCATTGGAGCCAGTCGCCAGTCAAGTCCGCGACCCTCGTTGTGGATCACTTTGTGCCCGGCAGGTGCGTATTCAGGCAGTGGCAAACAATGATACTGATTCATCTCCAGCACGAACTTGATCTTTTCTAGCCATCGGCATCGGTGGCTTAAATCCGGGGCCCAATCTCCAATTTTCTCAACCTACTCCGGGAAGCAAGATATTTTTAAACCCCGAGCGCCCGAGAGAGAGAGAGAGAGAGAAGAGGATCGACTGAGCTAGTCTCTAGTGTAGGGTCGTTGCGCCACATCTGCGCCAGCATACGTGAGCTGGTGTACGTGAGCGAGCTATAGCCCCAAAAGGCCCAGCCAAGACCATGTCTGTTCATGTTCCAACGATTTGCTGCGCGCGAGCTCCGGAGCGTGGCTTCGCCCACTGCTACGTCATCCACCTACGTCGTCACGAAGATGTCGAGCCTGAGAATTTTTCCCTGAAAAATCAATAAGGGACGAGGATCGCCCTTCCCAAGTCGCACACAATCGGAAGACGGGCTATTGTCTCTTTATCCTTCTTCTCTCTCCCTTTACACTCGTCTCGCGTGGGAATTGCAGCCTCCTGCTATCCCGGACCCATCCGCCGGAGCGTGTCGCGGGGGCCTTTGAAACCGAGCTCCGGAGCCAAGCTCCTGGGATTTGAAATCTGTGTCTACCTTGGGGTAATAAATATTACAACCATTGCCCAATTCCCCCAAGGATTGCCATCAATAGCAATCTCGTCATCCCACCCAGCGCGACTGCTCTCGCAAGCTGCCATTTCAGGCCACACCCTCGTTCAGTGCTAGGACGTAGGGCATCCGACAAGTTGCATTCAAGCCTGAAATATTGGCCAAAGAGGACATTGTTCAGACATTCCAACGTTGCACAAGCGACGCCCTGTTCCGAGCCCATCACTTCTATCGCCGCCACCGGCGCCGTCCCTGCCGACGCCACCACTCCTCCCGCAACCGCTTGTCGCTGAAACCCCAGCGACAGGAACTTCCATTCTTCTAGAATTGATTCACAGAGAGCAAAGTTTCCGCAACCATGAGCGCGGGGAAGCTGAGGCTGTCGTATTGGGTTCGTTAAAAACTTTCTGTCCTACCTCACCAATCACCTTTGGTCCCCCTTTTATCCTTTTCTCCCTTGCCTCCCGGGCGGGTTCAAAGTATATATCAGTCCATGAATCCCTAAGCGAGTAGCGCTTTGCTCGCCGCTTGGGGAATAGGGGACCGGGGCGTGCCTGGTCCAACTAAACTACGAAATCGTCTCGGATGACATCTAGACTAGCAACCGCTAACGCCCGTTTCCCCTTGTTAGGTCTTGCCCATCATCTCGGGCGTGGTATGGCTGGCCACCCTGCTAGGCATGCTCTTGCAATGGGTCGTCAACGATAACAAGAGGCACCTCCCCTCCATGAACGCCGAATCCACCATCCCCTACATCAGCAACATTGGCGCCCATGAAATGAAGCCTCTCTTTATCACCGGCTGCGTCATCACCACCATCTTCCTTGACCTCTCCTTCGCCTCTGACCGTTGGTTGCGCCACAACGGCCGTTTAGTACCCAACGTCACACTCTTCGAAAAGGTCCTCTCTGGACTAACCATCTTATTCGCCATCGTCGGCACCGTCGGCCTCATTTTGCTCTCCATCTTCGATACCTACCATCACAAGCGCCTGCACAACATCTTCTTGGCCCTCTTCATCGGAGGCTACTTGATAAGCGCCATCTTCATCTGCTGGGAGTACCAGAGACTAAGAACCAGTTGAGTTGCCTCCTCCCTCCCCGCGAGCCGGCTTGCGTGTCTATCATCTTCCCCCACTCCACTTCTAACACAAGAGCCTCCCCCTAGATCATCGCGAGCATAGTATCCTCCGCACCTCCTTCCGCATCAAGCTCGCCTTCATCATCCTCGAGCTCATCCTCATCATCGCCTTTGGCGTCTGCTCCCGCGTCAAACGCCGCAACGCCGCCGCCGTTCTCGAATGGATCATTGCCTTCATCTTCTCCGCCTACGTCTTCTCCTTCATCGTCGACCTCTGGCCCGCCATGCACACCAAGCCGGCTCGCCGCTCCCGGCTCCACCGCCATTCCTTGGGCATGGGCGGTGCCCACGGAGCGTGCGATTCTAGCTCCGGATCGGCGGTGCATAGAGACTGGTCCCCGAGAGAGATGGAGGAGGCCAACCCCAATGACCTTCCAATGCAGCCGAGACAGGCGCATATGGATAGGGTCCCGAATAACTTTTAAGTCTGCACAGACCGACGCACTCTTTCCACTCCTTTCCAGCTTACTCGTATAAAAACTCCTCTCCGGGCATTTTTTTCTTTCTATTTTCCTCTAATATAGGGCGGGCGCCAGGCCGGGAAGATAGGCGTTGGCCACGGACAGCTCGCGATATCGCGAAATACCAGAATATCAAAATCTTGTATATAACTATTTCCTTTGCTCATACGGGTCCATAGAGGCATTTTGGGATCTATCACGCATCAAAGACGCATCAACTATGGTGGGTGGAGTTTCGGTCCTTCCAATATATATCATCATTCTTTCAAACTATGACCAAATAAGTTTACAACTTGCCTCAGAGCCATTCTCGTCGGACTGTGATCAGTGTGCCCATCTAAACCTAGAATTCCTCTAAAAGAGAACTGATAGACAGGTTCAAAAGGGGCTAAACAGAAAGGCCAGACGTAAACATGAGGGGGAAACAAAAGTGGGTGCCTGCGCAACGCCAAGCTATGAAACGGTTCTCCTTCACTGTTCATTACCTCCTTAGACATACATGTAGAGATGCGATGCATAGTCCATCTCTATCTCAACTCACACACACACACACACGCTCTCTCTGTCTCTCACTCATATATCTCACATGTTAGACCATTCTCCGCAAATGTCCGTACTCTCAAACAGTAGGAAGAGGCTGTTTCCTTAGTCCATAATCTCCCTAAATCTCGAGTCACGCGCAGGGCTGCTACTCTTCCCGATAGGAGGTGTCCAAACAGCCCGTCTATCAATGGGAGAAAGTGCAGCCGGAGACTGCATCTCCCGTGCGTCGACAAACCTCTCATCGGACCCATCCGAGCCCACACTCAGCTTGCGTACTGCCTTCGTCGCTACTGCCTCGTCAGTCAAGCCAGCGGCCACCCCACCCTCCCCTGTCGCCTGCCTATCCCTGCCCGCAACAGCCATTTCCCTCATTGACGAAACGGGAACAAGGCTGTTGGTGCTTCCGCCAGGACTTCGCATCTTTGCTGCGTAGCCTCCAATGAAGCCCTTTTCAGTTTCGTCCAGTGTTTTTGAGGATGCCCGAGAGCGCGAAAGCTTTGCCTTGATCCAATTCTTCACTTTGCCCGGAGAGAGGGTGGGCTCCCGGGCATCGCCGGAGACACTTCGCCCTCAACCGGGGTGATGCTTCTTGGAGGAGTCGTAATTGCGTCCACGACTGGCGGGAGCGTGTGGCTTTGCCCCGAGGTTACCGCTGCCTCGTTGCCCTGGGTGTTGTTCATTGCTTCGCCAGGATGAGGCCCGCCATCGCCATCGTTCACCGAACCGGCAAGGTTACGATCTTCTAAAGTGACTATGGCCCCGTGGAGCGCCACATCCTCGTCTTCCTTGCGCCAGGTGGTAGTCCCGTTGCGCCTCTCACGCTTTTCTTCCTTCAAGATCTGTTTTCGCTCCTTGTCCTTTTGCTTCTGACCCTCTGTTGATCGTATTAGCTTCGTCGCCTCCAGTTTGCGTGTGCTTGTCTCAACTCAGAAATCGTAGTCGTCTTACCTTTAAGCTTCCGGTATATCTCCTTCACTTCTCGATCATGCGCCTTCTTTTTCTCAATCTCGATTTCCTTGAGCGCTTGTTCCTCTTTAAGGAGCCTCTGTCTTTCTTGTTCCTTCTCCGCCCTCTCGTTAATCTCTTGGAGGAGAGGCTGGACATTACGGGCCGCGACGGCGTCAATCTCCTCCTGCGTCACAAACATCCCGCCGCCAACGTCTCGCTTTCCTAGAGGCGGCATCTCGGACGCCACTTTGATCTGGGCAAGGCTTTCCGCCTTGGCTTTCCATTCCGACAATTTGCTAGGTGGCACCATTCCGGTACGGTCGTAGATGCTTTCATCAATGTCATGGAGCTGGCTCTGAACATTCCTCCGGGCCGCGGCTAGAACAGCCTCCCTATCTCGCCGGCGTTGATCTTGGTCTACTTTGGTTTGAAGGGACGGGAATATAGTGGTGGGGTTTGACGTTCGGTCTTGTCGCCGAGATTGAAGATCGCTATCGCTCGAGGATCTGTTGCGTAATCTAAACGCCTTGTGCGTCCGGCGGCGAGGTGGGGTGGGTGACTGGTTGGGGTTGTAGCGTTCGCGGAATTCGCGGTTCTTTTGAAACTCTTGCTCCAATTTCGCTAGTCGCTCCTGCGCCAACTTATACGCCGCCTCGTGAAGATTGACAGGCTCCGAGTGGGCGGGCTCACCACCACTCGTCATATCGTCGTCGTCGTCCTCCTCCATCTCGCGCATATGTTGTTCAGTCAATTTTTGCTGCTTCAAAAACACCTGCCTAGCAAGTGCGACGGCTGAAGAATGCAGCTCATCTGCCCTTCTTCTCTCTTCGACCTCGATGCCGACGGGCGGGTGCGACGTATACATGCTACGATCCAACAAGGTGGTCGGAACCGAACCGTATTCCGCAGAGGGGGAAAGTTCGGGGGCGAACGACCATCGCTGCGTAGAACCTGAATTGGCTAGGCCGTGACTTCGCTGTTTCACGAGGGGTGATGAGAGGGATCTAGGTCGAGATGCCGTTGCCTCCTGTGCAGCCGCGAGAGACGAGCGGCCGTGATGAGGAGGAGGCACATGCGTGTCCTTCTTCGACGGAGATGGTTGCGACTTATAGGCGATGCATGCTGCTGAACTTCCCCAGTTGTCTTGGGAAAAGCTGTGGCGGTGTGCAGCGGTGGTTACTTTGGGTGGGGCCTTGCGCTCACGAACCGACTTAGCCCGTCGTTGAGAATCCTTAGGATCGGTGGCGAGGAGGCTGCGGTGGTAGCCGAAAAAGATGCAGTTTTCTCGCGGATTGGGTGAGGAACAGACAGGGAGCCATCTCTGTTCTTTGCCCAACCTAACGCGGCGGCAGCCGAGGCTGTTGCCTCGCGAGGGACTCCGCGGGAAGGGTAACTCGGTAAGCTCTTCGGGTCTGCGTATCTAAGCCTTGCCCCGGCAGAAACCACTACAGCATCCAAAGTCAATAAAAGTCCCCACGGAAGTGCGGGGGAGGACGGGTTACAAGGGCTTAGAGTTGGGTGACGGGGGTGGGCCGGTTTACATCGGCCATGGCACTTACATGACTTTGGCCGTTCGGTTTGGACGGACGCCATAGCGGCGCTGTTGGTGGCGGGTAGCTAGGAAATAGAGAAATTCGAAAATCGTTGTTACGAGTTCCAAGCGCTCAATTCCTATGGATGGGTGCTTTGAACACGCGTTATCGCAAACTGCATACGAGGCGAGGAGGTCGGAAGTGGGAGGGTATTAATAGGGGTGTTTCGTATTCGAGGTGGAGAGCAAGGCCTAAAAGGGAACTCGGGACATCAATGGATGCATGGGCGCAGGCTCGTGAAAACGCTGGGGGTCAGTTGGAAGGAAATGGACTAGGGGGAAAGCAGCGTGAGGTTCACTGACGAAGGGCAAGGGGGTAAGAAAAGTATATATTCCAGGTTGGCAATGATGCTATCTCTTCGCCATGGGGGAAAGGCAGGAAACCCTCTAGAAAATCCAAGGGGGCAATAGCGGGGAGGAAAAAGGAAATATGTCACACATCATGACAATCTCGAAAGCTAAACAATGTTTCGAGTGGCTTCCGGGAAAGCCGCCAGCATGGGGGTGAGACCTCGACCCCGTCTCTCGTGTGGAGTCTGGATGAGTTAGGATAAGTGTGAGAGTCAAAGGCGAGAAGGGAGCGAGGGCACGACCATGTTGCATCATAACGTGTTGCATCTCTTGGCATCGTCGAGGGGCGCTGCCGGGGAGAAGGGGGCGGGGGTTTGTTAGGTGACCTAACGCGACTCGTGGAGCCATCTGATGTATGACGTTTCTCGACGATAGAGCGGTGGCTCGACGAACATGAGGTAATGGCTGGCCATCAAACTACAAAGATGTTGTCGATTGATTTGCAGCGAGAGACTAACAAAAGCGACCTTTCCAAAAGCAACCGAGGACCCTCCTTGCCTTCCCCGGTTGGACGAGGAGGGTGCGACCGATATGAAGCGGTGGCCGCCCATGACGGGGAAGGAACTTCCTGATGTGGCGCTCGAGGTCTCGTCAACTGGTCTCGATTTGTCCAAAGTCATCACGCGGCCAGCCCCTCCAAACCTCAAGGTCCTAACGAGCTGAAGCTACGAAGTATACAACTTGGTGGCCTTGCAAGAAGAATAGAAGAAAAACTACTGGAGAGGACGAATTGCGAATAGAACGCTAGGGGATCCATCAACGACGGATTCCAGGGTTTATGGATCTTCGTCCATCCATCCAATGGTGGATGGATGTATCGATCTGTGGCCGATGTGTACCTCGAAAGAGCTCCCGAAGTACCGAAAATTCTGTTCAGCACAGCTGCCTCGAATTGCAAAAGAGCCTGGCAAGGCGTTGGATAGACTCGACTAGCCCTTCTGCCCGCCTCTCGCATCCAAAAGGTGGCGCATACGAAGAGCCCTGATAGCGACGAGACATGCTGCCCTGTGGGTTCCGAGCTGTAACAGTGGCGCACGACTCGGCTTGATTCGATAAGGTCGGTTTTACAAGAACGGCTTCGAAAGGGTCGAGAAGGGCAAGGCCGCCCGCGAAGGACCTCGTATAGAGTTCGACAGCTTGGGGTTGCGTTGCAACGGGTAGCCTCCGGCTAACGCCTCCCAAAAATAGCTGTCGCCTGGTTGCATTCATGATCCTAGAGGGTGGGCCCTACAGGTAGGGTCTCGAGAACACCACCAACGACCCCCAACCAAGGCGATATAATAGGTGCGGTATAATTATAGCCCTCACGATGCTTAATTTCGCGTGCTTAGTATACTCAATCTATCTTGCCCGTATTTTCTGAACCCAGAAATTTTGCAGCTGCACCCAGCGAGGAGTAATAGGGCTGTTCGCCTTCCCTGCCGTGCAGCTGGAGATCAATCAAATCCAAGTACTTGCAAGTACTTGGGGTGGTATTATTGATGTAACAGTGGATCAGGAGGCCGAGAATCGACGTCATGGCTAGCTACTCCCGTCCGTCACCTTCCCCCAGATAATCAAAGCCCACCAGCTTCAAGAGCTGTATCGTGCTCCGCGGCCCTCACGATTAATCAATGTTTGATGTAAGGTTGCGGTGCAAGCAGGGCCCAAGTCTCCGTTGTCCAATACTTGTTGATCACACTCAGCTTTTTTTTTTTTCGTAGACTTCAAGCTTGGTGAGGTTAATTTCGTCAAGAGGTTGCTTAAAGAATGAAGCGAGATGCTGCGTATTTCCACTGACCCGACCGACTTTGCAAGTGAGACTGCTTCTTCCTCCTTTGACTCGATGCATCGGTGTTTGTGTCAGACCTCGGGATAGATCTATAGCTGGGCTGGGAAGTGTTAAAGGTCCTTTTCCATTGAAGCGCTGGCTTCCTCGTGGATTCTTCTTTGTGGGGGCTAGTCCCAGGATGAAGTCATCGATCGGTATTTGGGCTGAGGGTGGGGAGCAACTGGGCTATTTTGACTCTCATGTGTCTCAGGCCTATCAAACATCTCGAAGCTCGACAACGAGAGATCGAGGCCATTGAGAGCTAGCCGTCTAAGTTCCAAAGCGTCAATGCCTACCTACAGGTAGCCTTTCACGCTCTTCTTGGACAAAGACAAAGTAACGTTCTCGGATTCCGAGGAGTGCAGTTCGGCCGACAGGGCCTACAGAGCTATCTAGATCTGCGAAGGGTCCGCTCTTATTAGTTTCCCTCGCTCGAAGCAGCGCCGCTCAACTGATCCATTTCGTCGATAATTTCGGGGTCTGGAACAACCCCAGTCCTGTCACTCAACCCTGCGCCCAGACTTTCCCATCCCGTCATCGGCCTATACCGGAACGCCGAGTATCATCATGCTGATGGTGATCGCAGGCTGAAGCATCATCTATTGTCTGATGAAAAAGCCGAGCGTTGTTGATTTTTTGGTTTGGTGGGCCTGACCGCCAGAGATCCACTCCATGAATAGTTGATGGTGAAAGCACTGAGGCTCAACACTTGTCCACACTCCAGCTCCATGTGTAATCCCATCAGCCCTTTTGCCGAATACCCGAGAATTAACCTGACGCATTGAGCCAGTCAACGAGACAGGTACGGCGAATACACGATCTGGGTGCCCCAAGCGTACAGAGCAAACTGGATTCGCATCCACATCCCCTGTGTGCTTATTACTCGACGGCTTAGAACGGACCAATGTTGGTCTGACAGCGACAGGATAATTACTTGTCCGTCGGAGCACCTTGAGCGGAGGAACTAGGCTGTCAAAGACTGCATGGATGTTAAAGCCCCCGTCTATTTAGCGTAAAGCCTCAGTGAAGACCGGGTGCCGGCTTCCACTCTGCCCTATGGGTGAATACCGTGCCTGGTTCCAGGGGCAAATTTTCCCTTCTTCATAAAGCCCATCTCCAAGTTTTTCTTCAGCTTCACTCTTGCCATACGTTCCTGTGACACAAGGGCCGAGTAGAGAGTATCTTGAGTTATCTTGCAAGCAGAAGACTAAATTTGTTTCTCATCTTTTATTTGTGCCGACCTCTCTCTCTTGCCTTTACAATGCAGGGCGTTGCCAACTTTAGAGATGTTGGCAAGTCTGTCAACGACTTTCTTGGCGAGAGGTATCTCCGTCTCCCTTCGAACCACAACCTATCCACGTGCCTACTAATGTTGGTGATATGCATTACCTTGTAGGCGGCTTCGCGAAGGCTTGCTTTTCCGCTCGGCCAGACTGGGTGTGTAACTCTCTCTTTTTCTTCCCTCACGTCCCCTTTGCCTAGTACCGTCCCTCTTCCTCAAATAGTATATGCCCACGTGTTTTCTATGAAGGAGTTCAAACCACTAAGACAACGATAACCGGGCTTCAAGACGATGCGAGCCCTGAGGATAAGGACTTCCTGATCAACGAGATTGGTTTAAAGTCCATCCTCGACCTTCGGTCAAAGTAAGTCTTGGCTTCCCCCAGCCACGCCGGACGTAGCTAAGCAACCCTCGCAGCACCGAGCGGGCCGATCAAGCAAAAAGCACGGCACTGGCAGCGCACCCTCCCGCGCCCCGTCTGCGAGATTGCCCGTCGAACACTATCACCACATATCAATCGCAGGGAAAGCTTATGAGAGGCTCTTGATGGGCCAGCTATCGTGGCTATCGTTCATGTAAGTCGGAATATCTATCTCACGCGAGTAGATGATATCACTCTCTTCGAAGCTTGGGGTATCCTGTTGTTGACAGAGGTCAAGATGGATCATTATCCTTTTCATCTTCCGACAACGGCACCGCGCAGTCGCCCTTGTCGTCCGTGAGGCCATGGTTCCCCGCGGCTTGGTTGGCACACAGCTGGATACTATGGAACACTGTGGCGCCGACGTGGCCAAGGTATGTTGCCCGAATGGAATGCACTCGTTTGCTTTTTCTTGCCGTCTTCCTTTCCCTTCTGAATATTCATCTCGTGGGATATGCTGTTCACCACATCCGCACTCAGTAGGCCGTCCGCGTTTTCACCCAGCCCGCGAACCTGCCCGTCATCGCGCACTGCTCTCTCGGCAAGGACCGAACCGGCCTCGTCATCGCGCTCGTTCTTATGCTTCTGGGCGTGCCAAAACGAGCGATTGAGTACGACTACGCACGCACAGATGTAGATCTGGAGCCCAAGCGAGCCCAGATCATTGAGGAAATCTCGTATACGGGCCTTCCGCCCTCCTGGGCCTACACGGCCAAGGACCTGATAGAGAGGGTAGCCAAGCTCGTCCAAGAAAAGTTTGGTGGGATCGACGCCTATGCTGATTTCATTGGAATCACTGCCGAGGAGAGAGCTGTCCTGCGCGAGACGTTGCTCTATTAACCTGCGTGAGCACAGCCTCGGTGGCTGTTTCTGGCGTGGCGACCGCAATAACAAGATCAGTAGGTGGAAGCAAGGGTGGTGGTTAAAGGATCTTTTTATTTTCTTCTAAACCGGCCCTGGATCCAGCACCTGTACATTTTTATGCGCGAGGCCCTATTCACTAGTAGCCTGTTATCCCGGCCTAGAGCATCAATGTCAAACTTGCCACTCCAGATACCGATGAGTTCCTCTTCCTCAAAAAAGTAAACTCTGGTTCCGTCACCTCGGACATAAAAATTGTCTTCTAGATAGCGGTTCTTCTTGAAGCGTACCTGAGCGAGGTCCCTCTCCCATAGTCTCGGAAGCAGACATGCCCGCCCGGCTTTAGCAGTCGGTAAAGATTATCCACGGCTTTCTCCCATTCCCTGGGTGAAAGAGCGGAAAAGATGAAGATCATTACGATGACGTCCACGGAGCCCTCGCCGAGTCCCGGGGAAGCTCGTCACCCGTCACGTCCCAAACGTCAGCCTGCATGACCTCCGTGTTGTAGGCCTCCTGGCTGCGCATAACCTCTACGGCCTTCTTAGAGTAATCACAGGCGTGGACTTTTAGATGGGGATTCTGGTTCTGGGCAATCAGCGGAAACGCTGTGTTGCCTGCCCCAGCACCCACTTCAAGGACGACCTGCGGCCCAGCGTCCGCATGTGTTACATCAGAGAGAATGGGAAATTCTTGCTGAAGCCACTTGCGGTCCTTGAAGAAATTTGCAGCATTGTTTTTATAAAAGTTGTTCCACCACTTAGCGGGGTCGGCATTGAACCTCACTAGAAGACGCGCATTGCTTGTTAGCCCAACAACATCTTTTTAAGACCGTTCAGGGTTTAGAAAACGAAGGAATAAGAAACATGACGCGAGTGTTCAGATGGGAGCGAAAGAAGGATAGGTTGGTCATCATCGATTTTGTCAGATGAACTATGCATTTTTGGGTATCATCACCACACAGCAGGTCGGAAGACCGAATAGGAATAGAGGATATGCGCGGAGAGGGCGCGAGAAAAAAAGAAAGCAAACTCACTTTTATCAAAGTCCGAGGCCGGGGCCTGGCGCTGCCTTTCATACTGGGTTTGAGCGTATTCCTTGTAAGCATCATCAGTCTCAACATGATCCCAAGCATTGAACTCGAAGACGTCGTCCTGCGTCCCGAGATATCGGCTTCCAAACTGGAAGGGGTCCGATCTCTTTTTGTTATTGTCAGGGTCATGGGACCGATGAGCCGGAACTTCCACAGGAGCAGATTTCGGGCTCTCTTCTTCAAGAGTCAAATCTTGGGTCGGGCTGACGAGATCATCGCCGTTCGGGCACACTTCCATGGCCGATGAGGCGGTGTCGAGACCCGTCATCTTGGCGGGATGCTTGCGTGGATGATTGCAGATGCGAGAGATAGATATAGATATTCTTACTCTGGCGTTCAGCGAAACTATCCAACGGCAAGAGGGAGGTTGCGTATGATGACACGCATCTCCAGGTTCCCGAGCTGGGGTTAGTTCCTTCGATTTCGAGGATGAAAAAGAAGAAGAATCTTTGAGGCACAGTTTGCACGAAAAAAAAATTCAAATTCTGGTCCCTTTTTAAGGGTGGGGCAACTGGACAACTCCGTGCGAATCCCCATCGTAAACTGTATTCCCTGGTGTCGGGTGATTGTCGGGATATTTGTGAGTGAAGCATCAGTCGCTCGTGGATTGGGAGAATCGCTTGCTGCCCTTACTAACTCTCATGACGTTAGGCCAGACCGAGCTTCGCGACGACAGGACAGAGCCCACTTTAGCCCAAGCACAGCTATCAATCCACAGCCCGCCTATTACATTTCCGAGGCGCCCACCATGTCGGCACATCTCCTTCGCCCGCAGGCGTACCTGTCTAATAAGGAAGTCCTCGAACTTGCCCAACAAGCGCCAACGATCCTACGAAATAATCCCAAAGCCTTCTCCACGTCGCCGCTCGTCTCGCTCTTCACCGCTTCAGAAACCCCGGAGCTATGGATGATATACGAGAACCTCTTGATAGCTTGCCTAAGGACAGGAGATGACTTGTCTGCTTTTGAGTTCCTGGAAAGGCTGGTAGAGAGGTTTGGCGGCGAGAACGAGCGGATAATGGCTTTCAAGGGGCTTACGAAAGAGGCCAAGGCCGCCAATAACGCCGAGCTAGAAGAGCTCTTGAAAGAGTACGATTCCCTCCTGTCTGGACAAGACGGACAGACAAATATTGTAGGTGCAACCCGCAGCCTGATACAACGAACAGCCCAGCCTGCTTGACAACTCTGGGATCTCTGTTTTTTTCTCTATCTTCCCCTCCCTTTGACTTGTTTTACTAATTCAAGGGGCGCCACTAGCCAATTGCGAAACGTCGTGTTGCGTTGCTCAAGTCTTTGGGACGGACATCGGATGCCATTGCGAACCTAGTGAAGCTACTGGATTATTCGCCGACGGACGCTGAAGGGTGGTCGGAACTGTCCGACCTGTACCTTTCGCAGGGCCTCTATGCCCAGTCAATCTATGCACTCGAAGAGGTTCTTGTTCTCCAGGCGAACTCTTGGAATGTAGGTTGATAATTACCATCTACGATTCCCTGCGATATGCTGACACGATGTCAACAGATGCATGCAAGGCTCGGCGAGATTCTCTTCATGGCGGGGACCTCGTTGGCAGATAACAGCTCTACAAGGTACCTAGCGGAATCCGTGAAGAGATTTTGCCGGAGCATTGAACTATGCGATGACTATCTACGAGGATACTACGGGCTAAAACAGGTGAGACCATTGACTATCATTTCGCAATAGATCGCCAGCCTTGCCGAGCACGAAACTAACTCGCACCAGGTTACGGAGGCGTTGCTTCACGATCCCAAGGCCCTCAAGCCTTCCAAGCAGGCAGACGAAGAAGGCATGTCTGTGCCATCCAAGGCAACTCTGGAGGCACTGAACCAGCAGGCGACGGCAAAACTCAGCGAGATTGTAAGGCGGTGTAGTGCCGGTGACACGCACTGGCAGGGTTATGCGGAAGCCGAGATCGAGGCCGTTAAACAACTTCTCACCAAGGATGAGGCCCAGGTTGTACGATAAGTAATGTGTAAAACTAGTTTCCTTTGGATAGAGCGTTTCTTGGCACAACAGCAAGCCAATGCCGAATCTCCGCCTATGCGACACCTCAGGGTTTGTGACAGGCCCGTAAATCCTTCCTTGGGATACACTAGATAGAGGGGCAGAAGCTCCGTGATATTTTTTTGTTTCCGAAATCTTCGAGGGCAACGCGACACAATGAATTGCCCCGTTCAATCTCCTCGTCAGTGGAGTTCAGCGATCACCAGGATCAATTTGATGCGGTTCGAAATCAATTTGCTTTTGATGTGCAGTGTCATGGCAAATAACAAGGCCGCATCCACGCACGGTGGTCATGAGGGGCCAAGTGGATGCAACTCTAAAGATACTCGGGAAAGTATGGTGGGGGAGGATCATGGAAGTACTCGATCTCGATTGCTTGACTTTGCCAATTTGGCTCCTCTCGGACTCCCTCGGGTCTTTGATTACCAACAGGGCCTTCCACGTGCTCGCCGATGGGAATGGCCTTCTGCAGCATGCTGCGAGAGGATTCGACTCGGCGCCCCTACCTGGCACGGGAATTACTTGCCTTCATGGGAAAGAGCTTGATAAAACTGGGTTCCCTTCCCGGGGTCTGCGGGTCGACTTAACCAACAATAGAAATTTCCTTGACCGAGAGCCTTCCCAGGATGTTGAAAGACGTGGGAAAGAGTGGCCCTGTCTATCCATCCATCAATGGATGTGACGCACATGGTGCGGAGTAGCGTGCAGGTTGGGGATATTGAACGCAACGTCTGTTTTATAAAAGAAGCTACTACCCGTCCCTTGCCATGATCGTCATACCGTTATTTTCTCCCCATCGAGCTTGAGCTTAGAGGTGCGCTGCCAATCCTATCTTTCGAGTCGCGTCTCCCCTCCCTGAGTGCTTCTTGTTCTATCTCAACCTCGTTCAATCTTTACTTAAGACAGAACCCCCTAGGTCCTCTCCTCCCTCTCAAGATGCATATGAAATTTGCAGCTCTTGCGCTGGGCCTCGGCGTGGCCTCGGCCGCGCCCGCCAACAAGACGTCGGCTTGCAAGCCCTCGACTGGCGCGATCAAGTACGCGCAACTAGGACCTCGCCCCTTCTTCCTCGTCGATGACATGGAAGAGAGCGATCTCAAAGATCAGTTGACGACGTGCATGCGCACCAAGAGCAGCTACAAGCCCTCGGCCTGGAGCGTTGCGCACCGTGGTGGCGGCACCCTGATGATCCCCGAGCACAGCCTGGAGTCCAACATGGCCGGTGCCCGCATGGGAGCCGGCATCCTGGAGTGCGACGTCGCCTTCACCAAGGACCGCCAACTGGTCTGCCGGCACTCTCAGTGTGATTTGGCGACCACGACCAATATCGTGAGCATCCCGGAGCTCAACGCCAAGTGCACCAAGCCATTCACCCCGGCTTCTGGCACCACCGCCGCGAGCGCCAAGTGCTGCACCAGCGACCTCACTCTTGCCGAGTTCAAGACCCTTTGCGCCAAGATTGATGGCTCTAATCCCAAGGCCACCACCGCCGAGGAGTTCCTCGACGGCACCCCGGCACACTCGACTGACCTCTACGCCACCTGCGGGACGCTCCTGACCCACAAAGAGCACATTGAGCTGACCAACAGCCTCGGGTTGTCCTTCACCCCCGAGCTCAAGACGCCCGAAGTCAAGATGCCGTTCGAGGGCGACTACACCCAGGAGCAGTATGCTCAGCAGCTCATTGACGAGTACAAGGCTGCCGGCATTGATCCGTCTCGTGTCTTCCCCAGTCGTTCCTCTACGATGACGTTCTGTACTGGATCGCCAACGAGCCCGAGTTCGGAAAGCAGGCCGTCTTCTTGGACTCGGAGGGTGAAACGCCAGCCACCTTGCCCGTTGCTACGGAGAAGCTCACACAGCGAGCTGCCGACGGCGTGCGCATCGTCGCGCCCCCGCTTCAGTATCTCGTCACTCTTGACGAGAACAAGAACATCATCCCTAGCGCGTACGCTAAGAAGGCCAACGAGCTCGGCTTGGACATTATCACCTGGTCTCTAGAGCGCTCCGGATTCCTCGGTGATGGTTCCCACGGAGGGTACTACTACTCCACCATCGCCGATGCCATTAACACGGATGGCGACGTTTACAAGCTGCTGCACGTTCTCGCCCAGGATGTCAAGGTTCGCGGCGTCTTTTCCGACTGGAGCGCTACGGTCACCTTTTACGCCAACTGCTTTGGCGTATTCTGATAACACTCGTTTTCAGGCCTTGGGTAGCAAAGCACGCGGGAACATATAATATCCTACATATACTTGTAAATATCTCTTTCTTTCTTTTAAAAGAGTATCAGAAACTTGATACGGATCATGTATACTCGGTATTTCAAGCATAATACTTAATTTCTTTTTTCTTTTCTTTTTGTTTGGATTTAATATGACTTCTCGATTGTTGTCTTGGTGATTTAGTATCGTAGGTGCTGTGTTTGGTCGCGTCCTGAGGAGGTGAACCCACGGGTCTTAAAAGCGCCTCGGTATCGGACCCGGGTTTCAGATAGATTTGGTCAACACACGAGACGCACGATGCGATTAGGGAACGGAGGGCTGGTGAGGCAAATCTCCTAGACGCTGGTCGAGGCACAATATATTGAGTAGCGAATGATGCTGCAAGCTTGTCTCGACCGGGAAAGTCAACAATCGATTGTTGCTAGGGGTAATAGCGAAGAGACAAGAGAGAGAGAGGTACCTCAGTACACAGTGGCCGGATCGAACGAGGAAAAAAGGGCACTTACCCCTCATGCCCCACTTTTTGCCGTCAATTGTCGGTCGGAAGCCAAAGTTCAGTTTCGTTCAAAACAAACATTGATCGCCGCTCGCTTGATGCTTGCGTGACTAACCAATTCGTGGGGCGGCGATTGCCGAAGAGCGAAAACCCTCCCACTCTCGGGACGGACGGGGGTCGGCCAAGGGGTGCAGGCTCTCCCTGATGCCCACGGATTCAACTGGTCAGCTGGTTTTCGTGGTTGGGTAACTTTGATGTGGAGAACGAATTCATTCGTTTTTCTCGTACTCTAGAATGCTTCGAGTTGCCCTATTGAAGCGGGAAGCCTTTGTGGCCTCCATTCCAAAGGGGAGGAGAATACCCCGGGGGAGGGGCTTTGGAGGTCGCCATGGAGGTTGCCACGAAGCATGGCGATGCGGCCAATGCGGTTTGACAGGCACCAGCGGCGCTGTCGGTCCAATGGTCTACGAGGCCTTACTTTGAGCTAGCAGAACTGGCCGTTTACTTGCAGTCGAGACGATGCATCATGGGCTTTTGTGAGGATATGAGCGGAGCATGACGATGCAGTCATCTCGCCGGTGGGGGACAAGAGGGCGGTGGCCCTGAGGAATCCAATGGGGATCAACTGTGGGTTTTCTGGGATGGCGTCTCATGAGTGCCTCCACCGCCTTCAACCTCTTTTTCGCCCATTTTTGGCCTTGCTGCGTTTATGGCCGTGGTTCGCAACTTGAAGCTGTGCTGGCTGTGCTGGCTGTTCTGGCTGTTCCCCTAACCAGCCTTGTCGGTGGCCACACTCATTGAGACAAAGAACAACTTCCTAGGACCTTGCTCCATTCTCTTGTTCTTTTTCTTACAATTTTCTGAGGGTACAGGTATTATTTGACCTTAAAGTAAACCCCTTCCTTCCCCTTTCACCACGTCCAGCTCAGGCTCTTGGCTTGCCCGCGTGACTAGGCGGCCATGCTTGATATTGGAGGTGAATCATTTGATATTTGCTGTCTTTCGTTTTTCGTCTCTCGAGAGGGGTCGAGTTTTTTGGTCTTCTTTTCCTTTCTTTCTTTTTCTTTAGCCCATCCCATCTTTATGCAAGCTTTTTCCTAGCTTGTTCCGCCGAAGCAGCGAGTTTTCAACAACCATACATGTACTTGGTAGTGATGGCGGCGAGGATCAATTGAGATTTCACAGCCGCATCCTTCTTTCGCCCCCATACTTGTAGACTCACCCGGCCGGCCACCACCCACCCCCCTCCTTTCTTGTCGTTTCTTTGACTTTTAAGGGGTTGAACAAGAGGTTACTGAATTAGCCGAGACCTCATGGCTCTTGACTGCCTTTGACGTGTCTTTAAAGATCACCATGTTGGCTTCCTTGAGGAAAAAAGAGGTTTGGACATTAATCTTTGCCGGCAACGAAAAACACTTCATTCCCGGGATCATCAAGCTCCCAATTGGTCTCTGCGCCATCAATCAAGACAGTTGATTGACCAGGATGCAGGCCGGCTGACCAGCACATGGATCTTAAAGTATCCCTGGATCTCTTGGTGGTGGAGTATACATCTATACGTCCTCCCGGCAGGGCAGACAAGGGCAGGGAGCACGGGCGCTGGGTGGCCCCCATGCTGTTGCTGCTGGGCCCAGCTGATGAGCAGTCTCTCCTCTCAATCAATCAATGTATTACCTCCCCCTCCTCTCTTCAATGCTCCCTGCCCGCCTTGCCCGCTCACTTCATCGTTTGATCGGTCCCTCCTTGGCTGGCCACCCCTCCTTCCACCGAGCGTAGGTATCATCTTGCCCCTCTCACCCTCCCTCCCACTAGTCAGACAACCAGCAATACTGGTAGACTGGCAAGACTGGCACCGCTCACCGGGAAGGGGACAATAATAAAACCATTGCCCCCTAATACAAAACCATGCCTGTAGTTCCTCCGATACATCTAGTAGAGTTGCCCAGCATCCGCAGAAATAAGAAGGATTTCCCGTGGCCACTCGCCCCATAGACGTTTCGCTGCCCAGTGTTTTTTTTTTTTTTTGTTGTCTTGGATCCAGATGTTTGCAGTCCTCTTCAAGGCCCCCTTCACAGTCCCCCTTCCTCGGAAAGCTAACCTACCATATCCCGGGAGTTGTACGTGCGACCTGTTGAGCGAAACGCCAAAAGAGGCATCCACCATTGATCCCTTGACGGATGGATCCCTGACACTTGCTTCCCAACTTGAGGAACCCGGAAATTTTTCTTGTCATCGGCTCCGCCACTTCGACATTGGGCTCCAATCGAACACTAAAAATCCCGATCCACCGCGTTGGTTTATACTAAAAACCCTTCCCCCGGCTGTTGCCTGTTGTCGCCTTGGGTTCTGGTCGATTCTTGTGCCTTGGACTTGTCTTCTTGCTGGCTCATTTGCTTGGCTCTTTTGGCGCGTCCCACCGCATCCATCATATGGGGACATTGTCCCGGCTCTTTCTCTACGCAGTACCGTACCTGTACTGCACGCACTGAACGGGACGCACCCGGATACACACACACACACACACACACACACACACATACAAAGATAATAGGCCTTCGCCCTGCCCAAACATCTCGGCGCATTGCGAATAAAAAGGATCAACTTTGAACGATTCAAGGTCGGAAAGGGGATATTGAGCCGTCGAATCAATAAGCCGCTTCGAACACCGACGACCGTCAACCAGTTACGCTTCGAGAGCAACCCGCGAAACGCGAAACGGGGAGCGCTGCAAGGACGCAGCGCAGACGCAGGCGCAGGCGCGGACGCGGACGCCCTCCACTGGACGCCTGGAGCCCAGATCAACTGGATCCATTTTATTAGTCCCCTCCGACATCATCAATTGGGACCAGCCCCATTGAACACCACCTCCAGTCTACTCCCTTCCCGGCGACCCACCGCCTACAAGTAGAGGCCTGCCCCCCCGGCTGTGCACGCTGCATCGACAACGCTTCCGAGCCGGGTGACGCTCTGATTGAATCAATCCACTTGGATACCGAAGTCCGCAACTCCTGTTCTCGCTCTTGAGTTTTCCCGTTGCCATTTGGCGAGCACCGGCCCTTTGATTTCCATTGCTTGTTCTTGACGCGCTTGCAATCCCGGTGCCCCCTGTGCTCGTGCTCGTGCTCGTGTACATTGATCCGCCATTAGACACACCGCACTCCGTTTCTGGCACCCAATCGCCGGCATTACAGCCCAACAGCATCACCCGCCGTCCGTTTTAAAAACGACCTTTCTCTCCCGCCGACCCTCCTGCGTTTCACTCGTCCCCTCCCCTAGCTGTACAGTAAGCCTTCCAGTCTCTTCTTCTCATTCTTCTCATTCTCTTCCTCTCCCTCTCTTTTCTGGTATCGATTTTCTTTGGACTGCCCCCTCCACACCAAGCGTACACTACATGTAGTCGCCATCAAAGCGTCCTTTCTCCGCCATTCGCAAATTTTTAGACTCCGTCGACGAACACATTCTGCCCTTTCGCCTAATCCCGCCTCTTACTGCCCCTAGCTTCGACTCCTTTCTTCGTTGCGCTTGACTTCCCACCTCGTCTACTACCCACACACAAACACACGCATACATCCACGCCATACAGACACACCCCAACGCACCTCACAACTCGCACGCTCACTCGCCACATCTCCTTCCCTACTCTTTATCCATTTCGTCTCCTGTTCACCGCTCGCTCTGCATCCTGCAGCTTTGCCTCCCACCACAGCCCTTTGCCCGCTTGCTAAGCCAAACAGCCATTCGAGTGGTGTTCCTGCCCTCTACGTGCTTGTCCACTCCCATCTCCATCTGTTTCGCGTTTGCCTGCTCTTGTCGCTCGGGGTCTTGTCTTGGATCCCCCGCCTCAATTCACTCACGCCGCCTTGGTCAGGGTACTGAGAGGCAAATCGCACTTACCACTCCTCCCCACGCACCATCATTGCCTCCCCTCTTCTCCTTCTTTCCCACCACTCCCTAACAGACCCTTTACTCCGCCCAAGCCGCTAGCAAAGGCGGAGTTTACATTGTCTGACAGGCACAGATCGTTCACGAGATTGAACGAGGCTGCCCCTTCCCGAGTTCCTTTTGACTTTTGGGTTAACCGCCCAAACCTAAACACCACAGACTGAGTGGAGGCGGCTTTGGCGTGTCCTCTATCCGTCTTTAGGTTACGGGTTCCCTCCCCCACCACCAGCACCACCAGCACCACCGTCACCACCCATTCCGCAACCTCACCTACTTTAGATCAAGCCTTTGGTTCCTTTGAGAAGCTCCGCTCTTGATCTTCTACTTCTCCCCTGCCCCACCGCCACCCATTCATCCAAACCCCCACTCCGTACGTGTGTACCTTTGCTCCGACTCTCTTCAGATTGTCGCGAGTAAAGGGTGCATAGCACGACCTCAGTCCCAATGACGTTAGTCACCCGAGTCTCTTCCTCCCCTTTAGTCTTTGTGTCTTTCTTTCCTTTCTTTTCTCTTTTGGCTCTGTATCCACTGTTCCCGGACCAGCAGCGCCTAGCCCTGGGCTGAATCACTTTTGTTTCTCTTGCGCGTCTTCTTTGTTTCTGTTTCTCTGGCTGTTTTCCATCCCAAGCGCGACAATCATCGCGAGACCCTCTGACTAACGCAACCCTCCTTCGGGATTCTTTTCTTTTAGGAGCCGCGCACGCCACATAACTATTCAACGCGACATTAGAAACACTTCTAGTGGAGAGGAAGAGTCTTCCCACCAAGAAGAATCGAGCTACGACGAGCAGGAGGATACCTGGGACGACGAGTACGACGACGAGGTTGACCCTTCCGATTCGGCGTCAGCGAGCCACGACCGCCGCCGTTCCCGATCCCGCTCCCGCTCCCGCTCCCACTCTCAGTCCGCCGCCCCTGCATTTCGCCAGCATAGGCTTTTCGATCGTAACTCATACCATCGGCCTCCGCCGACTCAATCCGACAGCCTGGATCCATCCGAGGAATATTCGCCCTGGGGTGGGCGGGGATATGGAGGACCTCACCCCCTCATGGCGCATATTATGGCGGCCGAGGAGGGCCCCCGCCCCTGGCCCGGGGTACCCGCAGAGTGCCGTTGGCGGGTTTGGCGGTCAGATGCCACCCCCGCACTTCCCCCAACCGGGCCAGGTGATTCCGTACAATTACGCCAACCCCTTCACGCCCATGTCGAGCAACAGCGGCGGTGGTGGCTATTTTGGCGGCGATCCGCGAGACAGTTACGGGGTTGCCCCGTACCAGCCTCCCGGTGGGGGCCACTATGGCTACGGCGGCTACGGCGTGCCCCCACCTACAGCAATACCTGCAGACATATCCTCCACCGCCTCCCCCGACGGAGGCTCCGGGAAGCCCACCACCCCCGCCCCACCAAAGGAGCCCAGCCCGACCCCTGAAATGCTCCTGATAAAGGCCGAATTGGATACCTTCAAGGCGAAACAACGTAAGAAGGAAGAAGAAGAGAAGCAAAAGGAGCTCGAGGAAAAGATTCGCAAGGATACCGAACTCGCCGTTGCTAGGAGAATGGAGGAGATGAGAAGGGCCCAAGAAGAAACGCAAAAGGAAATTGCAAGGGCGAAGAAGGAGGCAGAAAAGGCTGCCCGCGAAACTCTAGAGGCAGAACGAAAGGCTCTCGAGGCAGAACGCAAGGCCCGCGATGAGGAAATCAGGCGGGTCCAAAAGGAGGCACGAGAAAATTTCGAAGCCGAACTGCGGGCCCAGGCCCAGGCAAAGAAGCGTGAAGAGGAAGCGATTAGGCGTGCGGAGGAAGCTGCGAGGATGCGGCTCGAGATGGAGCGGAAGGTCGAGGAACAAGCAAAACTTGCGGCAGCGAGGCGGATGGCCGAAGAGGAGGCCTTCCGGAAGCAACTCGAGGCCGACACGAAGATGAAGGCCGAACTTGAACTCCTCCAGAAACTCGAAAAGGAAAAGGCAGATGCCGCCGCCGCCGCCGCCGCTGCTGCTGCCGCGGCTGACAAGAAGAAGGCCGAGGAAGAGGCATTGGCGAAGCGTGTAGAGGAAGAGACCAAGGCAAAGTTGAAGGAAGAAGCCGTGAAGGCTGCGGAGAAGGCCCCGATCCGGTTCAAGGATGCCGTCGGTAGGAAGTTTAGCTTCCCATTCCACCTGTGTCAAACATGGAGTGTAAGTTTGCTAGAAGCCCCTCCCCTGTTGTCCAGCTGGCAATGGCAAGCCCCCATTCTTCGTTCTTGAGCTAACGGTTTTCGTCTTCTTCTTAGGGAATGGAAGAGCTGATCAAGCAAGCCTTCCAATCCATCGAGGTCATCGGTCCTCTTGTCCAGCGTGGCATGTTTGACCTGATTGGACCGAGTGGCGACATCATCCTCCCTCAAGTTTGGGACAAGGTGATTGAGCCTGACTGGCAAATCACAATGGTGATGTGGCCGCCTGCAGACCGAGGAAAGTTCCCTCCGGGCCATCCCTATTTCAATCGAGCGGGCCCCCGGCCGTGGTGGAATCCCCATGGCTCCCCATGGGGGCCAGGCGCTCGGGAGTGCCGCCGCCGCCGCCGCCCGCGTGGGCCGGGATGCCGCCAAGACCCCCTCCTGGCCGCGGTTCAATCCCGATGGGCGTGGATGTCGTCAACGTCGAGAAAGAAAGGAAGAGCAAGAAGTCGTCCAGCGGGGAACGTTTCTTGGCTGGGTGTCGGGCGCGCAGCCGAAGAAGAGCAGCAAAAGTAGGTTCACGACAGCAACAGCAATCGCTCAACGTGATGCAGAGACTAATGTGTGCATGTGTTTACAGGAAGAAGTAAAGCAACAAGGAAGCCGCAAAGCAAGATTGACAAATATATATACATATATATATATATATTGGGTTGCCATACACGATTATCGGCGGTGGCATTTCGTGGGTGGCGACAATTCTTTTCTCTTTTTTTCCTTTTCTTCCTTTTTCTTCCCCTTGTTATTCCATACCTCGCCGTAGCTCGTTTTGAGCATCGTTGGGGTTTGGTCTTGGTCTCTTAGACGTTGTTGGTGGTATGGGAGTGAATTTGGGAGTTTTTTATCTGGCATGGATGGGAGGCGAAGGAACACATTAACCTGCGTGCACATGGCGACTTTATCTAGCGTTTTGCTTTCTCGGGCGGAATTGGGGAGCTTTGGTTTATCACTTCCTCTTTTCTTTTCCCCGGATCTTTCTCTTCTTTCAAGCTGTACTGTCACTGTATGAGATCCAGATGATCCCGGCAAATACTGCTTCTGGGTCGTAACCCGCTTTTCCCTGTTTTGTTTTTCCCTTTTCTTTTTCGGTTTCTTCTCTTGTTGTCGAAATGATACCTTGTGTTACCTTTCTCATTCTTCTTTGCTCGGGTGCCCTTTCTCCTTACCCTCGGCCGTGGTGGCCAACCTCTCTTTATCGTATGTCTTGCCTTGCTCCGCCCCGTTTCCTCACCTGCCCAGTTCCGGAAACTTTTATCTACGCCAAAGTTTCCTGGACATGACGGTCAGGGTTTGGTATGAGTTCACTACGAGGCGAGGTAAGTGCGGCGACTCAAAGGGGGACCGGCGCGTGCCGCCATACTTTGAAAATATTGTGATGAGGTCTTTCTTTTCATTATTGAACAGGGTCTCGCGTGCGCATGTGTGATGTGATCGGCTCGGGTTGGGTGCTTCGAAAGGAGGGAGGTGATGGGATTTGCGGTGTATTGGGTGTTGGAGTGCTGGGCTATGTGTTGGCTCGAGTTTGAGAGGAGGAACAAGAAGCAAGTGAGGAGGCAAAGGCGGAAGCAGAAGAAGAAGAGAAGACGGATAGTGAGTGGGAAGGGAGCGGACCTCTTAGGGTCCTTGTCATATATTGGTTACATCCTATAATACATTTTTGTTGTAAAGCAGACAACTAACGTCTAATACGTTTCGCTTACCGATAACGCCAAGGTTCTATATGCATCCATCCTCTCTATCTCCATCTAGTGTCAATCATGCTCCTGCCTCTAGACCATCGTTCCCCGAGTCCATGTGCCCTTTCTCCCTCTTGGCCGGCTAAAGGGCACAAGGACTCTAGTGATTGTTCGCTGACTAGATACGTTGTCTAGTATCGCGCCCAGCCTCGCGTATAGTCCATGTTTTTGCCTCCTCGCCTTTCTCTGCCGGATTTGGGCAGCAGTCAGAACGAAACCTCTGTTTCTCCCTCTGGGCTACGTGGCGCCACCCAGGACCTATAGAAGCCCGCGAGCCGGGGCCTCCCTACCGAGTATCTTCCTGGCGTGACTCTCAAAGGCCTCAATCATTTTCGCGGCAACGGTCTCGGAGACGGCGGACGAAACGGCGGCGTAGAGGGGGTTGGCAAACTCGAAGCGTATGGTCAGGTTGACCTCGGCGCCCTCAGCGCCGGCCACGGTACGAGGCTCGAGGGTCCAGCGGGTGGAGAGGCTCTTGAGGACGGCCGAGTTACCGGTGGAGAGGCGGCGGCCGGGATCGGCGATGAGGCGGGCGGCGGAGCCGCTGACGGCCTCGACGACGGAGCCGGGGACGCAGTCGAGGCGGGAGGTGAAGGAGTCTTGGAAGCCGCCCCAGCCGACGCGGAGGGTGGCTTGGGTGGGGAGCGGCGGCCGGTGGAAGGGTCCGGGTCGGACCAGTGGGTGACGCGGAGCTGCTGCAAAAGGGGACGAAGCTGGCGTAGGAATCGACGTCGGAGATGATGTCGTAGAGAGGACCGGTGGGGTACGGGAGGAGGCGGGACGCGGTGAGGACTTGCGGGGCCGGGGAGGTGCCGGGGAGGGTGATGAAGGCGCGGCGCGAGCTGGAGAGCGAGGGGAGGAGGAGGGTGCGCGGGGGCGGCGCGCAGGAGAAGGAGCCTCGCGGGCATTAGGGGCGGAGAGCGGGTAGGGAAGGAAGGAAGGCGGACGGTTTTTGAGGGGGTGTCGAGAGTTGGCGACCGGGGAGGGTTTTTACACGTATGGCATTGGCATTGGGGGTGGGTGAAGAGTTGCACTAATAAAGGCGCGTTGGTTGGGGATTGACTTTTGGGAAATTTTTTGTTGGAGTGGGAGCTCCCCTGATCGGACGATTTCCCGTTGGCGCGGAATGGGGGTCGTGCCTGGGTACTCGGTACCACCTAATTGATCAATGGAATGGATGGACAGGATCTACACTATGTCACCTACAGGGCTGAGCCTGTGACTTCCGCGTTTGCGCAACAACTTGAGCTTCATTTTGGATGGGCATCTAACCACTGATGATTTGATTCACCCACCGATCGGATCAGCTCTAAGGTCGGCTCAAGGCAGCTTTTCACCCACGATGGATGGATCAATATCCTAGTTCTGCTGGATACATCCATTAGATCCATCTATTCCATAAAGATCATGTCTATTTTGGCCCACGACTGAGCTGGACTTCATTGGAAGCGCTCAGTGCGATATTCCAGGCAGGAAGTGAGATTTATCTCCATGACTGAATTGCGACGAAGACTGCAAACGAGGGCGTGACCATATTGAAAACAGCGGAGAGAGATGGAATAGACGAGTTCGCGGTGCTGTAGCTGAGTCAATGAAGTGGGTCTTGTTCACTTGGGAAGGAGAAGACTTTCCAGTCAAGCGCCAGAACTTCCCTTTCCCTTAAGGCTTCCTCGCCCCCTCATTCAACTCGCCACAGCACAAACTGCTCTTCACCATTCATTCGCTTTAACCATCGTTGAATATCTCCCTTGAGACAGTGCCTTCACCTTATTTTTGGATTTCGCTTGGGCGCCAGTAACGAGCGGGGAGGAGGTGCAACCTAGTTGTCGCCGCTAGGGTGTTCTCTGCGCACCGGGGCTCGTCATTGCGGAACGAAATGGATGCCAACATGCTTTCCGGCGCCGTTGAGAAAAGGATGCTTGAATAAACTCCCCAAGCATTAAAAATGTGGAGCGTATTTTGACCTCTTGCCGCGCGTAGCGTTGCTTTTCAAGGGGTAGTCCGTACGGCATTCAAGACTACCTGTACGATCACCGGGCTGTTGCTGGAACAAGGGCATCAGAGGGCATGTCTCGCAGGCCCGCTTCACGGCGTTGGGCTTTCTGACGTCAGTATGGCGCATCAGCTGCTTGGTCTGCACCCACGCTTCGCTAGGCTGCGGGGTTTCCGGAAAACAGAAGCGTTGCACCCCTAGAAACACCCATCTATTCCCGTCTTCCACAGTAGACCCCTTCATTTCCCCTTTTTTCATGCTTATAAGAAAGGCTGCAGCAGCTTATTCCGGGCTGAACAAGTTAAACATCACTTGAAGGTGTTGACTGGAGAAAAGGTCATGGTCGTAACTTACACCACGGCGCTGGCCGCCCTCAAGGATGCTGCTGGGGACGTGCGAGCGAGCAGGCTGCCTGCCGAGTCGCAGGTCCGCGTCTCCCTGGAAGAGGCCGTCGGTCGTATCGCCGCCTGCGACTGCACGAGCACGGTAGCGACGCCCGAGTTCGACACCTCGGCCATGGATGGATACGCCGTCCGCTCTGAGGCGACTCGGCGCGCCTCGCCTCAGCACCCGGTCGTGCTTGAGGTCCAGGGGACTATTGCCGCCGGCGATGATCCATTCTTTGCCGCGTGGGCCCCCATTCTCCATGCCGGTATAGAGCCCTGCGCCGAAATCATGACGGGTGGGAGGTTTCCGCACTCTGGCGCCGGGGCGGACCTGGACGCGTGTGTGCGGCTTGAAGACGTCGTTGTCAAGACCTCGATGACGGGGACCGCCAATGGCCCATCCGCCCGCAGCACAAGGACGCTCATCACACTCACCAAGCCTGTGCCTAGACACGCTAACCGGCGCTTCGCGGGAACGGATATCCAAAAAGGTCAGGTCGTGCTCCGTGCCGGCCAAGTCATCAACTCGGCGAGCCTGATTCCCCTTGCCTCGGTCGGCATCAAGTCCGTCCTGGTCGCGAAAAAGCAACGCGTTGCCGTTTGGTCTACGGGCAAGGAGCTTCTATCCGGTTCGTCTAGGGTTCCCGATGTGAACGGCATCTTCCTCGCCGCCGCTGCCCGGGAATTTGGCGCGGACGTGAGCTTCCTGGGCGTCCTCGACGACGAGCCCGCCTCCATCACCCGCGCCGTCGCCGACGCGCTCGTCTCCGAGCAACCACCCAATATCCTCGTCACGAGCGGCGGCGTGTCAGCCGGCAAATTTGACTTTGTGCGCCGCGCCATGGAACGGATGGGCGCCACCATCGTCTTCCACGGAATCGCCATTCGGCCCGGCCACCCCGTCCTCTTCGCCCTTTTGCCATCAAACCGCGGCAAGGTAGCCTTCTTCGGGCTTCCAGGAAACCCGGGAGCCGCGTCGGCCTGCTTCCGCTTCGTCGTGGTGCCGTACCTACGCCAAATCGCGTCACGGGGCTCCGAGGCCCCGGTCCCCGCGAAACTGCTCAACCCGGAGGCTGACATCACGGGGAAGTGCGACCGCCCCGCGACTGGGATCGGCCTGGAGCCGTTGGCTAGCACTCCGAACCGAGATCACTTTAGGCCGGGCCTCCTTCTCAAGGGGAGGGCGAGGCCAACACCGTCCAGGAGATTGGGAGAAATCAAAGTCCCTCTAAATTGTGGCCGTTTTTGTTGTCAAATTGCTGGATTCACTATAGGAAAGATCGAGAATACAGGGAAGGGTGCGCCGTAGACTGCTACCTCACGTCGCCTGCAAACATGGCATGAGGTGAGACTCCTGTACGAGATGCCGTCCATGGCCTATCTCATAAAAAGAAAAGACGAGAAAAAAAAAAAAAGAACTAATGTCCTGTAAGTAACCTGGTCTACAAGCTAAGTCATCTTGTGAGGATCCCTTGCGCCGCCTCCCACTCTTGCGGCGTGTTCACGTTGCACAGCACCTTGGTGGAACATGCCCCGTTCGGCCGTATCGTTAACCCGTCGAGCTCGCGGACGACAGCGCTCGGCCCGGATCGACCCTTTGCGTCGTTCTCTGCTAGCCTCTCTAGCGCCCTTGGGCTCCATATCCCGATCAGGGGTTCGCAAAAGCCCTCGTCGTTGCGGAAGCACGTCACAGGCTCAGCGTACATTTCTCTGAGCTGGCTCAGGGCTTCCACAGTGACAAAGGGGTAATCGCACCCGACGACGAGCCACGTGGCGTCCGGGTGTGCTCGATGGGCGGCGAGGAGGCCGGCTGCCGGACCGGCAGATTCTGTGGTGTTGTTCCCACGCGCGTCGTATAGGATGAGCAAGGTGGGTCGACGGCTTTGCTTGCTCTCTGTATTATAGCCTGGAAGGGCTGCGTGACGGAGCCGGTCATCCAGTAGTGACTCTTGGGCCAAGGAAATGTACACGCCGTCGGCTTCCGGACAAGCGGCGTAGATTGCATCCGCGAGGTGCTGGTAGATGGGCTGGCCATCGGGCATTGGCAACAGGTGCTTGGGAGTTCCCATCCGGGTTGACCGACCTCCTGCAAGCAGCAGGGCCTTCATCGATTAATGATATTCCGGCAACTTGGAAAATAGTGATGATCCGTGACTTGATGATTCGGTGGGGTGGTAGGCCCGGTGATAGGACCTCCACGGCAAGCGCCGGTCTCTTCGCCGCGGGTCCAATCGCTCCGTATAATTGAATCTAGACGGGTCCGCGGAAATAGGATATCACGAAACTCTGAATTTTACATATTCCTTTTTCAATCCTTTCTGTGTAATTCAAGGTTCTTTGTATGGTCAATCAGGTTATTAAAGTCGGGGGTTATCATGACGCAACTCTTGCACAGTCAACGCAGAGCACCGGCACCAGTATACCCGAACGGGCTTTGTCAAGTTCTAGTGTGAGGTAGTGGAAGTCTCTACACTCGAAACAATAGCGAATAATATTAAATACGGGACAAATGAGGAAAGACACAAAAGGAGAAACCGAGAGTTCGTCGAAACAGAGACGATAAAGTGGCACGCAACGTGAGGACTAAGAACATGCCGGGCCGCGAAACCAAGGGATACAGCTCCCGAGACTCTATAGAGGATATTTGGGGTCCTCGGACGCCGTATAAACACGAGTGGCCCACTCGCGTCGACTACGCGTGCGACGAGCAGCCGGACAAGTGGGTGCAGAGCGCTTGCGCCTCTGTAGCAACGGATGTGGATTGGATATTGGCGTGAAGGATGGCAATGTTGTCGGCGTACGAGGTCGGGCGACGGATCGTGTCAACAAGGGGAGACTGGGACCCAAGGGGCTCAATGGGTGAGTTTTTTTCTCTGTTTTTTTCTGGCCATCTTTCGAGCACTAAGAGGTCCTATTTCATTCATTGAAGGGCGACCATGGATAGATCAAGAGATTGACGAGCTTTTAACTCTGGCAGGTGGAAAGCGATCAACAGCAAAGACCGCCTCACGCATCCTTTAATTCGCAAAAATGGCCGGCTTGAGCGCGCAACCTGGGATGAGGCCATGGATCTCATTGTGGGCAAGGCAAAAGAGCTATCGAAGCACCTGACGAACCATAGCATTGCTTTCTACACGAGCGGACAACTTTTTCTAGAGGAATACTATGCTCTTGCTCTCGTTGGGAAAGCTGGCCTCAACACGCTTCACATGTAAGTGTTTGAGATCATTCGGATTTCTATTTCATGCTTCCGCAATCATACGTTTTCTTCTTCTAAAACCGGGGATAGGGATGGTAACACGCGGCTCTGTACGGCGACAGCGGCCGCGTCCATGAGGGAGTCGTTCGGCTCCGACGGCCAGCCCGGATCGTACCGAGACGTGGACTTCACGGACTGTCTCTTCATGGTGGGGCACAACGTCGCCGCCACGCAGACAGTTCTCTGGTCCCGCATTCTCGACCGCCTAGACGGGCCGGACCCGCCGCAGCTCATCGTCGTCGATCCTAGGCTTTCGGATACGGCGAGGAGGGCGACCGTTCACCTGGCACCCAAGATTGGGACGAACCTGGCTCTGCTGAACGGGATTCAGCACCTGTTGTTCAAGAATGGGTGGATCAACCACGACTACGTTTCGAGGCACGTCGTGGGCGTCGACGCGTTGAGGGAGACTGTCAAGCGCTACGACCCCGAGTACGTGCAGGAGATAACCGGGGTTCCGTCTGCAGATCTCGAAAAGGCGGCCCGGATCCTGGGCACGGCCAAGAGCCTCCTGTCGAGCGCGCTCCAGGGGGTGTACCAGTCCAACCAGGCCACGGCCAGCGCGTGCCAGATCAACAACATCAACCTCCTCCGCGGGCTGATTGGCAAGCCGGGGAGCGGTATCCTGCAGATGAATGGGCAGCCCACGGCGCAGAATAATAGGGAAGTGGGCTGCGACGGCGAGTACCCCGGGTTCCGGAATTTTCAAAACCCGGCGCACATGGAGGAGCTCGCCCGCCTCTGGAACATTGACCCGGTCAAGTTGCCGCACTGGAGCGAGCCGACGCACATTTCCACCATTATGAGCTTTATGCAAAAGGGGTCTATCCGCATGATGTGGGTATCCGGCACCAACCCGCTCGTCAGCCTGCCCAACCTCTCCAACGTGCGGGACGTATTCACCCAGCCTGAGCTGTTTGTGGTGTGCCAAGATATATACCTGACCGAGACGGCGGCGATCGCGGACGTTGTCCCCCGCGGCGCAGTGGGGTGAGAAGACGGGCACGTTTACCAACGCGGATCGTACGGTGCACATCTCGCACAAGGCCGTCGACCCGCCGGGCGAGGCGAGGTCGGACTTTGCTATTTTTGTGGACTTTGCCCGCCGCATGGGATTCAGGGACCGGGACGGAAACGACTTGGTGCCGTTTCAGAAGCCCGAAGAAGCGTTTGAGGCGTGGAAGAGGGTGTCTGCCGGGCGGCCGTGCGATTACACCGGCCTAACGTATGAGAAGCTGACGGGTGGGTCGGGGATCCAGTGGCCCTGCAACGAGGACTACCCGAGTGGAAGGGAGCGGCTTTATGAGAACGGCGTATTTTATACGGATTTGGACTCGTGCGAGTCCTACGGGCACGACTTTGAAACTGGCGCGCCCTTTTCCAAGGCCGAGTACGAATCTATGAACCCGGACGGCCGGGCGATCTTGAAAGCATGCCACTACGTGGCGCCGCCGGAAGAGCCCGACGAAGAATATCCGTTGAGGCTCTCGACGGGGCGAAACGTTTACCAGTTCCACACGCGGACAAAGACGGGCAGAAGCGAGCTGCAAAGGGCGGATCCGGAGCCCGAAGCCAGGATTTCGGCCTCGGACGCGAAACGGTTTGATATTACGGACGGGGAGATGGTGATTCTACGGTCCCGACGGGGGCGGTCGAGATGAAGGCGAGGATTGCGCGGACCAAGGAGGGGCAGGTCTTTATCCCGTTTCATTTTGGTTACTTTGATTCCAAAGATGGGCGAGCGAGAGCAGCGAACGAGTTGACGATCGGTAAGCATGGCCCAAGGGGAGTGGGCGTGTAAGGAAGGGAAAGAGGACTGGCTTGGGGCTAACACGGAATCTACTATTCTAGGATGCTGGGATCCCATCTCGAAGCAACCCACGTTCAAGGCGGGTGCGATTAGGATCGAGAAAATCCGCACCGCGGCCGGGGAGGAGAGCACGGGGCCACACGTCAGGGAGCAGCACTCTACGGCGGTCGCGCGCGTGAGCTCCCGCAACGACGCTGCGGCCACGACGTCGCGCCAAGACTTGACGAACCGCGCTCGGTGCCTCGAGCTATGGCTCGGAGAGACGTACGAGGCGGTCGTGCAGCTCGGGGAGATTTACGGCGATCTCGTGCCGAAGCTCATCCACGACCCCGAGGTGGAGGGCGGGCTCCGGGTGCTCCGCCGGCTCGCGGAGGACATGAGGCGCCGGCTGGCGACGCAGGTGGACAAGTACGGGGAGAACCAGCAGCGGGGCAGGCACCGGGCGCACATCCTCCGGGAGAGCCTGTTCCCGTCGGCGGACGAGCCGTCGACGCCGTTCGAGGTGCTGGAGACGCTGCAGGGGCTGCACGTGTATCTCTTTCACATTCAGGGGGCATGGTGGCGCTGACGCCGGCGAGCCAGGCGCTCTGGGACGGAGAGTTTGAGAGCGCGGTGGGGTTCGCGCGGCAGACGCTGGATCGGATGCAGAGCTGGACGCAGCAGCAGATGAAGGTTCGGAGCCCGCAGACGCTTTTGGTGCCGGCTCCGAAGGACTGAGCCCTTTTTTTTTTTTTTACGAAAAGAGAGAACTAGATTAATCAAGAGAAAATGTTTACTAAAACTGGGTTCTATGATGGATGGGAAGGTAGTAGAGGAAGAAGGGCCATGGAGACTACGGGTTGAACATTTGGGAGGAAGGAACGTTGAAGCTGTGAGACCTTGATGTCGGCCTCTCTCATTCTCTTGTTTTTGAGGTGGGGCCAATATGGGCAAGTCAGGGCAAAGCTGCCCGGTTCAAGTTAATGAATAATACGCTCCGGCCACTGCCAGCTTTGTGCATTTAGTGGGGCAGCCACCCATGCTTAGGCTCTGGTTGGCTACTTGGCTGCACCGTCTCTGCTCATTGCTGCTGCGTTTGCTAGCTAGCGATTCAAATGTTCCATTATGTCACCATCGGTCCATTCGTCACTGCCACTACTCCCACTACTGCCAACCTCAACCCGCCAGCCATCGTGTCTTGCCTTGCGACCCCCTTGGGACTGCCCGCGGGTTCCTCGTCCAAGCTAGCAAATAGTTCCCCCATACGGCACCCGAGCTGCTGCGTATGACTATGAGCTGCCCACTCGAGACCTTTCCCTAGCATCCTCGACCAAATCCTTCCCTCCCGCCCGCTTTCCAGCGCCCCTCACCGAGCACGCGAACCGACGAGAACGACCCCACGTGGGGCATCACCTCGCCGCAATGTGCGTTGCGTCTTGCTGGCGAAGCTCCCCACCCCCTGCACTGCGCAGCTCCCTAACCAGCTAGAATAGGTTCGAGAAGTCGCTCTACGACCTCATTCGAGGTTTGAGGAACCACAAGGGCAATGAGCGCGAGTATATTCAAAACTGCCTCAAAGAATGTCGCACCGAAATTCGGAGCGCCGACATGGGTAGGAAATTTCTCCAGTCTCCAGTCTCCCGGCCCCTCCCCTCCCCCTCCGCTTTCTCGAGCTTGTAGACCTTGGCCGCTGATACGAAAACCTTGTCTGTTTCGCTAGACCTCAAGGCCACGGCCCTGATCAAGCTCATCTACCTCGAGATGGTGGGCCACGACATGTCCTGGGCGTCGTTCCATGTCCTCGAGGTCATGTCCTCACCGAAATACCACCAGAAGCGAGTGGGATATCTAGGCGCCGCCCAGAGCTTTCGACCCGATACCGAAGTCCTCATGTTGGCGACTAATCTCTTGAAAAAGGTGTGTGGCTACGCCTTGAGCGGCGAGAGGTCGCTTTCGTCTCGACCGCTGCGCTTCCCCGTCAAGAGGCTAACACCGTGGTGCGATGCATAGGATCTATCCGCGACCGCGATTCCCGTCATGTCCCTCCCGATTATAACACTTCCTCACCTCATCACACCTTCCCTGGCCCTTTCCGTCCAGACCGAAATGCTCACCCGCCTCGGCCACTCCCACCCGAATGTCCGCAAGAAAACCATCATCACCCTTTACCGCCTTGCGCTCGTGTACCCAGAGACTCTGCTTGCCGCCTGGCCTAGAATCAAGGAGCGTCTGATGGATAAGGACGAAGATCCTAGTGTTACCGCCGCTATCGTCAACGTCATATGCGAGCTAGGTTGGCGGCGGCCTCACGACTTCTTGCCTCTTGCCCCTCGACTCTTTGAGCTCCTCGTTGACGGAGGAAACAACTGGATGGCTATCAAGCTTATAAAGCTGGTGAGTGCCAGAGTGCTGGAGTGATGCGGCGTCATTCCAGCGTTTGGGTCATCTTATTTAGTCCTCTACTTGGGCGTTGGGCTAATGCGCCGTTCCTAGTTTGCCACTCTCACCCCCTAGAGCCCCGCCTCGTGCGCAAGCTGCTACCGCCCCTAACAGAGATCATCCGTACCACACCTGCCATGTCCCTGCTCTACGAATGTATCAACGGCATCATACAGGGCGGTATCCTTGGCAGCGCCGATGACATATCGGGAAGAGAGGAGATTGCCTCCCTTTGCGTCGACAAGCTGAGGAGCATGATATTGGTCGATGGCGACCCAAATTGTATGTTTGCTATAGAAAACGACGTCGAGGACATTTTTGCCCACTTCCGAGCGACTGGCTGACCCCCTTCTTTTAGTAAAATATGTCGCGCTTCTTGCCTTCAACAAGATCGTCGTCACTCACCCTTTCCTCGTTTCTCAGCAGGAGGATGTGATTCTGGAGTGTATTGACAGCCCTGATATCACGATTCGTATCAAGGCACTCGACCTTGTGCAGGGCATGGTTTCCTCGGATAATCTGCTGTCCGTGGTCAGCAGGCTAATGAAGCAGCTACGGGTTTCCCAGCCCCCAAGCAAACGCAAGGTGCCGCTGCCAAACAGGCCGAGGGGTGGAACGGGGATTCGGACGATGAACCAAACAGCGATTCCCCGCGGGATTCCACGAGCAGCGAGTCTTTGCTTCCCGAGGACTATCTGATAGATATCATTGGCAGGATATTGAAGATGTGTTCCCAGAACAACTACAGCAGTATATTCGATTTCGATTGGTACATTGATGTATTAACACAGCTTGTCCGCCTAGCCCCGACTCCGCGGACCTCGGACCAGGACCCGTACCTACCGGCAAGCCATTCCGCGGCTGTAGATGTGGCCGAAGTCATAGGAGACGAGCTGAGGAATGTCGCCGTCAAGGTCAAGGCTATGAGGGGTTCCGCCGTTCGCGCCGCCGATCTCATCATTCAGCAGCTGCTGCAAGATATTCCCCACGAAATTTCCATCTCTTCGGCTGCGCTGAAGTCGATCGCGTGGCTACTGGGCGAGTACGCGACGTCGCTCGCATCTCCGGATGCCACCCTGGGATCCATCCTCCAGCTCATCCCCAGAGCATCCTCCCCCATCATCCTCATCACCTGCATCCAAGCTACCGCCAAAATCTTTGCTCTCATGGCGGGGGACCAGTATCAGCCATGGACGGCTGAGCGCAAAAGCAGCGTCTCTCTGCTGATGGCGCGGGTCATTGATGCGTTCGAACCCTTGACCCAGCACCCTAACCTCGAGGTCCAAGAACGTTCTGTTGAATTCGTGGAGCTCCTCAAGCTCACGTCTGAAGCCGTCTCCGGACATCCCCCTCGACCGACGAGACGCAACAGGACCCTCCCCTCCTCCTGACGCAGGCTATCCCGTCACTCTTCACGGGATGGGAGCTTAATTCGGTGGCAATAGGTGCGCAATCCAACGTCCCCCTCCCCGACGGCCTCAATCTAGAAGATCCCATCCACCCCGACCTCGAGCGACTGTTGGGCGACGCGGATCTACCCTATCTCAAGGGCGAGGAGAGCGATGACTTTTCAACATACTACTATCAGAAACTCGCGGCGACGTCCATCTCGTCAGAGACTGTGGTCGCGCCGGCAATCTCTCGGCTGGGCGAAGCTCCGGAGGAATTTACGAGCTCGTATCAGCAAGCTAGCGAAGACAGCTACCTTGACGCGGATATAGTAGCAAGGCGGCGGGCAGAGCGGATGGAGAGGACACGAGATGACCCATTCTATATCGGTGGCGCTGGTGGTGGCGGCAACTCGTCGACGCCGATCCACAACATTTTGCAGTCGACCAACGGTCCGGATTTAGACATTGACGCCATTCCTATAATGCAGCTTGACATCGACAAGCTTGCCGCCGGGACGTCCTCGTCAGCTACGTCAAGACACCCTCAGACCGCGCCATCCAAGGTTCGTCAACAAATCGTCGTCGCGCAGGATGAGACCCTTAGCGGAAGCGGGCGGTCGACGCCGCGGACGTTTGATTCGGAAGAGGGTTCGGTCAAATCGGGACGGCCTAGCCGCGGACGGTCCAAGAACTCGTCTTCTATCCTTAAGGTCAGCTCGTCGGGTATCGGCTCCCTTAGTCTAGAAGCAGGTGCGCCGACGGAGGACGCCCGGGTGAAAGACGACGAGGAGATGGCGAAAGCCATGAAGGAAGTAGAGAGGCTGCGGCTGGAAATGCAACGCGCAAATGAAAGGATACAGGTTGCCCAGGGTGTGGACCTGGAAGGGACTGTGGTGAAGAAGAAGGTGAAGAAGGGGACCAAGAAGGACGGCGTCGCTACAAAGAAGAAGAAGAAGGTGCCCGCGGTAGAGGGCCCCGGCGCCGAGGCCGGGCCTGCCAGCGGCGGTGGCAACGGCGTAGAAGCGGGGGCGATGACGACGCCGTGGTTGTGGTGAGGAAAAAGAAGAAGAAGGCGCGACCACCCGTGGAGATTCAGGAATGATGGGCCACGCAGGGTGGAGGAAGACAAAAAGCGATAGCTAGTAGGCAACGTAAATAAAATAAAAACGTTCCAGGGCGTAGGGCCGCGCCGCGAGAGAATTAGTTGTTGTCTGGCAAGTCTTTATCTACAATGCATGTAGCATGGGATAGTCGATCGAAATTGGCTTATTTGCCCGGGCGGGGACGGACGAAGAACAATCAATGGTATTGGCACGCCACAGGTATATATATATATATATATATATATAGGCTTGCTCCCATGAAGGGAGTACAGCGGCAATCAAAAGAGGCGTGGATGAATTTGCGACGATGAAAACACATACGAACACACACGCACACACACACACTCTCTCTATATACTCACCAAGTCACGGAAACCGTTGTTTTAAGTAACGGGGAGCATGCGATATTCGAAAAGGGCTGATAGTGGGGGTCAAATGTTTGGGCTTGTACTGGACGCTACCATACATTGATCAAGGCCAAGTTGAGAGTTAAGAAAAAGAAGAAGAAAAAAACGAAAGGGAGAGATGGACAAGTTTCTATGGAAAAAGAAACAAGAAGAAGGAATCCATTAAGAAAGAGGGTGTGTGAGGGAGAGAGGAGCAAGGGTATATATATAATCACCGCCCCTGTTCTCGCAGCTCCCGCTTTCCGGTCTTCCTTGCCTGTCAGCCCATCTCGATCCACATCATTGTTTTAAAAGACTACTCGTGAGCACAGCCCTGCTACTTGGTGCCTGGGTGTTTGCTTCATACAACATCTACCACGGCCTCTCCCTCAAAACATGACAAAAGAGATTGGAGGAAGAATGCAGCAAATGGAGGGAGGGGTTGAGCGGTCCGGTACAAGGCGAAACAGAAGACTTAGGTCCCTCTATACATCCATCCCATCCTTGATGCTGATTCCCTTCGAGTCGGGGCATTCATAGATTCCGATTAAAACAAAGAAAATATTGTAGCTGGGTGAGCCGTGATGCCGCGGTCCGGAATGAGTGTGCGAGAACAATGTTGAACATAGATGGAAGTAAAACGATTAACCAACAAAAAGACAACACACGACACCGGATTTCCGCCCTCCTTCACCCCCTCCTATCCCAGGGGTAACGTGAGGAATAGAGAAACCAAGAATCAAGGAGAGAAAGCCCATCACATCACTCATACACATCAGTTGTGAGAACGTTTCTCGTAAAATCAGGCTCAGTCACGGAACGGGCGGTCCTCGAGCGTTACAGCCCGGTGGTTGAGGCTATCAGTGCGCTGCCGGGGAGAGTCAGGCCCGACCGCGGGCAGACGCCTCCCAGACGAAAAGCGAGCTCCTGTTCGAGACAAGCTGTTGCGCTTCTCAATGGGGGAGTCGTGAGCGATCTCCGTTCTCGCAGCGAAGCTTTCGGCGCTGGGTGCACCGTTAGTTGGCGCAGTCTCAACGGGGAGCCCGTGCCCTCCGATCCCGGCACCTCGAGGGACTGTCTCTTGAAGCCAACACCGCTTCCGAGGCTGGAGCGGTGACGGTCGGTGGCAGCGGTGGGGCTGGCGATGGGGAAGCGCGTGTCAGGGCCACCGGTAGAGCGGTCGCGCCTGTGGCCTCGGGGCCCAGGAGCAGGGCTGGTGGCCCGGCTGCGGCTGCTTCCCGGAGTGGCGCCAGATTTCTCAAGAAGGAGCCTGTTGCGCTCTTCCATGTGCGCCTTGCGGTTGCTCTCGTCGGTGCTGATGGCCCGCGGTCGAGGTGCTGACCGACCGAGCGAGCCCGAGTATCCGGGGGTGGACATGCGCTTGAGCTCGTTGAAGATGGCATCCTTGTGGGCGAAGAGGTCTCGGATGAGGCGGTACGAGTGCTTCTCTTCTAGGGTGAGGGACGTTTCCGTCTTGGGGCGGAGAATGCACGAAGCAATGTTGGTAGCCAGGGTGGTTACGTAGGTCTCGTCGGCCGAGGTGAGGTCGATGAGACGAGTAAAGTGGTTCATGCAGGCATCAAGCGTCGCGATATTAGAAAGTCGCAGCTGAGAGAGCGTCTGCTGGAGCACCGAGATGCGCGCCGCATCGCTGGTTTCCTGGGAAGTGGTAGCGTAGATGGTCCTGACAATTTCGTAGACGTGAGAAGATATCAGAGAGTCTACAAGGCAGTGCACGGTTAGTGTCACGCTCAAAAGGAAAAAAAAAGAAAAAAATATTTGGAGAGGCCGGGCTGAGCTACTTACCGGGTAGTTCGAGAAGGTACAGCTTCAACAAGCTTGCGACCGTCGCAACGTCAAAGTCGGCAAACACCTCGGGAGAGACGGGCTTGCCGTCATTGACCCTCGCGCGCAACTTGTGTGTTTGGGTGAGGGGCACGTCGGCTAGCCACACATTGCGCATGGTAGCATCGTCTTCGAGCTCCGGATAGCAATTGTCAAGGTAGGTGAGAATTGTAGTGACGATGACGGGTACACGCTTCTTGTCGGCGGTAGCCCGGGCCTCTAGGTCCACGCCAAATGTCTGCTGGTCCACCTTGTTATAGTAGTTGCCGTAGACAACGACCTTGGGGGCGAAGTTCCCGGTGCGGTAGTTTTCGATGAGATAGCGGAGATCGCTGGCGGGCTGTACGGCCTCTTGGAAGAGCATCATGTTGTCCACGGCGGACTGAAGGCTGGGAATGACGTTGCTCACGGTCCCAGAGAAGTCGAGGAGGACGGTTTTGACGGCCTTTAGACGATCCAGCTCGCACCGCTCGAGGAACTTGAGGTGAAGAATGATGGCTTCCTCAAGCTCGCACCGCATTTCGTCCAACTTCTGCACGCCGGCCTTGTACCTGTCGTCGGACTCGCGCGCCTCGCGCTGGAGCTTTGGGCAGGAGTCTCGTTGGGGTGTTGGTTGTTGAGAACATTCCAGTTGGACAGGTACTCGCTGACAGCACCCACAACGGGGAATCGGAGCCATCCGAGACGGGGAAAGACATGGTCCTCGAAGTAGGGAGCTTCTTCTCGGGCACACCCGAAAGCTTGAAGGCCTTGGGGCGCCACTGGTAAAACATCCTGGAGCTGTTGGCAAAGGTGTTGCCAACGTTGCCGACCAAGCGGAGGAAGCCGCTCGTTACTAGATCCTGGCCGATACGCTCGGCATAGCTTATGCTCGAAGTACCCATGTGCCGTTGAAGATACTCTACAATGTCGGTACCGGCAGAGGTATTTTGGTAGGTGCCGAGGATAGGAATCTTGGTCTCGCCGAGCTTGATCGTGGTGAGCATGTGGGAAAGAATTTTCCTAATCTGTTCGGGTCCATAAACTTCGTCGCCGATCTCGAAGACCTCTTCCTCTGGCTCCTCGTCGGGGCGGCCGCGCCGGGCGCTGGCTGGGGCTCGGCGTCCACTTTGATCTCCGGAATCGTGGCAACTTTTGGACTCGTCTCAGGATCCTGGAACGCCAGTTTGTTTTCCTCCTCGAGGTCCTCGACCAACCGGCATTTGTTGAGATAGTTGCTTCTGAGTTTCTTGACGGCTTCGAACTGTCTGTCGTGGGCCTTGATGCGCGACTGAAGCTCGTCTTGAGAGTCTTGTAGGCGGGATTCGTGGGCGTCGCACCATCTCGAGAAGGGATTCACGACGAGGTCTCGAATATTCTGGGCAATCTTCTTGTGGGACTTGCCGGCATCATCCATGTTGGAGCGGACACCCTCGTAGGCCTGTCAATAAAAAAGCATTGCGTGCTGATTAGCCATCTCGTTCACGTCTAACGCTGCGTCGGCAGCAACCCCGCGCCTCCTCGGTGCACACGTTGGATCCCCACCTTGCGAACGCTAGCTCCATCATCTCTGCTGAATCCACCGCTAATCTTGTCGGCAACTGGAGAAATGTCTGCTAATCGCTGACCGTAGACATCTTCGGCCTCAGCTCGTAGCCGCGCAACGGTGAGGATCTGTCGATTCTCCAAGACGCCTTGCTGGAGCTTGCCAAATAACACACCGAGGCCTGTAGGGTGGGGAAGATAGGTCAAGTTAGCAAGGCAGGCCAAGCATACGTGGGCAGATGTACGGTCATGATAGGCAAGCTATAGGGCAAAGGGAAAGGGAAAAGGGGAAAGCCCTGTTTGACGCTGACGCACCTGCCGCATAGTCGGTAGACCAGAACGAATCTGCGAAGCCCGGCATCGCGAATAAATCGCACAGTGCTAAGGGGGCGGTGTCGATGCGAAATCTAGAATTTCCAGGTGACGATAAGAAACGGCGGGTGGTTCGTGGTGAGCGGTATCGCTCTAGGCAGCTTTGCGGTGCACGGTAGAGAAGATGCGGATAATAAGGATCGTGGGAGAAGATGAGAGTGCGAAAACTGGTAAAAATCGTAGCTCGTCGTTCGTAATCGTTTCGATTCGTGTTGGAAGAAGAAAGGAGGGGGAAGGACCGAGGGTGGCAAGGTGGTGGTCGGTGTATTTGGCGGTTCAAACTTCGTGATGCAGGAGAAAGGAGACGAGGCTGTTGTTGACGGAGGAAATTATTTTCCCTACTGCTCGGCCCATGAGAATCTGACGCCGCATGCTAGATTCAGGCACAGTTTGGGGGCAGGACAGAAGGGCCAGTGAAGGGGACCAAACGGGGTGTGGAAGGCAAAGGTGACTTCCTGACAGGGTCTGGACAAACACACGAATGGGGAATAGGGACGGGTCAGCTCCCTCCTGCAGCCGGGGAAACTCAATGGGAAGGAAGAGATGGATCCGTCTGGATGTGCGTGCAGGCTGGGCTGGGTCGATTGCACGGAGTACATGTACATCCATAGATGGGCATATGGGGCCAATATCCAATGGCCTCCTTACCCCATGTCGTCAATGCCCTTGATTACGTGGAAATCCCAGAGATGGGATGGCGGCTGCTGTGGGTGTTTGGGTGTTCGTGTTTGCAAGTCGTCCCCGTCGCCGCATCCGCTGACTACGGTATTCGAGATTGAGCCGTACATTGTCGTTTGATGACTCTCTAGTATCTCAATATCAACTCACGCCCCTCTTCTCTAGGTCCTCTGGGGACGTGGGAACCTCTTCCATTCATCCTAGAGGGAAAGCACCAGTTCTTTTCCAGTCTATCAGCCACAAAAATGGTCGGAGAGGCGGACACAGAATTTGCAAGTTGGCTCTACGGAGGGAGCCAGCCAACATTGATCAGGATCAATGTACACTACACTCCTTGACACTCCTTGTCAAGTACGAAGTACCTGGGTACCGCCGCTGGAGTCCAATGTGACTCGACCTTCGGATAGGCCAGCACAGCCGGCGCCGAGCTCGACGTTCTTGACCTGTTCCTATGGAGACAGACAAGGGTGTCAGCTCCACGACTTCTTTGCCCGTCGGGCGGGCATCTCTCGATTGGCACTGAGCGGCACGGCATCGATTGAATGCTGATGGATGATATCTGCCCAGCGCAAACTTTGAAGGCAAGTTGCAGACCCTACCCAATTTCCTGCAGAATTATCTGCATAAGGGGCGCGATTATAAACTGTTGAAAAATCAGATGAATCTTGGGATGCGCAAAGTATTCTCCTCCAGGCCACGCCTGATGACGACCTTTGAAGAACCAGGCTAGGTCGTTTCGAATCTCAATGGGCCCCATCACAAATGCAAGGTGCCCATGTACCCGCACCTTTCCCATTGCGTACGAAGGACAAGTACTACTATGTGTGTGCTGTGAGCCCTCCTGAACAAGACATCCACGATGCAGAATCCATTGATCGATCAAGTGTACATGTAGGGATTAGGGGTGGAGTCCAGCCCTGATGGATCCACCCCCGATAAGGCGCAGCCGCAGACTTTCAAGGCCCTGGAGAACGACATTTTTGGGCCAAAGCTCAGATTTGATAGGAATCAACGATGTTGATGCCAAGTTGGGGCAATAGTCATTGAGGCCAACATGGAATAATAGCAAAAACTTGACTAGTAGCTAGTCCTTGAGAAATTGGGTTCCTATTGTTGCCTCGAAAGGACGTGGGTGAGGTATTAGACGAGGACGGATCTAAACGGCGAGCGAGCGGCCTGCGATCCACGAGGTTAGCGCTCGGGTCGGGTACTAGCCTGGTGGTGATGGACCCTCTAAAAATAGGCCGTGGAACCCTCATGAACATTGAAGATTTGGCGAGGAAGAAAAGATCGATTGAAGAACACATGCGAGAAAAAGAAAAGAAGTCAAGACTCTCTCTCCTTCCTTCTTTTTCTCTCCCATGATACATACGCCTTGGCTCGGGCAGGACCCCGCGTGAGACTGAGCGCCCAACGGCTCAGGAAGAATTAAAGACCCCAAGATCTTCAATTCTATCCGTGCAGATCAGGAACCTTGCCCGATATTTGAATTTCCTCCGGGCATTCACCTCATGCATAGCTCGCGGGTTATTTCGATCAGCATCTACTAAAACAATCCTGCGGGGTTGGAAAATGCTGGCCTGTCAAGGGTGCATGGAATCAGAAACGCGTGGATTTTGGCGGGCGACATGTTGATCGGCGTACAATGAATCAATCGAATGGATGGATCAATGGATCCATTGTATTACTCCTCTTGGAGACTCCTCTACCTCCTGTGTAACAACATGCCATAACGATGGCATGGACGTGGATTCTGCAGATCCGTATGAGATCACTCAAGACCTCCCTGTAGATGTCAGCAAGGAGCACACATGAATAGCCGAACCTTCGAGACACCAACATCTAGAACGTTGGTTAAGGTTTGTCTCGCCAATCACTGATGTTGCCAGCACCTTGGGGGAACATCTTCCGCGTGGACTCCCTGTCGGCTTTCAACGCCAACCATCGCTGGAGCGGTATGCAAAAACTTTGCACCCAGAGACACCCGTCGCAAGCCTTGATTTGTATGCCGGGGCAAGCGATGCCCCAGATGACCTGAATCGTGTCTCTTGTGTAACCCCCACCTCTCTCTCAATCGTGGATTTCACCCGATCTCTACATGCCCCATGTGCCCGAAGTTGGACGATAGCCATCACCATCACGAAAGAGTCCGCTGCAACTGCTAGCTCCTAGCCCTCGAAAATATTGGTGTCAATTTAGGCATCCAGTGCGAGTAGTGAGCAGGGTGGGTTGGGCCGGCTAGAGTTGTCCGTTGCGACATGAATCATTCACCGCATACATTTCATTGTGCAGTGCTCTTTGTTAATAATCCTTCCTTGGTCGCTCCAGCGGATGGAGCGGTCCAACTTGGGCTTCAAAAGACCCCTCCTAATTATTGCTAATACAAGCAGTTCGCTTTCTTCAAGACGGCTCAACCCCAGCCCTTCACCCCCTCTTATTCCTCCTATCCCTCCTCTTGCGGCATCGCCTACAACCTTGATTGGTCCTCATCTCCCGGCGAATGTGTGCCCGCCAACACCCCCTTCACATCCCTAGCGTAAAAACCATCGAGGTCGTTCACCTCAATATCGTCGTTCAGGATGCGCTTCAAAGACCGTCGGTCCTATCTTCCGCTCTCGTCAAAGCCCGAGTCTGGCAGCGACACAAAGCGGGGAGCTGCGAGTGCTCTCCTCCAGTCCCGGCACGTCACCAGAAGACGAATTATCGCCGTAGCATTCTCTTTGCTCTCCATCAGTTTCTTGTTTAGGCCCGTAGCCGACAACTACCATGTCGTCCTTCCTACCAAGCACCGGCCATCCCTGGCCTCCAGCTCCATTGATGACCGAGTCCGGTCCATCCTCTCACACCCCCTTAATAGGTAAATTGATAACTTGATGCCTTGTTCAAGCCCGGCGCCGTGATGCGCGTGCCTCGATTGGCCGAAGCTGTTACGTTACTCACGCTGCCTCACAGATGGTCACAATGACATACCAATCTTGATCCGCGCCCTTTACAACAACCACATCTATCAAGAGAATTTTACCGACCCGTTCGAGAACGGCGGTTTTTACGGCCATGTAGACCTGCCTCGGCTACGCAAAGGCCTCAACGGGGGCTTCTTTTGGAGCGTATTCGTTCCCTGTCCCGCCGATGGCGATGACTTCTCCGACGAGAACTATGCCGAGAGTGCGTCTACGCTTGCTAGGCCTTCCTACCGGGAAGATGCGGAAAGGGGAGAGGATTTGCTACTAATCTCTTCTCCAAACAGGCGTCCAGTTCACTCTGCAGCAGATTGATCTCGCCACCAGGCTTAGGGAGGCGTATCCCGAGCGATTTTCCGGCAACATCCGCGCCAGTGACGCCCTCGATGCCTTCAAGCGCGGCCAACTCATCTCGCCCCTGGGGATCGAGGGCCTCCACCAGATTGGAAATTCCGTCGCGAATCTCCGCCGGTTCTACGACTTGGGTGTCCGGTACGCTACACTCACCCACAACTGCCACAACAAATACGCCGACGCCGCTCTGGTTGAATCCCCCATCCGCCTAGCAGAGCCCAAGTGGCATGGCGTCAGTGCCCAAGGCCAAAGTCTTGTGGCCGAGATGAATAGGCTGGGCATGATTGTCGACCTTGCTCACACTAGGTTCGTTCCCCCACCCCCACCTTTTGGCTCTGCCCTTCACGCTCGCCGGAAGGGTCCTTCCTTTCTGGTGAGAACATGGCGCTTACTCGTACCTTTTACAACCCTGGTAGTGAAGAGACAATGGTCCATGTTCTTGGCGGCAAGGGTGATTGGGAGGAAGCAAAGCTCCCGTCATCTTTAGCCACAGTTCCGCCTACAGCGTTTGCCCCCACCCACGCAATGTCAAGGACCACGTTCTGCAGCTCGTCAAAGGCCGCAACTCCTCGTCATGGTCAACTTCAACCCCCTTCATTGCATGCAAAGGATCGGACAACGAGAACGGCCTCCCAGATGATGTGCCGGAGGATTCCAACATCCACCAGGTCGTGAAGCACATCTTGCACATCGGAAGACTCATTGGCTTCGATCATGTAGGTCTAGGGAGTGACTTTGATGGCATCGACAAGGCCCCCGAGGGACTCGAAGACGTCTCTAAATACCCCGCCTTGATCGCCGAACTTCTCCGCCAGGGCGTGAGCGACGAGGATGCTGCCAAAGTTGCTGGCGGAAATATCCTGCGCGTCTGGGGTGACGTGGAGTCTGTCGCCGCTCGTTTACAGGCAGCCGGAGCAGCTATCCTGGAGGATGACCTACCAAGTCTCTGGGGCGGTTCCATCACCTCACACGACTAAAGAGGGCGGATGCTTGCCATCTATATCGAGTTCTTCAGTTGTATTTGTAGTAGGACTTTAATCATAAGATCTTATACATTTGTAAATCGGCGGTGGTCGCAGGGTTCCTACCCTGCGCAGTCACCGTCCTCTTCTAGCACCTTCCGTCTATGTTGTACATGGGGCTGAGTGTTGGCAGCCGGACGCTCTTCTCGGTGCCTCCCCGTTTCTAATGTGACCCGGAACCTCATCGAATTTGATCACCATAATCATGCCAAGACTAGGGCCGGTGGCCGTCAAACAAAGCGGCCATTACATCGTATGCCGAACGTCGCGCACCATTTTACCCTCGGCGGTCCAGCCTGTTGAGTTTGCGAGCCGAGAAGATTTGATTCCGTGTCCTCTGGCCGCGAGCAGGAAGACCCATGGCGTGCCTCCTTCCGCGGTAGCTTCCCATGTCCTTCAGCCGCTTCAAGTTTTCGTGTAAAAGGCGCTTCGCGTCATTCTCGATCGTCATTTGGGAGAGTTCGGCCGTCAGCGCCGTGACGGTTTTCGCAGGGAGGGAGCCGACTTTGGCGAGGTTGAAGATGGAGTATTTCGCCATGATGCGATCGGCCGTCGTAGGCCCCAAGGCGTAGAAGCATTGGAGAGCCCTCTGGAGTAGTGGACAAACCGACGTTAGAATGCGACGGGAAGGGACCCCAAGAAAAAGGGCAGCGGTATGCTGAGGGGTTAGGCATCGAGCTGTTTCCTTACCTTGACCGGCATGGCCGACTGGAAATTGACACCGAGGATGAAAACCTGCACGCTCCGGGTTAGGACTCGGGGTCAACGCTTGATTGATGGAGGATGAGATGTGGGAAAAGGAACAGGCTTACCATTTTGGCAAGTAATCCCACCGCGGGTATCGCTGTTGTACACGGGTGACGAAAGAGGGTGATGGTTCGTCGTTCGAGATCATCCGTCTGTGAAATCGTGAATTAATTTTTGGCCAGCTCCTGGGCCACACGAGCCACAACTCACCCACGCGCGTTGTGGCGCCAAACACCAGCCACATTCGCCGCCGATCAACGAGCACGCCTTGATTGGCGCCCTTTGACCCGGCAGGGGTCAAAGCTCTCGCCCGCCGGTACCACTGAAGTCCCCTTTCCAGTGCTTCTAATTCCTGGAGAAACTGCAGGGTGGCACTTGAAACGCCGGTACCGCGAATTGGAGCCAGCGGCCTTTTGCAGACAGCCGTGCTACCGTTCAAAAGGCGTGCTGGCACATGAAGCTAGTGACCTGTCCTTTTGGGAGGTTGGTCACTAATCGAGCAGTATATACTTTCGCCCCCAGTGCTATTGCAACCTCCCCTCCTTCTCAAACACTCCCCTTTTCAAACAGCTGGTGTGTCTCTCGCCATCACCAACTTTTCACTCAATTGCTCAGGATAAGCATCTCCTAAATCCCCCACCATCTCAATTACGCAAAACTCGAACAAAATGTTCAACGCTCGGAGGGCTTTCCTCTCCGCCATGCTCCTCCTCGGAGTGAGCTTGGTCTTCTTCACCCAGGCGGCTGAAGCCACCAAGGGACCCAAGATCACCCACAAGGTCTACTTTGACCTGACCCACGGCGATGAGCCCCTTGGCCGTGTCGTCATGGGTCTTTACGGAAAGACTGTTCCCAAGACCACTGAGAACTTCAGGGCCCTTGCCACTGGCGAGAAGGGCTTCGGCTATGAGGGATCGACCTTCCACCGTGTTATCAAGCAGTTCATGATCCAGGGTGGTGACTTTACCCGTGGCGATGGCACCGGTGGCAAGTCCAGTATGTTAAATCCATCCTTTTACGGGCACCTCGAGCGGCCCCAATTGGGCCCTCTCCTTGCTCGAGCAGCTAAGCTAATCATGCGTGTTCCTTCTGTAGTCTACGGCGACAAGTTCCCCGACGAGAACTTCAAGCTCAAGCACTCCAAGCCTGGTCTCCTCTCCATGGCCAACGCTGGCAAGGATACCAACGGCTCCCAGTTCTTCATTACCACCGTCATCACCTCGTATGTTAAATTCAATTTCCCCTTTGTTGCGCTTGATTAGCTGACGATATACCCTTATTTAGTTGGCTCGATGGCCGCCACGTCGTCTTTGGCGAGGTTCTTGAGGGCTACGACATCATCGAGAAAATCGAGAAGGTCCAGACCCAGCCTGGCGACCGCCCCGCTCAGACTGTGAAGATTGCCAAGTCTGGCGAGATTCCCGTCCCCGAAGAAGGTATCCACGTAGAGCTCTAGTCTAAGTCAAGGCGCAAGAAGAAGAAAGCCAGTCATACCTGTACACTTGTTTCACGACCAAAAAGGAGTTACGCATGTATATTCTCTGATGGCTACTGTCAATTTAAGCACATGGCTTCCGAGCCGAGCCTCTATATATCGTTGTCTTTCTCTTTTTCGTTTCGCGACTCGTTAAAATCCTGGCTGTCTCCTCTCTTACCATAATAAGGAACTCGCTGATCCGTATTTTTCACCTTGCTCTTCCGCTAGATATCTTTGGCGATTCGGCCTGGGCCTCTGGCCAGAACGGCGAAGAAATCCCTATCGCCCTCGAGCCTGATGCGGGTGGCATGTCCTTCGCCGGCAAGGCTTCCATGGTCGGAATCTTCGCCACCGCCGTTGTCGCTGTGTTCTGGCGACGCATGCGCAGGAGCTCTAGTGACGCCAAGTACTCGTAAAGGATTGATGTTTCGTGTACAGTAGTAGGGTATTAGACTATTAAAATGGGTGCTTAAACTTGAAGTGTGCTTGTTTCAACATTGGAAACTTGACGTTCCCCTTTATCTGCGTCCGTGTCACGATTTAGCTAGCGCTACGAGTGCCCATAGATCCCAGACGACAGTAGCCGTGCTCCAAGTTCGAGGATACATCAATTGATGGGTATGGGCGGCGCCTCATGTTTCGTATAGGTTTGCAAACGCCCGTTCATTCAACTCAGCGCTGTCTCTTTCTTCTTCGTGAACTCTGACCTGGCATGGGCATGGATGGAGCTTGCACAGCGGGAACGACTGCCCAGATGAGCCCGCCGCGCGCTGCTCGGGGCGGTGGTGTCACGTGTTCCGAACCAAGGTGGCACCCCACATCTAGCGCCTGAACTCAGACGGTAAGCAGCTCAGCCAGCGGTCATGGCTCCACTGTCGCACTGGTTCAAGGGTCGGAAGAAAAAAAGTCATTGGTCGTGCTGCATTGAGCGCATGCCTCACAAACGACTCTCGTGGCTGTGAAGAAGAAAAAAAGACTGAATAACCCGAGCTATAATCCTCTCCTGCTGCTGGTGGATACAAAACGCGCAGGTGCCGAACAGGAAAATACGCAGAAAAGGCCCGGGAAAGAAAGGAATAGCGACAAAGAGACCAGGCTTCCAAAAATGCGCGTTCTGAACCTCAACTTCTTTTCTTGCGCCGTCAAGACCTGCAAGGTTTCCAACGATTCCTTCCCCCTCCACCCGAGGGATGTGGAACTTGCGCAAGACGACGATGCCCAGTACAGGCCCGAGATCCTCCAGGGCCTTCTCCCCCGGCTTGACTGGGCTGCTCTGCGAGTAACCTGCACCGAGGTAAGGAACCCCCTCCGTCCCCGCAATCCCCTCCTTCTTACCTGGACCCCGCCCCGCGCTCGGTCTGTCGCGGCCGGGGGCCTGAGATACCTAATGACCCTCTACTATGGTCATGAAACAATGTGACTGGGGGCTTTTTTGCTGACTCTCGAGTCCCGGCTGGGGACAACCGCGACGGATATAGCTGGGTTTCCCTGAGCTCCCCGAGAACACACCCACCCTCGAGGCCCTTCAGAGCGACGAGAAGCTTGCCGCGGACTTGCATCGCCTACTCATGGAAACGCACATCGTCGAGGGAAAGCTCGCTTGCGCCAGCTGTGGACGGGAGTATCCCATCCGAGAAGGGATTCCCAATTTTCTCCTCCCGAGCCATTTGGTATAAGTGTCTGGCTCCGTAGTAACGATCATTGAAGAAGCATGGTAAAGGGCGTACGGCGTTGGTCGGTTTTTGAAAAGTAGATATCGGCAGTTATGGCCAGATCACGACATCTAGCGGCCTCATATTTGATGGAGATGGGTTTACTTGGCTTAGAGGCTCGGGGTAGCATAGAGCGCCAACGTTTGCGATTAGAATTTTCTTCTTCTTGAGAATTCCCAGATAAAGATACATGAAACCAAAATGAAAATAAAGATTGCACACCAACTCCTAGACTATCCCGAATAATATGTAGTCAACCAAAATGCATGCAGTATTCCGGCTTTCGTGACATTAAAGCTTCTGCTGCTTCTTCTGGGCGGCGGGGCCCATTTCCTTTGAGAAGGCGCCATAGGAGACGTCGACGCTAGCAAGAGCACGGATACCGCAAGTCACAATAGAGATGAAGATGAGAGAGGCGAAAACTGTCATAAACAGCCCTAGATACCAACTGTTAATCGCCATCCAGGATGAGGGAGGGACGGGATAAGACAAGACTTACCCTTGTTGAAAAATTCGTATTTCTGGAAGAGACCCCGGGTATCCCTGCCAGTTTCGTTGTCGTCCCTTCGGACAACCTGTACATAGGACCCTCGCTTCAATTCTTGGTGTTCGGCCTCAGAGGCCTCAGCCGCTTGGCCGGGGTTGAGAGGTAGACGATCGTGTATGACCCGCCGGCTTGAAGAACCTTGATTGAGTCGGAAAGAGCGTAGTCTATCACCGTGTTAAAGCATGTCCTATAAAGTAGCACATCGCCGTCAAGTATGGTAACGAACCGTTCTCAGCCAGCTTGCTGGCAGTGTTGTGGGGGAAGAGCGGGTAGGTTGAGTTCTTCGACAAGATGGGCCTTGTCTCTCTTGGCGCAGGCGTCGTTGATGAACTCGGTCATTTCATCCACAGATATTTCGCCTGCAACGTTGGCAACGCTCCACGATGTTGCTACGCCTTCGTAAGATAGTGCTCGATGAAGATTTGGTACCGCTTTGCCATTGTCCCGGCGGAGATCATCAGAGCTTAAGCCAGGTTGAAGCACGACGAGGTAACGGTCGGTAGGGCATGACTCTAGGAAGTCTCTAGCAGACTTTTCGACTTGGGAAGAGGTTTGGATCGAGTTCTGGCTCGGGGACTCTGCGGCACTGTTCGATGACGGAGGAGCTCCCGGATTAGTCTCTGCCTGGAAGAGTACCTGGAATGAGGTAATAACACTTACCGAGCACTAGAGATCAGGATGAAGGGAGATGTGTCTGAAAAGGCATGGGCTGAAGAGAACAGCGCCAGTGCGCCGGCAGCATATGAGAGACGCATGGCTTCTTGATGAATCCCGACGTGTAGCGAGACGTGCTGAAAGTTGTCGCCTAGGATGAGGTTTCGAGCTTGTCTAGGTATCTTGAATCTCCTGCATGAGCAAGGGCCCAGAAAGTATTACATAATACAGAAGATGACCACATGCACGACTCCAAGGCAATGGCAATGTAGGCGTTGAACAGTGCGCAAGACTGCAAAAGCACACTTGACTCCTTCGACGGGCGGGTAACAGCCCCACTAAAAAGTCCTCAAGCGTTTGTGGTGGCTGAAGACTGATCTATCAATTCTATCCATCCATTTGATCAGTCAAGAATATTATTACACACTACACATTACTGTTTGGCAGCAGCAAGCCTTGGAAAACTCAAGCGTCTACGAAATTTTCAGAGAGGCACGATATTCACGACATAGCGACCTTAACGACTTGAACTTTCTTTTAAAATCGTCACCGATACCTTAACAAAAGTTGTGTAGACGGTTTTTGGTCTTGGGGAAAAAAGAATGTTCGCAAAACCGAGGCCGAAGAAGAGCCTCCTCCCGCCACCAATCAAGAAGCGCAAGATTGAGCACTCGATCGAGGAGATTTCCTTCAAAGACGATGACCGCGAAGAATTCTTGACTGGGTTTCGGAAGCGAAAGCAACAGCGCATAAAACGAGCGCAAGAGGAGGCTGCGAAGAGGGAAAAAGAGGACAGGAGGGAGCTACGGAAGAAGGTACAGTGTCTACTCGTGGCCTTCACCATGTCTTTTTGCTCGACTAACTAGTATCTTTTGCATATTTAGATGAGGGAGGAACGGCAGCGAGAAGTAGAAGAGCATGTGCAGAAAGTCAACACTCTATTGAGAGAGTCGGAGGCAGCGGGCGCCATAGGCCACGACGAGTCCGGTTCCGACGGCTCGGAATGGGGCGGTATCGAAGAGGCAGCGACAAACGATATCATAGACCACGAAGAAGAATATATAGACGAGGATAGGTACACGACCGTAACAGTCGAATCGGTATCGGTAACGAGGGATGGTCTTCACAAGCCGGCACTAGAGCCTACCGAGGACGAGCAAGAGGCAGAGAAGGCGAAGAAGAGTGCAGAGGAGGAACAAGCGAAAGCCAAGTTACGCCCACCAAAGAAACCGAAGAAGAAGTTCAGATACGAGTCTAAGACAGAAAGGCAGCTCACAGAAGCCAAGATCAGGGCGAAGAGGAAGGCGAAGAGGGACTAAGACAGGAGAAAATATTAGCACAAGATTTTAGCTGTGTGCTTCATCATGGATGCGGCTGCTACCTCGTCCTACACCAAGAAGTCTTCATAGAAGACCGACGACAGAGAAAAAGAAAAGAAAAAGGAAAAAAGCCTCCTGCCACTCCTAATTCAAACAAAAATGTATTCTCAATTGTACATCCTCATCGAGAGAGACAGGACTGTTCCTTCGGTCAAGATGCCGCATACTGATTGATCCATCTTTCCCATTTTGTCCCCTTCGTACCTTTTGTCTCTTGTGGGCATTGATTAAAGACATTATCCCGTTCAACTTAGAGAGTACCGATCTCGCGCTGGAAGTCCTCGAGCTCCTTTTGGACTTCGTTGTACTTCTTCGCCATCTCCTCGTACTTGGACTCCCACTGGTCGCGTTCACTCTCGAGGGCTTGTACCTTTCGCTCGAAATGGCCGGCCTTAACATCGGTCTGTCGGAGCCTAAAAGCGATGGGAAACAGTGAAGATTAGCGTCAAGGGGTAAACTAGTGCCGTGGTGGCAAAATGAAGCTTGGGTGGAGAAATAGGGGGCTATCAGGCTTAAAAGCTCTGGAAGGAAAACATACTTCTCGTTAGCCTCACGGAGAGTCTTGTCAGCCTCTTCGGCCTCGTCCTCGAGCAGTTGTAGTCTCCTCTGAAGAGTCTCGTTTTGCGTAAGGGAGCCACTTCCCTCATCAGCAATCTTCTTGAACTTGTCAATGTCCCCCTCAAGTTTCTCTACTTGTCCCTCCAAGACATTATTCTTATGCTGCAGAGACGTAATCTCCTGTTCCTTGGCGAGGTTTTCTTGCTCAAGGCTCTTGACCTTGGTCGAAAGCTCTTCAGCCTTGGCTGTAGCGGTATCAGCGTCCAGGCGGAGCTGGTTCATTTTCTGTCATGGAAATCATCTTGTTAGAGCGCGTATTACTGTAACTGTACATCGACGGCGGTGGGAAAAAGGAATCTGAGCCGATGGCCTGCCCCTCCAACGAATGGTGGGGTAAAACCATCAACTGGATTGCGGATGTCTCCGTACCTCCTTGATACGGTCCATGGCTACGATTTGGGCGATTGAATTCGATGGATCGGGATGCTATGAGCTCAGATAGATTGAATGGGGATAATTCCAGGAAGGCCTTGAAGAGAACGGTTGGAAATGTCGATTGTCGGGGGTTTGATGGAAGAAAGAGGGGAGTCTCACGGAAGCGTCGAGAATAAAGGTGCTGCCCCTCCCTGCAAAGTACTGCAGGGTACATTCTCGAGTGTACAGTGTCTCCAACGGTTCTTGTTAGGCACCTGTATTTCATGATTGGGGAAAGGGGGCGGCGGGGTGCGGCGCCAAAGGATCCAGGCAGTCGCTGGCAGTGACAACGACGGACGGAAGGGGTCTCAGGTCCCGCCTGATCGTCGAAATCGAGCATTCGGTTGTCTAGCCAACGCGATTTGGTCTGTGCACCCCCAACAATCCCTGCGGACGTCGTTCCAACATCCACACCTGATGAACTTCACCCTTGTCCTCTCCAATTTCGAATGTGGTGAGGCACGACAACTTTGCACTTTCCCTCTCCACTTCAAAAGGGGCTGGATGCCATTAAATTACGCGTCGTATCTTTCATTCATGAAAACTACTCAACAATCAGCCAGCCTCCCGATTTAATCCTCCTTGACGACAAGCGCTTTTCACCCAAGCTCTCGCCAAAATGCTGGCTGCGCACCGGGATCAGGAGAACCTCGTGCACAGTCGCCAAGTCCCGACAAAAGATGTCGCATCAAAGAATATCGCCCCTCGGACTCCTGGAGCTCGCTATCCTAAGACACCATTGAAAATACCACTCAATGACGAGAATGGTGCTCAAGCCACCGGGGCAAAGGGCTTGCTGCCCACAGGCAAGAACACGATGGGGAAGAAGCAGCCAACGGCGACGCCGGCAGGTAAGGAAACCGGAGAAAAGCATGAATGTAGTGCAAAATCATACTTACCACCACGCGTAGGAACTCGCCGTGCTCCCTTGGGTAACAAAACGACAAATGCAAAGGCTCGGGCTGTCGCGCCTGGTGTCACCGTGAAGGGTATGGTGCAGGAATTCGAGAAAAGCCAAGTCAAGCAGCCTAGCCATCAGAAACCCAAACCCAAGGCACTCAATACCGCCCCGTCAAATTCGAAGTGATGAGTGATGTCACAGGACTGAGCGATGACGTTGAATACGCGCCACCCAAGCCGCAGGATCTCCCTTACGAGTCCGACGTCTTCCCCGATGGTGTCTTGACTTTCGAAGGCCTAAAGCCTGAGAACATCCTCAAAGGATACTACGAGCGCTATCACGACCCCGTAGATGATGATGGCATTCGTGTAAAGGACAAGAAATTTGAGGAGCAGCTTCAGAAGGCTTTGAAGGAAGGCGATGAGAGGATCCTGAAGGACATCGAAAACACCGACTGGTCTGTATCGGACGTTCCCGAAACGAAAGTCTTGGCTAGGCTTCAGAAGCCGCAAGACGCGCTCGCCCCGAAACCTGATCGTGCTAGGGCCATCGCCAATCGTACAGCTCTCAAGCAGTATCCACCAACGCTAAGCTCTCGGCGCGCCGTGAGCGCTCTCTCCATGAACTCAACGGTCCGGGAAAGAAAACCTAGAGCCCTCTAGAAGCAGCAATGCAGCCAAAGAGAAAATTGCCCTTCTTGTTGTCTGGACGAAAAGCTATAAAGCCTGCTCAACCTACTAAAACCCCGCAAGAAAGTGCTATTGCTGAGGTTGCGTCAAGAAACACATTGGGCTACTCTAAGGGCCGTTCTGCATCTTCTGCTGTCAAGACAAACCGTGGGCCCTTAGCACGTTCCGCTTCAGGGGCATCGGTCTCGTCGGATCGATCTGACGTGACCATTACCCCAGCCAACTTTCTCAAGTTTCAAGAATCCAAAGTCAACAAGTCTGAGGAATCACCTCGGCCTCAGTTCCTTGGTATTTTTGATGTCCATGAGGACTCGGATGACGACTCACATCTCACTACTACCGAAAATTTCGTTGATGAGTTTGAGGACTTCGAGCTGAAGCTGGATGACGAGTGAGGTACACTCAAAGGGGTTTTGCTGCCCCGTTAACTCTAAAGAATGGCAAAGGTTAATACGAACATGTTCGGCGTTTTGGTTGTTTTGGGCGTTCACCGGCTAGATGATGAGGTAGTCTGCCCCCTTGTCGAAAGTGCTACACTGAAAACACAATATTTACGGAAAGATGTCCGTTACACGAGGTGAGGTTCGGGAGCAATATCTATACTCTGAGAGATGTCCATGTGTATTCATAAATTATCACTCGGCACAAAGCCGCTATTTTTACAAAAGGACAGTGAGGTTTTACGTGGGTCTATTATGTGTGTGCAATTGTGTGCCTGTGTTGAATCCCAAGTGGGAGAGCCCGAGGAATTGAGCATTGCGATTGATGTTATGGTCGCGCCGCGCTCATCACGTACGTTATAGGCATATATCCATCTAGAAGTAAATGGGCGGTTTACCGCAGAACTGTCCAAGACCCTGTTTATTACATATCACGGCTTTCGTCTATTCTGAAAGAAGTGATCAAAGAATCAAAATGCTGGAGGCGGGGTTCAGTGGTCACAGCCCGGTGGTTATGTTCTGACAATGTTCTGGCATCTAGTCACGTGAGCCAGAGAGTAAACCAATAGGAGTGTGACAATAAAACTTTGGTGGTGGGATGGGCAAGACAGGTCGCGAAATGGAAGTTTGGGCGCTAAATCGCAAGAAAAAGACATTAAACCCCGATAAAGGAATACTCAAAGTTCGTTCCCGGCCCCCTTGCAGCGACTCAAAAAGTGGATCGTCATCCCTGATCACTGGACATCTCTCCATCATCAAAGCCTCAAATCTTAACCCTCCACGTTTTTTGTCGCTGCCTCGAGCCTCTGTCGCGTCGCTGGCTAATCCATCACGTGCATCTGGCGTCTTTTCTCTATTGTTTTTTGCGCTCCGGCGTTGCGCGACCGCACTCCCATTGATTTACCCGCCCTCATTCAAAGTTTACGAAATTTCCTCGACACCCGTCATTCCTGTCGCGTGAAGCCTGGCCAGTTCGCGTCCTTGGTCCCCATACTCGCCCATCTACACTCAAGACGGCCTGCATGGTCCTGACAGCACCATCCCTCGGTAGATGATGGTAGGAGCACGGTGGGTAAGGTAGAAATTGCGCAATTCCTACGATGACTCGCCCGCCTGGGGGCGGGCTTCGCCCAGTTCTTCCCTACAGCTCCTCGAGCGGTGAAGGACCGCATGACGGAGCGAGAGAAGGCCGAAAGGGTGAAGAAGCAATCGCATGAGACTCTGGACGCGCTAGGCACCACTGCTCAAAAATTCGCACCGTTGGCTTCGTCACGGGCTGCCCCGACTGACAACCTCCGGCCACCTTCACACGACGTGCCTCTGCCAGTTGCTGATGACGCTGATTCTGTGCCTGGGGATATACCCAATGGAACCACATCAGCGAGCTCTCACACCAGCACTGTCTCGTCTGTTTTCAGCTCATCAGCTCGTCAAACCGCGCCCATTGCATCCGCTGCCGTCAACTCACCCCTCACCTCGCTAGACTCCCCGTCACACCCCAGCGCAAATCCTGTCGCGAAACCTCCTTATACTCACACTGTTCATGACGAAATCTTGTCGCGAGAGATGCATTATGCCTCGGACTCCCCTGCGCCGTCTAGCAGCCGGTTAGCGCTATATGCGAACCGCATCCCAGCCCGAGATCCCACTCGAGTGGTCCAAGGCATTAAATGCATCTATGACCCTTTAATCGATCGAACGCTTGCCAAGTCGTCGAAAAAGACATAAAACCCCAATTCAAGGAGTTCGGATTGGTACGTTATACCTCATACAATACGCCACCCTGAAGATTCAGGAAGGGGGCGGGGTGGGAGGGTGTCATCGTTGTATTGTCTATCTGCTGAAGATTAAGCTAATGTTGTGAAAAATAGGACGATGATGCCCCTCCTACGGACCCCCGTCTCGCAAAAGGCGGCCGGCTGAATTACATTAATGTCGACTTCCACTTCCCAAAGGCTCGCCTACGCCATACGCCATACAACCTAAAGCCGTACGCGTATGATGCCAAAACTTCGATCGGCCCTGGTCCGCCAACCCAGGTTGTTGTCACAGGGTTTAACCCGCTTGTCTCATTCTCCAAGGTCACCGGGCTGTTCTCGAGTTTTGGTGATATTGCAGAGAGCAGCAACAAGCTACACCCAGAAGACGGAAGCTACCTGGGCTTTGCGACTTTCAGATATGGCAATGCTAGACCGACCCGGCAGTGGCCGACCGGCATACCAGCAGCAGATTCTGCAAGAAGAGCTGTGAGGGCGCTGAACGGTACTCGGCTCGAGGCAAATCGCATTCGCGTTGAGTTTGACCCCGAAGGCAAGAAGAGTGGTCGCATGCTGGAGGACGTCTTGATCAAAAGCAGAGAAAAAGTCAAACAGGCTGTTGCGGCTGCACGGGCAGCGTCCAACCCTAAATCCAGCGGCCCCTTTTCCGAAACAGTTCCTGCGCCTCCCCACCGCACCGAAAGGCCCGGCCGCTCACAGACAAACGCCCGTCGGACCCCTCCACCACGATCGATGAACAATGTGGCTCCCTCATGGGCACCAGCCCAGCCCAAAAGATTCGCATCCCTTATCGAAGACCAGCCCATTGAACCCCAAGTCGCCGGTGAACCCCACATATTCATCGCGAAGTCATTCGTCCCCGTTATGGCAACTACTATACCTCATATGAAGAAACGCCTAAAGGCATTCCGATTCGAAGACATACGACTCGATCGATCTGGATACTTTATCGTTTTTCGAAACTCGAGTCTCGGACGATCCGAGGCAGAGAAGTGCTATAATTCTGCACGTGGTGCCGACCTCTTCACATATAGGATGGGTATGAAGCTGCACTTACCACCGCAGGCTCGACGCGAATCCGCATCATCGACGCACGACCGAGACCAGTCTCCAGCCCCAGAGACAATATCCAAAGCGAGTATCCGCTCACGTGATGAAAGAGAGCGCGAGCGCCGCGAAATAGAAGCCGATATTGAAGACGAAAAGAGGCAACGGGCCAAAAACTTTGATCCGGTCATGGAAGCTGTCGCGGTAGTGAGGCAGGAGATGGTTGAACACCTCATTAAACACATCCGAATGAAAGTAGCGGCTCCCACCCTCTTCAACTGCCTAGATCCCAGCAACCACACCACAAACAGGCGACGTCTCAACCTAGGGGCCCCGAGGCGGATCCCCTAGCCGGCTCATTTGAAGAAGGGGATGACAGCTCGCGTGCTGCCACTCCGAATTCTCGGGCCGATCCGATAGAACGTCGCACAAATCGCATTGGAGTTTCGGCCTTGCCTCGCATCAGGAAGGCAAAGGTGCCGGGCAACGCAACGTTGGGTTTACCGACCCGTTTGCTCGCAAGCGCCTGCCGGTGGCTCGAAACGCGTTCAGGTCCCTTCATCATCGACTCAAAAGTCCCGATAGCGACGTTGAGTCTGACGATGAACCGGAACAGAGGACGTCGGCGGTCCGGGATACCGAAGAGCCGGAGTCTCGTCCTCGCAGCGGCATGACTACTGATGATGAAGCATCGAAGGATGACCTAACTTCCTGGGGTCCTGGAGAGGACGATTCTATGACCGAGGCCAGCTTCATTGTCAACGACACGGCCCCGCCGACCCGAAAACGAAAGCTTGACCTTTCTGTTGAAGCAGCATTAAAGCGGCAAAAGAAATCCGATGAGGAATTATTCGGGGTGGCCATCGATCGTGTCGAAACCGACGGACAGCTCAAGGACGTGTCCGAAGAGGTCCTGCTTACTACCGAGGCGACAGAAGACAAGGAAACGCCATCCCGCTCGGAAACACCTGCCCCAGTCGGTGCCAAGGCAGTCAAGAAAAAGGTACCCAAGGCCAAGAAGAAGACGAAGAAGCAACTCCTAGAGGAGCAAGAAGCTCTTCGTAAACTTCAAGAGCCCGAGGTCGCGGAAATCAAGGAAGAGGCGCCAGCCGAGGATATTGCTTTCGGTGAGGAGAAGGCAAAGGCAAAGCCGTCTAAGGCCCGGGAACAGGCCCTTCCTGATGAGAACCTTTATCCAACCAAGCCTAAGGCAGCCCTCGAGCTCCCGGACAATTTTGCCTTGGAAATCAGTGCCTTTGAGCAACTTTCACTCGGTGCCAAGGACAGCCCCGACATTGCGAGATTGTCCAAAAGCACAAGCCTAGCGACTTGGGGGATGTGGAACTATGGCTATGGAAGCGCAATCGGATCCGACAACTCAATAACACGGATGCCTCGGTTGATCGCCCCGTTAGGATCGAGGGATACTATGTCCGCAACCCAACGGGCTGTGCTCGGACGGACGGCATTAAGAAAATTCTTAATTCGGAAAAGTCCAAGTATCTTCCGCATCACATCAAGGTGCAGAAGGCGAGAGAGGAACGGGAGGCTCGCGTCAAGAGCGACGGCAAGGATGCCGTCACCACGGCTGCAGAAGCAGCCAAGATCGCGGCAGAAAAGCTCCTTGCCAAGGGCAATTCACGAGCTAACCGCGCCAACAACCGCCGATTCGTGGCAGACCTCAACGACCAAAAGAAGACGCTGGGCCAGGACTCGGATGTGTTCAAATTTAACCAGCTCAAGAAGCGGAAGAAGCCGGTCAAATTTGCGCGCTCCGCTATCCACAACTGGGGCCTCTATGCCATGGAGAACATACCCAAGGACGACATGATTATCGAGTATGTAGGAGAGGAAGTCCGACAGCAGATTGCCGAGATCCGAGAGAATAGGTACCTCAAGAGTGGCATCGGAAGCAGTTACCTCTTCCGTATCGACGAAAACACTGTGATTGATGCAACAAAAAGGGTGGCATTGCGCGATTCATCAACCACAGCTGCATGCCCAACTGCACCGCCAAAATTATCAAAGTGGATGGTAGCAAGCGCATCGTCATTTACGCGCTGCGCGATATCGCCCTGAGTAAGGATAATCCCCTCGCCCCCTTTCCCATTCTGCCATTCACTCACTATTCATCTGTGGGGAATTCTGTCTGTGACTGTATATATGCTAACCAGTGGACTTGCCTTGTAGATGAGGAGTTGACCTATGATTACAAGTTCGAGCGCGAGATCGGTAGTCTGGACCGAATCCCCTGCCTGTGCGGCACTGCAGCATGCAAGGGCTTCCTCAACTAAACGCTCGCCTTATCCTTCCCTGAATAGGCCTTTGATACTTTTATTCACCCGGAGATAGAGCGAGCGCTACTCTTGCCAAACCATCTCCTTACCGACGCCTCCACTCTTTCACTTTTTAATGTCACGATTAAGCCGGGGAGCATATTCTCGTTTCTTTTTCCCCCACTTTCCCCCACTTTCCCCCTTCTCCCCAAATATTTCTTGCTTCATTTTCACCTTCTTCACCTACTCCTTCTCCTCCGTATTCAACATTGTCAGCATGATGGGGAGTTGGGTTTCATTCGTCTTCATCCCGAATGCCAAGAGGAGGGAGGGGGCGAGGCAAACACTACGGGTAATGGCAGACACCTGGCTGCTCACTACTCCGTCCCCAATGCACCAACAGCCAAGATATCCTGCACCTCACGATACCAAGCCAGTCTCTTCGATATCTACCTGCACGCGGTGAGATTATCGTTACCGCCAGAGCAGGTTTGTTCGAAGCATGCAGTGAACAAGCTCACATCACATCGGCTTGCTTAACTTTCTTGCGCCCGTTATCCTCTCTCCTTCCTTTCTCAGACTTGGATTTTGTTATTCTTGATATGCATATACAACAATACTCTTGGTGGTTAATCATTGCTAGGAGTGTTTTCCCTATTACCGGGATATCTTTACTTTTAGTTTTCCTTTTGTTTTCATCTGATGGCGTCACGGGATTCTCAGGAACGCGGGTCTACAATCTCCTTGACAGAAGGACTTTGAAAAAAAGAGGGAGATAGGGCCCGGGAATGATGTGCAGCATAGTCTGGGGCTTTTCTTAATGTCTTGATTTCTTTCTTCTCGTCCCGCCCGCTGCCTCATCCAGACCCGTCCCCCTTTTTGATGCATGTATGGCCAGGTAGGGCGACGAGTGGAAGGGGAGGGAGGCAAGGAAATGAAGATGGAGACGGTGTGAGGAGAGGGAGAGGAAATACTTTTTCTTTTTCAAACATTGAAGAGAAAAAGAAAAACAAGGCAACTTTGTACAAATGAACAGAGGTGCTATAGAAAGGAATGCAAATAGGTGACGAGGAATAATAAAACGGGCACCGGCTGCTATGTATGAGCGAGCAAACGGATTAAAACGAACCATCATCTCTCCCCTTGCACTCCCCTCCCTTCGTGCCCCCATCCGTCATGAACACATGCAGACACACACACAAACACATGGCCGCACAACTTCGTCAAAATCCGCCTTGGTCGTCGTGTTCGTCAGCCGCGATCCCGGACCTATCGCTTAGCACTGTGCGCTACCATGGGGGAGGGCAGCGCGTAGTTGCCTCGCAAAACATCTCCTTCGGATCCATCCATCCATTGCCGATCTGGTGCCGAGTTCACGGGCTCCTACTCGCACGCACACGGAACTTTTCGGAGCCGGCACGGAGCTGAGAAGGAGGCGGGAGCTTTTGCCTGAAAGTGACGTAACGAGCGCGCGCTTTCGCACCGCGAGAAGGAGGGGGTTTCGTTTGACGAACCAGAAGGGCCCATGCCCATTCCATCCAGCACACACACACACCATCCTGGCCTGCTTACCCCCGTTTCTCCCCGGGCCGTGGATGCGGACTGGGAAGGTTCGCCTAGATGCAGCCAAAGCACCGATCTCGCGGCCTATAAAATCAGGGAGAAATATCCGCATCGGCCCCCAGCTCTTTCCTTTGGCCGATCCGCGATAGCCGCCGTTGAACAGGTATCGGTCATAGATGCTCACTTCTCTTTCTCTTTCTCTCTGTGTGTGTCTCTCTCTCTCTCTTGCTGTTGCCCGCAACGCTTGTTCGCGATCGCCCTCTATTCCTTTTCCCAACCCCCGTCGTCGTAAAGTCTCCACTGTATTCAAAGCGCCTTTCTTAGGCCATGGGTGATCATTTTCGTGACGCACCTTCACGGCATCGTCGCTCGATCTCGTCTGTAAACTGGCACCCCGCCCTCGGATTTCTCGCCTCGTTCTGATGTAGTGGCGTCTTCTTCAAGAAACGAAGATAATCAGATGAGGGACTGGATGGCAAAAACCAAGACAACCCAGGTTGGCCATCTTATCCGCCGCCGTTCGCATGATTCCCTTGTTTCAAGAGGGTGAGGGAGAAGGGAGAAGGACCGTTATGAAATTCATATTTTTAAAGCCAAAATCAGCATAGACTCTAACTCTCATGACCAGGTTAAAAACACCAAGATTTGCACAGCCTGTGTTAGCAAGAACCCTCGTCCTCATCGTGGCGAGGAGCCCTGTGGTAGCCCGTCGTTCGAAAATTAACATCATCAGGCATGATACCCATTCTTCCTAACGCCATTGCCTACCCCTTCATCTACCGAGCTCCTTTCCTCTCTCCTCCTCGGAGCCGGACACACAGTGGTCGAGTTGGCCAGGAACACCCGAATCCAGACACAAGCAGACCCCTCCCTAGTCACTATGCTCTCGATGGGTTAGGAGCCTTTCTCCTGGAAAGATCATCAAAAGAACGATTTGACGCCACTTGCATCTAATCCCGAAAAGGTCGTCTGTGTCAAGGATTCTCCTGCTTGACGTGGACCCCAGAAGCTGCGGCCCTAGCTATTTCGGGCGCACGAGGGCCTAGCATCCAATCCTGCATGGCTAACCACTCACTCCAGGTGGCTTCCGCCAACTGTATTTCCTTCTCAGTAACCTCTTGGGAGGCTTGAGGAAAGGCACTAACTGGCCGTCAGCCATGTCGTAATGCGCCTTGACTTCGAGCCAAGAGTTGCTCTTGGACGCAAACAAGTAGTTCCTGCGCTCCGATTCATGTAGGGGACCAACACCCATGGCCCAATCATCGCCGAAGAAGCCGTGCAGGACGGCCGGGAAATCGAAGCCGGTGGCAACTAGACGCCGGATATAGGGGATCAGTGCGACGCTCGCGCTGACAATCGGACGATTGCCAGCCACGGGGCCGAGGGAAGGGGGCCGAGATGTCGAGGGTGACGCAGACGGACCGACGGTAGGTTTGGAAGAGAAAACGGGGTGGGTTGAGTTCTGGAACGGAAGCTGGATGTTGATGAATGAGGCTACGACCTGAACCGGACCGGTATATTGGGCTTCGTCTAGGAAGTAGCGCATACATGACTGGAACTTGGGGTACCAGTCAAAGAGGTCAAATTGCTCCCCATGCATGCTCTACTCGGGAATGTTAGGATATTCCATAAAACGTGCAAGGGGTTCCGGGGACAATGATATTCATGGAAGGACAGGCAAGGCGGATTGCTCTCGGTCATGGCTGGGGCGTCCGCCGGCTTCACGACAGCGGCCGGGCGGTGTGGTTCAAACATACCTGCTGGAATGGCTGTTGGGCTCTTCCGGGAAAGGCCATGGTTGCGGCAAAGGCGATCGAAGCGGGATGATAAAGAATCCCAACGGTAAAAGAGAATGGTCTAAGAAAAGAGGCAGGCGGGCCCTTTTCAATAATATACGCAAAGGAGGGATGAAATATGCGCCTAAGGTTGTTGGGGAGGCCCCCGCGTCCGAAGGGGGTTCCGAGCTGCTAGGTTTACAATTGGAGGGGAGCTAGCTGAGGATGAGGGGGAAGGCAGCTGGATGGGGGTGGGAGTGAGGGAGGGGACTGTTCAGACGATCCACTCAGATGAGGTGCTGTTGCAAACAGCTCCAAAGGATTCAAGGGTTTGTGGATCTCTCAGATCACGCCAATGTCTAGAATCGAGGGGGTCCGCTTGGCCGGTAAGGGCAAGCACACTTGTCGTGACAGCAGGGCTGGGAAGGGGGTTGCGAGCAAAGTCTAGCAGTGGCAGGCTATACAGAGAGTCAACTGAAACCTCCCGCCCGAAGCTAGAGGACACAAAGAGGGGGGCTCTGGCAGAGGTGCGGGAGCGTTAGGGCGTGCTTGCTGGCACGGGCTACTTGCTGTCTAACTGCCGACCCTACCGCTGCAGGAGAACGGGGATAAGATTGCTGTGTCTGTGAGAACAAATTGCGATGCTGGCCACTCAAAAATAGGGATCGGAATCCAGAAACCCTAACCCCAAGTGGGCGAGATGCACTGGGAGCACAAGTAGATAAGCCAAGAGAAGCCCTTTCTAGGTCGCAAGGCACTTCGACGATGAGATTGGCTGGGAGGAGACCGAAAGCCGTGATTTGTTTCCCCTTGAGGTTCCAGGGGCTCCAGGGGACGAGGGTGTGTCTCTCAACGGGAGAGGGGTGAGCTCTACGGAGAGTGGAACTGAGATGGAGCTACTGGATACGCGGGTCCGGTAACGTGGCCGAGCTCAAGGAAAGCTTCAGTCTCAGTGGTAGGACAGCACAAGGGAGGGGTGTGAAAAGGTTGAAGCTCGTCACTCCCGGCGAATGGTGAGTAGCTACAGCAGCTGGGGCGACGGCTGCGAGTGTGCGATGTAAGGGGAGAGATGCTGTGGGTCAAGAAGGTAGAATTTGCCAATCCGAATGCCTTGGAAGCAATCTGGTGTGGGGAAAGATGATGAAGGGTTTGAGGGTAGTGTGGATGCGAACTCGATGGTTGGTGTTAGTATCGGGAGTGAGCACGCTTGGGGCCGAACCTCGAGGGTATTAATATCCTAGCCCGAACGAAGTCGGACTAGTCCCGGGAGCTTCAGGAAGGTTTTCAAGACCACGGCCTCGGCAAAAGTGGGCGATCCTCGCAGTCATCCCCGGAGGGGTGGAGGCAATCCAAGCTAAGGGACGAGGTGGTTGAGATGGTGTTGAGCGCAAGGAAGTGGAGGATATTCCGTTGGTTGGCCCGGAATTCCAGCTCGGTCGGGGTTTGGGGAGTGATGATGGACTGGAATACTCTGCAATACTCCGTTGTGACTTGACGTGTGTAAGTCTGGCGTCTTGGATAGAGCATCAGTGCAAGTACGGTAGCGTTGCGGTAGACAAAAGTCTCGTCCCAGCTGGGCGTGTGGATGCAGGTACAAGACAAGTACCCTCGCAGGTAGTGGCCCCCATGCCCATTGCCCATCCCCAGCTGGTGACAACACTCCACTCCCACTCCCTACCTAATTTGGCCTCTGGAACGACGTCAAGGACCTCCTGGGCGCACGTGTGTTGCTAGTTTTGCAGCAGAGCCCAGCCGGTTTTGATTTACATCGACAGGATCAGTGCCTTCCTTGTAAAACTTTCCCCGGAAGTTGCTAATGCCTGGCTAAAACCAACCGAAGAGAAAGAAGGGGTGGGCACAGAAAAAGGGAAAAGGGAAAAGGAAAAAGAAGATGAAGAAAAAGAAAAGAAGAAGCGAGAAACATACAACAGAAGGAAGGAAAGAGCTGACGCTGGTGTTGTTGCTGTCGCCGCCGCTGGTGCTGCTGGTGCTGCTGGTGATGGTGCTGGTGACGGTGCTGCTGCATCTGCATCTCCTCCCGCCGCCATCTCATTCATTTTCCAGGCCGATTCCCCAACACCCAGCTTCATGCAATGCAATAGATTGATCGGAACTGCTGGTCGGTCTATTAGCTATCAATGATCCCCAGCTCTCCCACAAAACCAATTACGCCGCACCTTGCTAGCTCTCCTGGCCAAATTCCCAAAGTGGGACGCCGGCGAGCACGAGCCAGGACGCTAGTAGCGCCCTCCCCTTCTGCCTTCTGCTTGGACCACTAACCAAGCCGACTTTTTCTTCGGAAGGCAAGTGACCTGCACTAGCACAAGTCGAAACAGATCAAGTCGAATCGGGACGGTGCCCGACTACGAACCCTCAAGCTGACAGTGCGTCAGTGGGACGGTGCTTTTCCATCACGACATAGAGGCTGGCCGGGTTAACTGGCTACCTTGTAGTATGTCAGACCCATTAAAGATTCTCGCATGCGGCCCTCTCGACGCTGTCACTTTGTTTGAACGGGAGCGTGCTGTGAAACACGATACGGGAGACCTGGTACAGCTGAAGTCCGGCGATTTCAATCCTACTTAATGCTTACTCCTCTGACAACTCGAGCATGGGGAAGTAGCCGTCCAGAGGAGTCGGGAATCGAATCCGTTTGGTGGGGTGGATGGCAAGTTATAAGCCAACCCCAACACTCGGTCGAGCCACTGATAAGAGGAACCCCTGAGAGGGTGGTGGTGGCTACCCTTTCTAGCGAGGGTTGAAGGGGACTAGGCCAGTAAAATCGTATGCATTGCAACCCCGTATGGTCTAATGTTGCACTTTTGGGGGCAACTACTTCGTATGTGTGTTCTAGGGAGAAGGGGGATCCACACTCGAGGCACTCGATTACACCTTTCAAATTGCAGCAGTCCTATCACTGTAACCACGGAAAGTGCCTCTCAATAATACTGGAGACGGAAGGTCCTATTCTGGCGACGTACACTACAGAACCTAAAGACCAAGGTAAGAGCAGAGAGCGCTCGAGAGGGTGGGGGAAGGAACAGGTGGGACGGGAGGAGTCATGTTTAGATCAGCATGGCCGTCCCTGGAAGGAGGGCAGGGGTGAGTTTAGAGTTCTTCCTTTCTTTTTTTTTATTCCCTTCTGATACTGTCCCCCCTGTTTGTTTGCAATGCCGTGCTGCCCTTGATCGCGGAATTGGAGTTTATGCTACTTAAGAACTTTTCCTTAGGTTGCGTTTTTCGTTTCTCTCGCCTAGGGTAAAGGCTTGGCTTTCGCTTCGGCCGGTACCCTCCATCATCCCCCAGCGAAGGACAACAATTCCCGGATCTTTTTCGAGCAGCCCGTCTGCAAAGTTCACGCCCAGTACTAGTCTAGTGTTGCCCCTCGAGAGGCGGGGCTCCTCGAAGATAATTTTAGGATCTATGGATGACTTTAGCTTTTAGAGAAACGATTTCGGCGAGGAGCACTTCGGCGTTTCAGTTGGTAGGTGCGGCCGAGTCGAACGAAGCTGACGGCCCCACATGGGGCCCGGGATGGACGCCAACAGGTATCCGAGATCGACCACAAATAGCGTCAGAAGTGGGCATCTGGGATGATGGATGAGATACCCAAGCTGTGAGTTCGAATCCTGACACACAGCTCGCGTCGTCTTGAGGTCAACAAGGGGACTATCTCTCGGTTCTTGACGCAATCACTCGCATGTAGGAGCCTAGGTCTCAGGCGAGATCGGGCAAAGGTGTCAATCAGCTCGAGATGGAAGACTAGTTCCCTGCATCCAGGGAAAGCGATAATAGTCTTCTATTCTTTTTCTCCTCTCCCTCTTCCCCCGAAGGATCTCCAGTGCGTCCGAATCCTCTTTCTAAATTTACGTTGCCCTTGTTTGATTGCAGGTACTTTGCAGGGGACAAGGTCATGTCTGTTGCCTCCTGGAGCATGCGGTGCTACTCAATAGCCTTGAATTAGAAAGGGTACGCCTACCCCTCCTGGCTTGTTTAAGGTTCTCACCTCTTTTTCGTTGTTCCTTCTTCGTTCTGGTCCTCTTCCCCGTCCTGGCGTACTCTTCTCGTTCCCTCTTTACACCAACCAGGATGTTCCTCGAAGACCGGGAGCTCGAAGACTGGATGAAGGGGTGAGGGCCCCCAGTTGTGCATCGGGGTGCACTAGCGCGCTTGTAGGGCTAACCAAGCCGCCTGTCATGATCCAATCCATTTTCAGACAGGATGTACGATGGAGGATGCACGATCGAGGTCTTGGCGGCGCCAAATGTCACACACGAAGCCGGGAGAGGCGAAAAAAATGTCAAGGTACTGAGCTCAGTGGTAAAGAACAAAAAGAAAAAGAAAAAGCAACCATTATCCAAAGACAATCACAGCTAAGCCAGGTGCAGAAGAACGAGACGCGCTGAAGGTGGAGGGGAAGTTGAGGCGACATACGCTTTCTGTTGAAGTTGAAATTCTATTGGCCAAAACTCGGCTTACAGCAGCATGGGTAAGAATATGAAGATGGCCAGGGATTCGGAATGGAAGAATCAATTGACTTGGGGGTGTATATCGAGGAAGCGGAGGTTTCAAGGGTGGCTTTTCCTAAGCTGTGACTAAAGAACGTTGACTCTGGAATGACTGGGGAAAGGGAGGGTTCTTCAAGGTAGGAGAAAGGAAAGAAGAAGAAAGAAAGAAAAAGAGAAAGGGGACAAGACACAGAGGAGAGGGACCAAAAGAAGAGAGAAGAGGGCAAACGATATTAGAGCCAGAGCGACAAGTGAAAGAAGACTAACCGAAAATGCAGGGAAGAAAACCCACTTCACTGGTTGTGAGGGCTTGACGATGCGAATCTTATGACACATCCGACGGTTGACCCGACCTTCCCCGATGCCTGTTCCTCGTTCAACGGCCAGCATCCCCCTTGCCCCCTGTGCCTCATGCCGGGCCTTCTCTCAAGGCTGCGTTCACATGCTGCGGGTAGATCTGGATTGGATCTCGATCGTGCCCTCCTCGACATCTTTTAGGGACGGAATCCTTTA